CAAGCAGCAGATGGTGTTCATAGTGAACATCGGTAACCTCTACTGTCAGTTTGTAAACTTCCAACTTCCTCTCAGATTTACACAGATGACTAGAAATAAACAGGTCACAACTTTGTACAGACATCCACATTTCTCCAGGATTGGTACCAGTGGCGGTGGGCACTGCAGAGCTGCAGTTTCTTATATGCATGCACAAAACAGATGAACAGTCTGTTCAACATGTTGTGCATATGCACACATGTCAAAATAATAAGCTGCGATTCTTGTGTCTGTCCCGGACCCACCACTGGTTGGTACAGAAAAGGTAGAACAACTAATCTTACAAACGTACTGAAAATAATTGTGGGTAACTGAATCTGTTAACTAGACAGATAACTAACTCTCATGCTTTTGTTCACAGACAGAATCATGGACCAACTGCCTTCCCAATAAGCAATTCATAGGAGTCGACTAATTAGGAGCTTCCTTCAAAGTCAGAGTGCATCTGCTCGAGAGGCAAGGAACAAAACAATTTCACAAAAGTAAGCCTGTGAAATGGGTGCTTCCAAAACGCAGGCCTTGTTACAAAGCCAAGGTCCCAATGGATGAACAGCCAAGACTTACCACTGGAGCTTACAGCAGGTGAACAAAGAAGAAGAAGAAAAAGAAGAAAAAGCAGAGAACTGAAACAAACCCTATTTTTTTAAATTTTAACCCTTGAGCAAATAGTTGAATAACTCTGGTCCAAGGAATCTCCATAGACTAGTGTTAACACCCCCCCCCCCCCCCCCCCTACAGAAACATTTAGTCTGGCATTCTTTCTATGAGCTAATTCACTTGGTAAATGGCAATGAGATGTCTGAGAAGGGCTGCAGAAGGGACCAGAAAAAAATAAAATCAGGAATAAGGTCATAAGAGAAAAAGTCTGTACACAACCAATTATAAACTACACACAAAGGCGGCAAATAAAATGGTTTGTCCACTTAGAGAGAATTCCTTGTGATGCCAAACCGTATATTAAAAGAGAAGGACACAGAGCATAAGTAGACCAAAAACAAGCCAAACAATATTACATACAGTAGTCTATCACTGCTTTCTAAACTATATGATACTGATATCATAGGTGAAATCAATGCAAAGTGGTCTGCTGCCAAACTACCTAAGCTGACCTTGAACCCTGGCATGTTGAAATTATGTTCATGACTCCTAAGCCAGCCACAGACACCAATGAACAGATGTTACTGGTTTGTAGCCGCGGCAAGGACAGCAAGATGCTATCATCACAGTAGAGATAATAATTGTCCTAGAATTGAAAGTACGGCAATATGCAGAGACAAAGTCAGGGTAACTGTTTTTGGTTCTATCCCAATATCTATTCCCCCTCTGATGACATCACAGGACAGTCCAATATTTTCCAGGGTGGTCAGACCGGGATTCCCTGCTGTCTGTGTTTTGTGTGCCAAGTTTTCTACTTCTTCCAGCGGCCTGTGTTCAGTCTTCATAGTACAGACGTGTAGGGTTAGAGTTAGGCTTAGGCTGAAGGTTAGGTTTTAGGGTTAGTGTTAGGGTTAGGGTGAGGGTTTAGGGTTAGTGTTTAGGGTTAGAGTTAGGCTTAGGTTGACAGTTAGGTTTTAGGGTTAGAGTTAGGCTTAGGTCGACAGTTAGGTTTTAGGGTTAGAGTTAGGCTTAGGTTGACGGTTAGGGTGAAGGTTAGGTTTTAGGGTTAGTGTTAGGGATAGGGTGAGGGTTTAGGGTTAGTGTTTAGGGTGAGGGTTAGGTTGAAGGTTAGGTTTTAAGGTTAGTGTTTAGGGTTAGAGTTAGGCTTAGGTTGACAGTTAGGTTTTAGGTTTAGGGTTAGAGTTAGGCTTAGGTTGACGGTTAGGTTTTAGGGTTAGTGTTTAGGGTTAGGGTGAGGGTTTAGGTTTCAGGTAAGGATTAGGCGATGTGTTCGCATCGTCTCTGCTGCTGCCTCACCAGTTGCCACATTCCGACATCTCTCCAGATGTACTAACATGTGAAATTGTTCTGATTGTCAATTCGTGAACTCACCGGTATACATCTAGAATGGTGGTATTTGTTGCTGTCAGCTCCCCCCGATATCGAGTACTGAAAATTCAACGATGTCAGCGCTTTTTTAACGACCCCCAAAACATCTAGAACCGGCCCTTACCCTAACCCACCTACTGCAGTCTAGGATCCACTAAATATATACACTGAATCTAACATGTAAAACTGTTATGACTATCCATTCGTTAAATCAGCAATACATATCTAGAATGATTGGCCCTTTTTAGGGCAACCCCCACAGTACAGCAATTGGCAATTTATCCAGCCCGATTGCAGTTTCACAAAAACAAACTGCAAAACAGCATCCTCCTACCCAGCCACACAAAAACTCGTTTGCCAGCTTCGGTAATATCGAGTGTTCTATATTCTGCGATGTGAGCACTTTTAACGACCCCAAAATCACTACACCTGGCCCGAACCCAAACCCACAAAAACTCCCAAATGCACAGAGTAAACAAGACACAGAAAAATGCACACACACACACAAAACAAGAGCACAAGAAGCACACACTGCACAGCATAAAACTGCACGGCAAATGAAATGCCAAATTAATAAACTATACACTTTATCTACCACCCCCTGAAACATTAGACTGTCCCGTGACCTGTGGAATTCCGGTGTTTGGGGGGTGAGGGGTATTGGGATTGTACCCTGTTTTCTTTATTTCCAACAAATTCAGGCTACTATTTAATTTATTTCTGTTTGGGTGTTACAACATAAGTATGCACCCCAAAGAGAAAGCATGACCAAAGAGCATCATGAGTTTGCACCTCAAGGGTATAAAACATGACCAAATAGCATCATGAATATGCAGCACAAGGATAAAACATGACCAAAGAGCATCATGAGAATGTACAAGGAAAAAACATGATCACAGAGCATCAGAGTATGTACAAGAATAAAACTTGACCAAAGAACATCAGGAGTAAGCACAACAAGGAGAACATTTGACCAAAGAGCATCATCAGTTGGCATCACAAGCAAATAAAACATGAACAAAGAGCATTATAAGTATGTACAAGGATAAAACATGAACACACAGCATCATGAGTATGCGCCACAAGGGTAAAACATGACCAAAGATTATCATGAGCATGCAATACATAGATAAAACATGACCAAAGAGCGTCATGAGGGCGCAATATATGTATAAAACATGACCAAAGAGAATAACCCCAAAAGCCACAAAAACATCCACCATTCTTTGCAATTGATTCAGATCTTCTTGGCTAAATACAACACTCTTCTGGTTCTTCAAGCTCCATACTTTCCCAACAAGGTCTGGCTGTTTCCCGGGTTGGAATGCCACTAAAACTGACCCAATTTGAGTCGTAAGAAGATACACAAAATGTGATGGTTGAGCTATCCTCCTTTCCAAAGAGACTTTAATTTGATGCTTCCAACAAAGATGGGACTGCTGAGAGAGGTGTGTGCATCTTTAAGGAGACTACCCTGAAGGGGGATTAGGGTTTTAAATCTCTTGGTAAGCAATTTACTCAGTCAGTCTTTTTTTTTTAACAGTCAGTGTGTATCTGTAATGTATAACTCTATATTACTTTTTAAAATTTGCAACTAACTGCTCATGTCTCAAATTCTGAATCTCCTTTTCATGTGAGGAGGCAGGGAGATGGAGATAAGACAGCTTGACAAACAGCATGACCACCGAAAGGTTGTTAGGATTTCTGCTGTTTATATTCCTGAGATGCCGGCTCCAACACATAAAATTCACTGGTGAAAACGCACAAGTACAATAATTAATGTTCGCATTCTTACCAGTGTGGATAATAACGACCATTCAAATCAATGTTAAACACAATTTATTTATAATTTCTTAATAAAATATAATTATAAACACTCGAGAGCTAAAATTTATTAAACAGGTCAAAATTTATAATACAAATGCAAGCAACATGTCTAACTTTGGTATGCAACATTTGTGTGATGTATCATATCTCTTTGGTCATGTGATGAGAAAAGTAGCACTGGAAAATATCACAATGACTGGAAAGATCACTGGTAGAAGAGGCAGACTAAGAGAAATGTTGGATGGCTTCAGACAGCGGCATGCAGGAATATCAACAGTGGAATGGATCCAGAACACCAAAGACTGGGATCTGGGGAGATGCATGAAAGCCTACACCAGCTGGCAAGGCACTTGATGATGATGATCTTACCTCTTTACTCTGACCCATTAAAATTTTTTTTTCAAATGCACGATTTTACAACATTACTCTCAGGAATATCAAACACTCAGAACTACCTTCCTCACACACAGTTGCTTTATAATAAAATATTCGTCCAAAATGTGGATGGTTTCAAAATTTACATGAACTCATTCAGTCAAGTTGTTTCCTAATAAAACCACTCAAACTGTTTTCTTACAAAGCTCTTTCCAGTTTGGAGTGTTTCATAAATAACATTATCCAATCAACATGTTCTATGACAAAACCCTCCAATGAACATGTTATGTTAAGAAGCCATCCAGTGAGTTATTCCAATCAGAACCAGTGAATCAAGCCATTCCTGAAAGATGTAGTCTAATCAAGCTGTTTCTAAATAAAACCATTTCAAGTGTTTATCAATCTATTTCCACTCAGATTGTTTTATAAATAAAACCATTCAATCATAATATTCCGTGACCAAAATCTGCAATGAAAATATGTCAAGAAGTTAATGAATCAATTATTCCAAACAGAATTAGCCAGTCAGGCTGTTCCAAAATAAAACCATCCAATCAAATGTTTCCTTTTAAAGGCATTCTAATTGTTTTCTAATAAAGCTTTTTCCAGGTAAACTGTTTCTTAATAAAACTATCCTGGGTTTCATGATAAAACCTTCCAATGAATATTTTATGTAAAAATGCCATCCAATCAGTTTTGCCTAAGCATCAGCCAATCAGGTTGTTTCAAAGTAAAGCCATCCAATCAAGTTCTTGAAGACAGTTTCTAGAGTATCAGCAATTGATATTTATTGTGTGCAAAACCTGTTTCTCTGATTCATTATGGTGCTGACAAAACATGGAGTAGCACGGCTGGGCAGCCAGAGACTGTAAAAACTCAGTCAGGTAGCTCTGCAATTATAAAATAGATTAGAAAAATCATTAAACAAAAGAGAAAACATGCATCACTCGATATTTTATATTGTTTCCAGACATTTCAATCTCTAGAATGGCAGGATATTTTCGGACACGCATATGGGTGAACCGTCCCATTAAAAAAAATTTTTTTTGGGTTAAATGGATAAAATGATTTGTAGAATTGCCTCGAAAAAGACAGCCACCTCCTATATATTTAAATAAACAGAAATATACAGGGACCCCTTAACTTATGACCAATTTCCGTTCCAAATAACAGGTCATAAGTTGAACTTGGTGTAAGCCAATTTTTTTTTTTTACAAAATTGGTAAACACTATTTTTATTCAAACGGGTTACAAAATTTGTGCATAAAACACAGAAATTCAATCCATGTACTCTGCTGTGCTACAGGCATCAGTTCCGGATACCTTCTAACCCTACCAATGCAGTTATCTTTCTTTATTTACTTGTTTGTTGTGGTTGCAAGTACTGATGTTCGTTAAGATGGAAAAGTTATAATTCAAGGAAGTGCACAACAGGTCCTGCAACACAGTGAAAGATATAAAACTGTCTACACACTGATGTCTAGGAGGAATGTAGATATGTGTGCGCTCAATCGCATACAACAAATAAGATCTGTATAGAAAAGGAAGAGTATACAAACAATCCTTACATCTTCCCCCAACACTCACTAAATTAAATGGTGACAGAGCTGAAAAATCTCTGCTGCCGCCACCAGATGTTCTTGTTTGTTTTGTTGTCCTGGTCTCTCAGGTATATACAAGGGGAAGTCATTAAGTAAAAGCAACTGTATCATAGTCTGCATGGAACAGTATGCAGAAGACACAAATATTATTTCTGGACACAGAATGGTACCCTAGCGATACCTAAATTATGTGCCATGACAATTTAGCAATAGGCACAATGGCTCGTACAAGATGGCAGCAGCACTGTTAATATGCACCGTGGAAGAGTTAAAAGGTGTAATTCATTTTGTGTGTGTGTGGGTGCAGCCCCACATGGCTGCACATACAGTGGAGACACTAAAGACTCAACGGTCTGAAGTACTGTAACATTCAGCATACAGCCCAGACTTGGCATCATTCGACTTTCATTTGGTCCACTGAAAGAACATTTGCGGGGTCAAATATTTGTAGATGAGAATGAGGTTTAAGGTTTTGAACAACGGATCAACATCATGACACACGTGTAGTAACCCATAAGCGCTCCGTTCTTCTTTTAACTCAAGTCTGAGCCTGAAGAAGCTCAGGACAGTGCACAGGCTCTGTAGCACCGGCGAGGGTCCTGAAATACTTTGGGTAGATTTTTAAATAAAAACTTTGCCCGGGTTGAAGTGATATCGTATATGCAAACTTGGTTACTTAGTTAGTTAGTTAGTCTTTCCTCTTGTGTCAAGTGCGGCACATAGGGCAGAGGTCATGACTCTCCATGCATGGCGGTTCGTTGCAATCTGTTGTAGGTCTTGGATGTTTGAGTGGCCCATGAGTGAGCCTTTCCTGATGATAGTTCTACGTAGGGTTTCCCTTGGTCTTCCACGAGATCTTTTCCCCTGTGGTGTTCAAATGAGGGCTTGGTAAGGAAGTCTTGATTTATCCATTCTAAGGGCGTGGCCGACATAGTTCCAGCAGCGTTTTCGTATAAAATTAGACACATACTCTTGCCTGGATTCTTGCCTTATTTGTGCATTGGTTCGGAAATTTGACCATTTGAAATTTAGTATTCTTCTATGGCATTTATTTTTAAAACTGTCTAATTTTGTGTCTAGAGTTTTCGTTGATTTCCAGCTCTCGCATCCATAGGTTAGTACTGGAATCACACAAGAATTGAAGATCTTGAGTTTTGTGTGTTTGCTAAGTGTCTTTGATTTCCAGATGTTGGACAGTTTATTGAAGGCACTAGATGCCAGTGCTATTCTAAATGGTATTTCTGGTGCGGTATCTCCTGTAAAGCTTCTACCTGGCCGGCACCTACAAACTTGCAGATCAATGGACTACACGTGTTGCAAGGCAGGGAGACTGTCAAGAAATAGGACACAGAACAATTTTGTTCCGGCCGCTTGTGAAAAATGTATTAATGCAACTACCTTTACTTAATTACTTCCCCTATCTAAATACCACAACAAACATATAATTACAATTATTATTAAAATCAGGTCAACGTCAATTAAACATTCAGAGGAAAGTCAAGACAAATATCAAGAGATACTAAGGCGTATTAAAATGACATGCTACGAGAAGAAATGGACTTGACTGGTGATGAATAGTGAGACTGATTGAAACAGAGCTATAGGAAGAATAGGAAATAAATATCTGGATCACTGGCCAGTGAGAGTGAGACAAGAAGATTTGTTAACTGTCGTCCGTATGGACATAGTAGCACATCTGTTCAAGCCATTTGTGCTCCGTCCTCTGATGCAGCACCCATTTCACTGTCTCCATTCTCACCACACCCAGTAGGAGTTGACTGGCATACATATCTTCTTTTTCTCCCTGCAACCAGTTTCCACATACTTGTCCTTGTTTAATACCCATTCCAACAGGCGATTCATCATCTCCGACTCCTGTGTCTGAATGTCTCTGGAGCGCAGCACATTTAGTATGTTGCCACTGTCTATACTTCTTCCTCCACTAACTATTGCAGACACGGCCAGTCTCTCGGCTCCTTTCCTTTCACCCTGGCATATCCTGATATGTACTGTCCACCCATTCTCACCGAGTCTGTCACTATCAATGTGTGAGAAGACTGACCTGATCCATGATTCTGGTCATCGTGTGAGATGGTGAAAACTGACCACCAATGCTTATTAGCACAGCACATGATATTCAGATGCAACCAGGCTGAATCGGCAGTGCACACTCAGGCTGGTTGGGATTCGGCCAATGCTGGTAATGTTTCCATTATGGTTTTTAAGTTAATCAGTGTCAACTTCTTCTTCTACTGCCTTCATTCTTAAAAGGGAGTTGGGCATACCATGATATGGTGACAGCTATGATGTTCTATTTACACTCTTAGCCAATACATGTTGTCAAAAAATCCTTAATTTGCCTATTGTACTTGTTATAAGATGGTCATGGGTCTCTTTTGAGGTGGTAAACAGAGTGGATAATCTGGTGATTTGTCAAACACTTACCTGGATGTTAATGTGGTTGTTTGGATCATTCTTTGCGTCAGGGTCATCATCTTCCTCAGAATCTGTTGTGAAGCCTATGAAGATAGACAGCAACATATATATATATATATATATATATATATATATATATATATATATATATATGTGTGTGTGTGTGTGTGTGTATGTATATATATATATATATATATATATATATATATATATGTGTGTGTGTGTGTGTGTGTGTGTGTGTGTGTGTATATACACACATATACATACAGAAAGAAAGAGAGAAAAAGTGAGAGGGATGAATACACACCTGCACGCACGCACGCACACACACACAAGTTGACATTTTGCATCACATGAAAACATGTCAGTAATTATATTTGTGGAAAAGGTGGCATGATTTTTTTATTCTGATCAGTAATGCTTGCTTGTGATTGACAAGTGTTTCCGAGGCTTGTTATGGGAGCGAGTTCTGCAAGGGGCATGCTACTGACCGACTGACCAGCAACGCTTTGGTGCTAATAATATCACCCATTGCGTGCCAGTCACTCTTAAACAAAAACAAAAAGGGTCTATCAACAAATGCCTAGTGTTAAAAGGGTACTTAAATTCACTCACTACACATATCAGCCATTTTTTTTAAAAACATGAACCCTGTTGTACTGAGAACGCTTAAAAAAACCAATGAGTTATACTCTATGCCCCCCCCCCCCTCTTCCCCTTTAAAATAACAGAATATTTTACACAGGTCACCTAATGCATTGTTTCCAAAATGTACTATGGAAAACAAATTATAACATATAAAGATACATAAAAGAATTAATTAAACACAGAAGAAAACCTGGAAACCTGGTTAAGAACCTAAAATATAGTATGTTTGTGAGGTTTACTGAGTTACTAAGTGTTTGTTTGGAAACCTGGTTAAGAACCTAAAATATAGTATGTTTGTGAGGTTTACTGAGTTACTAAGTGTTTGTTTTGGAAACAATATGGCCGCCCAGCAGTAACCTACACACAAGCCAACATGATTTACGGCTTTGGAAGCTTCAAATTAAAACAAAACATGTGTTGATCAGATTTATCCGAAGTTAGATGGAGAAAGTTGTCAAGTAGATTTGTTTCCGTAATCTATATTCAAACTATGATAAAGGATAGCTCTAATATGTGCCTCGTTCAAGGCGAACAAGGATAACAACATCGGCTGGTACAAAAACAACAAACATTAGTGAAAAGGCGATTTTCTTCAGTGTCAGTTAGTGCTAGTTCTTTTCCCCTGATTATTTAGGAACATGGCTACAAAATTACAGGCAAACTGAGTATTATATAATCTTTGTTTTGTGTTGGGGTAATAATTATTTTGGGATGTCAGTTCTATTTAACAAATTATTGTGCTCTGTTATGCTGCCCTAAAAGTTTCTCTGGAACAAGATCTAATGTACAGATTGAGTTTTTATTTTATTTTTACATTACTAAGTGATTCACATTTACCTATGATTCATTTTGGATATGTTTTAGTGAGTTTTCCTGGAGGAAAGTGGAGGTCATTCGAAAAATTATTTTTTCATTTCGCTAATTTATCTTTAAAAAAAATGCCATCTGTTTATTACTAGTATTTAACTACTAACACAATTATTTGAAGGTCGTGGGTTTTCTTCTTGGCGGAGCCAGCTCCCAGGTCGATCCAGCCTTGAGTGTGTACCAGGTGCAGTCCTGGAAAGTAAAGGCGGTCAGCATGATGCTTACCACATCACCCATCTTGTGCCGATTGGTCTATAAAAATATAGGACTAGCCCTATATGCCTAAAGGCGTGCAAAAGGGACCTTTACTTAATTTAACATAATTATTTGTTGTAGCAGTATTCTAATATTATTCCTCAATGATCAATGGTCACTTTGATGTATAATATATTGTATGTTTCACGGTAGCTGAATTAGTATAGTGTGTCTGTCCACAAGTGTAATTTCACAAAATAATTTGCATTGTGGTGGTAGAAAGTGGAAGACAGGAAAAAACAGCTTTTTATAAAATGAAGAACATCTTATGCAATATATCTCTGTCATTGAAGGTTAGAAAAATAACTCTTGCTTGCTACAAACATCCAATTTTGACATATGGTTGTGAGTTCTGGACAATCAGTAGGCAGGCAAAACAATTTCTTGAGGCCTCGGAGATGTGGTTTTACAGAAGAATGCTTAAAAAGACAGCCAAAAAAGAGCAACCCAGAGGTTTTAAAAGAGGCAGGAGCCCAAAGACAAATTATCACAGACATCAGAAAGAGACAGCCATAATTTTTCAGCCATGTTATGAGAAGAGGGAAAACAGAATATGTTGTGACCACTAGAAAGATCTGTGAAAGGAGGGATAGAGGAAGACGAGAGAAGATTTTTAACAGTCTTGTTGCGTGGCATGGAGGTATGTCAGCACAGGAATTGATAAATTCTGCAGGAGATCGCAGATTATGGACAGGTATGATTGCCCGCCCCAGTCGGCAAGGCACCTGATGATAATGATGATGATGATGATGAATCTGCATGCTCGTTGCCTTATACACCTGCATGACCCAGCACAAATATGAAAATTCAGCCAGCCATCTGTGAAACGCTTAGATACCTGTTGTACAAAAAACTGTAATGCAAGACTAAGATGTGCCCTACCTTCACCATTTAAGTTGCTGAGAAGGTCAGAAAGAGACTGGCCACCAGCAACAAAATCATCATCATCAATGTTTTCGTTGCCGTCTTCATCCTCTTCATCGTCCTTAGAGAAAAGGTAACCATAAAATATGACTTCTAAATGCACTAATTTAATCATAATTAGAGAGAATGCCTTATAACATCACATCATACAAGGCATATGCCAGAACAGAAGAGCGCTGTAGAGCACAGGACAGGCCAAGAACAAGAGGTAGACATAACGTTTTGTGTTGTGTTAAGTTAACTCTCATAATTGCACCCATTCTTTCAACATCACTTTTAAACTGGGTTATGACTGCTTGATGCTGCAGAATAAGCTTTCTGCAGGATTAGATAGCCAATCTCACAACTCTCCCAAGTTGCCTCTTACAACAAGGTCGATTACATGGTCACTGTTATCTGTTTCCCTCTTAGACCTCAGTAAAGCAGGCTGACAGACTGAGTGCTGCTGCTCATCTGGGCGGTGAGCTACTTTGATAAAGCAGATGCGGTGAAAGCTCTCTGGGATCAAATGGACAGTGCAATATGGCAGACAGACAATCCATACATTGAAAGACTAATTCAACCAAGGCCAGCAAAGATTCTGGAAGATATTCAATACCACTACTATTAGCATATCGACTTTTGTTTGGCTACTGATGAAAGAGACAGGGCATGAGTGGGAATATCTCGAGTACGGTTATATCAATTCATGATTCACTCATAGCTCATCAAAACATGAGCATTCATATCTTCTTCTTTCTACTTTGTGTTCACCAGCTGTAAACTCTGGCAGAAAGTTCTGGTTGTTCATCCACTTTCGGACTGCAGTTCTGTTCCAGAACCTGAGTGTTGTGTGTGCATCCATTTTACAGATCCGACTCATCTGTATGGAGACTGCTGGTTCCTTGCCTCTCAGGCAGATGCACTCCGACTTCGAAGGAAAGCATTTATATGATTCATTCCTTTCCACTGCTAGGATGCATTGTTGGAGGGGGGGGGGGGGGGGCGCGGTGAGAGAAGGAGCCTCACTGCCACTTATTACGCAGCATGTCGTAAATAGCAACTAATCAGAAAACTGCCTAGCTGTAAACCACAATACAAGGTGCCAACTGCTCCTTCAGGGGCGAATTTAAAAGAAGAAGAAGATCCTGGTTTTATTTAAATTGTCCCCGTCTGTGTTCTTGGCACCAATGTAGGGAGATAAGAATAGATGCTTGGCACCAATGTAGGGAGATAAGAATAGATGCTTGGCACCAATGTAGGGAGATAAGAATAGATGTTTGGCACCAATGTAGGGAGATAAGAATAGATGCTTGGCACCAATGTAGGGAGATAAGAATAGATGCTTGGCACCAATGTAGGGAGATAAGAATAGATGCTTGGCACCAATGTAGGGAGATAAGAATAGATGCACTGCTCTCATAGCAATCATGTTGTAAAAGGTGACTAATTAGGTACATTTCCTTCAGGTGCATCGTCCTGAGAGACGAGGAACTAACAGCTGCATACAAATAAGCTAAATCTGTAAAACAGGGGTGCACACCAAATTCAAGTCCAGAAACAAGACCAAATTCCAGAAGTGGAGGAACAACCAGAACTTTCTGCTGCAGTTTTCAGCCGGTGAACACTTAAAAGAAGAATAGATTTGCATGTGATTCTAAGCCATGAATTGTTACCTCATCATCATCAAGTGCATCATCCTCTTCAGCATGTGTAATGTTCTCTTCTATGGCATTTGACAACTCATTGATGAGAAGTTTATAAATCTTGACCAGTGCAGGAACAGTTGTCCATTGCTCTGGAGCTGTAAAATAATCAATGTAAGATTGTCATTTTGTCCACTTTAAGACAATGTTATTTTGCCCATTCAGAGACAATGTTATTTTGCCCAATTTACGACAATGCTATTTGGTCACACTGAGACAAATGTTTTTTGCTCACTTAGAGAGAATGTTACTTTCCCAACTTAAAGAAAATCTTATCTGGTAACTAAGAATGTTACTTTGCCCACTTAGAGACAATGTTATTTTGCCCACTTAAAGACAATGTTATTTTGCTTGCATAGAGACAAAGTCATTTTGACCACTTAGAATGTTATTCTGCCCACTTAGAGACAATGTTATTTTGCCCACTTAAAGACAATGTTATTTTGCTTGCAAAGAGACAAAGTCATTTTGAGCACTTAGACTACAAGGAAACCAAAACAGCGCTAAAGCAGTCTTTTAAGTGGGAGTGGAGAAGACAGAATGGAGATTACAGACCAGAGAGTGACAGCATAAACAAACTCAACAGCAAAGAACAAACATCAATTTTTAGACTTCGGACAGGACACTGTGGACACTACAAGAGGAGAGGGACATGAAGCATGAGGTAAACCAAAAACTAGACTGAAAGATAACAGTAGAGAAACTCTAAAACAATACACTTGTATTGTTTCTGCAAAAAGCAGAAATTTACAAAGAGCAAGTGAAGAAGAAGTGGACTGCTTTTAAACAATAACTGCACGCTTTTATTACATAATTAATTAATTTCCCAACTCTGTGCAATATATTGTTTATGTCCACATTATTACAATTTAACAGAAGGAAAACATTGTTCTGAATGTTGAAAATATCAAGGCTACAGAAAGAAAAAACCCAAAACATAAGCACACAGATTTCTCTGACATACACTATAGTGGTAGTGTAGTGGTTGACACGTGTCTGCTGGGTCAAAGGTCTTCAGTTTAAATTTTCACCGTGTCCAATTTGTTTTATCTTCAAAACTGACTGGCTCCCAGATCGATCCCCCCAAAATGGTTATTTCCTGTTTTTATTTTCCTTCTATATTCTGCTTTGTGACCGCAGGTTAGCAGAGAATCGGTATCTGCGTACTAACATAACACAGCGTAACCCTTGACCCATTAGGGTGTGGAGGTGTATTGACGGAAGCACTAGCACATAACATAACAGTGTTAGAACCACACATACTAATGGATCTTCTTCTTCTCCTCTTTTACCGCTGTGGGTGTCGAGGGAGATATAAGGTTCTGTTTCTAGCTCTTCTGGCTGCCTCGACCATAGGCACATCGTGCTGTTGTAGAGTTTCTCTGATGTTATCCTTCTATCTTGTTCTTGGTCTACCCCGTGCTCTATGTCCTTCTTCTCTTTCCATGTATGCTTTGTATGGTATGGTGTCACAAGGCATTCTCTCTAAGTGGGCAAACCATTTCACTAATGGATGAATACTAATGGATGAAACAGAAAAAGTCATTAAACAGTCTCCCAAATATAAAGCACCAGGAGCTGATAGATTACCAGCAGAAATAATTCAAGCAGCAGGTGAAAGCAGCATCAGATGGCTTCATAGAATATTCAATGCAGCATGGGTACAACAAACGGCCCCTATTGATTGGCAACACATGCAATAGTTTATACCATTGTGGAAGAATAAAGGAAGCAACGAGAATGCGGTCAATATCGAGGCATCTCTCTTTTAAGCCATGTTGGCAAAATGTATGCCAAGATAATAGAAACAAGACTGAGACCAGTGATAGAATCACAGCTGGCAGAAGTACAGATGGGATTTAGGAGAAACAGAAGCTGAACAGATGCAATCTTCACACTAAAACAGTTAATAGAAAAGAACATTGAATACAATAAGAACTTATTTGTGGCAATTCGTAGACCAGGAGAAGGCATCTGACAGAGTTGACAGGCAATTATTATGGAAAGTAATGGCAGATATGGAGTTAGCGAACACCTCATCGAAGTGTGCAAAAGTTTATACAGGGATTGTAGAAGTGTAGTTAGAATAAATCAGGGAACATCTCATCCTTTCACAGTGACATCTGGGAGTAAAGACAGGGGTGTGGTCTTATCACCACTGCTGTTTATCACCTACATCGACAGTATATGCAAGAATGCCAAGCCCATAAATGAAGATCTTAGTAAGATCACGAATTACTCTTTGCAGTATGACCAGGCCTTGATAGCAGATACAGCCATGAAATTGCAACAACATCTAACATCCATGAATGAAGAATGTAAAACAAATAATATGAGAATCAACACTGAAAAGACAGAAGTAACGTCAAAAGAAAAAAAAAGAAGACAGATCTAAACATAGCAATATAATACAAAGGCATTAAACAGGCATCTGAGTTTAAATATCTGGGAACTACATTTACCGAAGATGGGAAATTGGATAAAGAAATTGACATTAAATGCAGTAAAGCAAACCAAGTATTGGGACAGCTAGCCCCCCTCTTACAGCATAAGACAATCCCAATCAGCACAAAGAGACATCTTATTCAAAGCATATTTATTCCAACTCTGTGCTACCAGTGCCAGACATGGTCACTCACAACAAACCATAAAAGAAAATTAGTAACCACGGAAATGAGATTGGTCTGAGAAGGGCTGTAGGGTGACCATAAGAGATAAGATCAGGAATGAAATCATAAGAGAACAAGTCGGCACAGAACCAATTCTGGATTACATACAAAGACAGCAAGTGAAATGGTTTGCTCACTTAGAGAGAATGCCTTGTGACACCATACCATACAAAGCATACATGGAAAGAGAAGAAGGACGTAGAGCACGGGGTAGACCAAGAACAAGATGGAAGGATAACATCAGAGAAACTCTACAACGGCACGATGTGCCTATGGTCAAGGCAGCCAGAAGAGCTAGAAACAGAACCTTATATCTCCCTCAATACCCACAGAGGAAAAGAGGAAGTGAAGAAGAAGAAGAAGAAAACTAGCACATAAAACCTGCCATCTTTCTCTGTCTTCTGCTTGATGAATAAGTGTATGATAACTTAGTCCTGTCCATTCCAGATTCCTCTTCACCCTCCTATTCTTTGACTACCCCTAATGTTCCTTGAAGTACAGTCTTTGCAATCGAATCATGTCTCACTACGTGCCCAAACCAAGCTAGCTTGCAGCGTTTCACCACAGCTAAGAGAGGCTCCTGATGTCTCGCAAATTTGTATATTTTGTCACTGACATATTTATTTGTTTTGTGATCTAAATTAAATAACTAGTTAGGTCACGCTCTGCTGCCTGCTATGCTGTGATGTTGTCAAGTCTCAGGGTATCAGTGACTCCTTTCAATACATCTTCTTCCTGGTCATCCTCTACTTCTGGTGTTTCTATTTTTTTCTTCTTCTTTGCGTTCACCAGCTGTAAACTCTGGTGGAAATTTCTGGTTGTTCATCCACTTCTGGACCCTAGTCCTGTTCCAGAACCATTTTACAGATCTGACACATTTGTGTGCAGACTGTTGGTTCCTTGCCTCTTAGGCAGATTCACTCCAACTTCAAAGGAAGCTCCCAATTAGTGGACTTTTACAACATGCTTTTGGGTAGGCAGTGGGTCTATTCTTGTTTTCCCTATAATAGGGTCCCGGAACCTTCACGGGGATCACTGGATTCATTCTCATTAAATTGAAAAATCATTGAAGAAAATAGTTACCACGCAGCTCGGTAGCTACAGCGACGTTCCTTCATTAACCCCAGAGTGTTAACTCTGGTACCCATTATCTAGATGCTGGGTGAACCCCAGGAACCACCCGGTTTCTAACATTGGCTGTGGGCTGCAGCGAGTGGCAACTGGATTTGAAAGTGAGTCTCCTATCGACTGTGCTAACGCAACCCCTTGTAAACTCAGAACAATGGGAACTGCTGATCTTCCAATACTAGTAAATATATACAATGGACATTGCTGATTCCTCAAAACAATATAGTAAACATACAGCAATGGACAAGTATATATCTGTGTGTATACACACACACATACACACAGATTTATATATTTAAACACACACACACATATGTATACAGTAAACTTCAATGGATGTGCCGATTTCCCACAAAGTAAACATATAACATGAACACATCTGATCCTCAAAACTAGCAGACTTACCACAACTTACACTATTAATATCCAAAATTAGCAGACTTACAACAGTGGACACTAATGGTTTCCAAAACTAGCAGGCTTACAACAGCGGACACTACTGGTTTCCAAAACTAGCAGGCTTACAACAGCGGACACTACTGGTTTCCAAAACTAGCAGGCTTACATCAGCGGACACTACTGGTTTCCAAAACTAGCAGACTTACAACAGCGGACACTACTGGTTTCCAAAACTAGCAGGCTTACAACAGCGGACACTACTGGTTTCCAAAACTAGCAGACTTACAACAGCGGACACTACTGGTTTCCAAAACTAGCAGGCTTACATCAAAGGACACTAACGATTACCTGATTTTGCCTTTGACCTGGTACGAATACCATGCCCTTGGGGAACTATTGGCTCACCCTGCACCATGATGTCCTGCAGTCTGAGGTCATTGGTGGTGATGGCGTGCTGCAGCAGCTTACACAAGGCTAGAATACTGACAGGAGAAACAGAGACATGATTTTAGCAACACGTTTATTACACAGTTCTTTATCGTCTTGCTTAACCTCCTCTTGTCCCTTTTTTCTTGCAAGTTTTAATCTGCTGTTTCATTTTGTGGTGAATTATAATAAGATACTATTAATCATATTATCTTTGTGTAGAGTCATAATCACACTGAGCCGGGAGTGCAGAGACTGGCCGGCGGGTGCCGCTGAGGTGAAAATTCAGAAATTAATTCAAGATAATGCTCGCTCAGAGGATTTGATCATTTACACAGACGGTTCAGTGTCAAGAGGCAAAAGAAGTGCTTGGGGCTTTTTAGCAAAAGTTAATGGTCGACGTTTGGTGCAGGAGAGCCTAGCATATGATACCACAACATCCAGCTTAAGAATGGGGGTGGAGGCGGTCACTGCAGCTTTCCGCTGGCTAGAGAACACACGACACACACACACACACAACGTGATTGTAACTGATTCAGAAAGCATGCTGAGAAAGATCAGAACAGGTATGCGTCGTGCAGAGTGGCATGCTTCGCTGCGGAGGACACGAGTAAGTATTGTCTGGATTTTTTCACCTTCCCACGCCGGTGTGTTGGGAAATGAACAGACGGACAGACTGGCTGGCTCTGCACAACTTGGTGGAATACTGATACATGATAAGGCAGACGTGGTTAGTGCCTTGTGGGAGAGCGTGTAAAATTCGGTGGAGCAGATGGATCACCACAGTCTGGTGAGATTGATGCTGTTGGGGGTGACGAGAGGTTCTGGCAAGATGATCGAGGCTCAGAGGAAAGGCAAGATAGACGTTTAATCAGAATGCTGTTGGCATCATTAATATTGGAACTCTTTGCTGGCTGCTGAAGATGGGGACGGAGCACTTATGGGGAATGCCTCGAGTGCTGTGATGTTGGTTCTTGAATCAAATCAAAATGAAATCATATCAAATCTTTGTGTGCCATTGAAAATAAAGTCTCATTTCTTAAAACACCTGCAAATAAATTAAGTTTATCTTTACTTGCAAGGCAATAGGCAGGTCTGTTTACTTAAAGTATAAAACTATACAAAAAATATAAATATATCTTTTCTTCGTGTGGTTTGTTAACCTAAAATAACACACTCATGTTTCTCTCTGTTTGGTTTTTTTTAACCTAACCCCAAGTATAAAACTCCTTTCTGTCCATGTGGTTTGTTAAACTAATGTATAAAACGTTTCTCTCTGCTTTTTTTTTTTTTTTTTTTACCTAACCTTAAGTATGAAACTCCTTTCTCCCCATGTGGTTTGTTAATTCGGCCTGAATTCTTTTCTCCCTGTGTGATCTGTTAACCTGAAGTATAAAACTTTTTTCTCCCAAGTGGTTTGTTAACCCAAAGTATAAAACTCTTTTCACCATGTATGGTTAATTACTGTTAAATAAAGTGTATTACTCAATTCTCAAATATTCTGGAAAAAAAGAATAGACTAACTTAATTAGGGATTTGCTTAAATAGGAGGTGGTTGGCAGAAAGAAAAAGATACTGCAGCCTAGCTGTAAACCACAACATGACATGCCAATCGCAGAATATAACTCTCTCCCACAACTGAAGTGTACTGTGTATATGATGATATCCCTATATTTTTTATACCAAACACCAGTCAGCAGTAATGTAGATGATAATATGCCAGTAACCTTCCTGTTCCAGAGCATGTTCTGGTATCTATTTTATTTCAGGTATGGATGATATAAACCCATGTCACTGGAGGTCTACAATAGCTCCTCTTTCCTTTCCTTACATGAGCTACAATAGCGCCGCTCCTGTTTAAACAGATGATCTACAGTAGCTACCTTTTTGTTTACAGACAATCTACATTAACTCCCCTTTTATTTACCTTGATAAACTACAGTGAATCCCTGTTTGCTAACCTAGATGACATATATTAAACCCTTTGACTAACTAGGTGACATGCAATACCCCCTCCTTTGACTACCTAAGTGACATACAATATCCCCTCCTTTGACTACCTAAGTGACATGCAATATCCCCTCCTTTGACTACCTAAGTGACATGCAATATCCCCTCCTTTGACTAACTAGGTGACATGCAATATCCCCTCCTTTGACTACCTAAGTGACATGCAATATCCCCTCCTTTGACTACCTAAGTGACATGCAATATCCCCTCCTTTGACTACCTAAGTGACATACAATATCCCCCCTTTGACTACCTAAATGACATGCAATATGCCCTCCTTTGACTACCTAAGTGACATGCAATATCTCCCCCCCTTTGACTACCTAAGTGACATGCAATATCCCCTCCTTTGACTACCTAAGTGACATGCAATATCCCCTCCTTTGACTAACTAAGTGACATGCAATATCCCCTCTTTTGACTACCTAAATGACATACAACATATCACCCCTTGACTACTTAGATGACATACAACATCTCCCCTTTTGACTAACTAGATTATCTACAGCAGTCCCCTTATGTTTACCTAGATGAGCAACAATGGCTCCCATTTTGTTTACGTAAATTAGCTTTAATGGTTATTTAATGTTTACCTAGATGCTCTTCACTTTACACAGATCAGATAGAATAGCTCCCCTTTTGTTTACCTTCATGATCTGCAACGGTTCCCCTTTTGCTTACATAGATGGTTTCCCTTTTGTTTAAATAGATCAGATACAATAGCTCCCCTTTTGTTTACTTACATGATCTGCAATGGTTCCCCTTTTGCTTACAGATCAGATACAATATCTTCCCCTTTGTTTACCTACATAAGCTACAATGGTTCCCCCTTTTGCTTACAGATCAGATACAATAGCTCCCCCTTTGTTTACCTACATAAGCTACAATGGTTCCCCTTTTGCTTACAGATCAGATACAATAGCTCCCTTTTTGTTTACCTAAATGAGCCACAATGGTGCCCCTTTTGCTTACACAGATCAGATACAATATACAAAAAACGGTTAAGACAGAAGCTATGACGAACAAACATTTCTGATCGCACCATACCTAATTTTTCTCTCATAGTGTCCAAAAAAGAGATGCTGCCGTGAGCACCACTCATTGAGCACAAACTCTAGGGCTGGCTTCCCCGTAGGCCCAGGAACACTGGTCAAGAAATCCAGAACTGCCTCCATCTGAGTCAACATCAGCTGGGCAAACACCATTAGCAGGCTCTGAGTTACAAGGAAGAAATGAAAGCAAAAGAAGTTCAGGCAAATATTTTTTGCGCTGTACACTAAATACATGTGACGGCAACAAGGGAAAGGGGAGTGGGGGCAGATTATATAGTAATTTTACATCAGCCTTGCAGGCCAGAAAAAAATTGATTAGTGGACCAGTTTTGGCTCGCGGGCCATAGTTTACCCATCCCTGCAAATGCCAAGAGTGGAATACAATAATAACATAAAACAATGCTTCAACAAAGCTAAATGGGAGCAAAGTGAACATACTTTTCAAACACACTGGTGTGAGGTTCAATTACCAGATGTGGTTGACTCAGTCTTATAGAATCAGTGCAAGATCCTTTTCTAGAATTGAAGACAAATTCCAGAAAATCATTTTCTAGAAATGAAGACAAATTCCAGAAAATCATTTTCTAGAAATGAAGACAAATTCCAGACAATCTCAGGGGGTGAGGAAAGTGTAAAATTGATATTTAAAAAAAAAAAAAAAAAAAAAAAAAAAAAAATTTCCAGAAATCCCACAGGGTCACAGCCTCTTTGTTTTTCGGCAAAAGTTTACAGGTGAATTCAGAGAACAGAGTGAATTAAAAGGTTAATAATGTAACGCTTTAGGGTTGAATTAAACAAATTCCAGTGAATCAAGTAGTGAAGAACAGATTCTGGCTCTGGATAGGTCACAGCTGAGAAAACATGATAATATAAATAGAATGTTCTTCAAATGGAACACACAGGTAGAACGTAATAAAGGCAGACCCAAAAAAGACAAGGAGAAGAAAATTCAATAATGATAAAAATTACAGGAAAGCATTAGGTGACGGCAAATGACAAAAACAACTTGGCACAAGTTGGTTGGGCACCTCTGCTGTGTCAGTGTATAAAGGGCAGAAGAGAAAAGAGTATGAAACAACCTTTTGATCTTACTTCCCATGTGGATTTCAGAGCTCCATTGGGAGGGGGAAGGTGGGGGAAAGAGAAACATATGTCCCCTTAAAAAGCATATCATAAAAGTCTACTAATTAGGGATGTTTGCTTTAAAGTCAGAGTGCATTTGCCTGACAGGCAAGGAACCAACAGTCTGCTTATAAATAAACCAGATGTGCATGCAAAATTCAAGTTCTGAAGCAAGATTAAGGTCTAGAAGCGGACAAACAACCAAAACTTTCTGCCTGTGAGCGGAAGAAAAGAAGAAGAAGATCTGAACAAGTAAATGAGAAAGTCTGGAGCCACAGTGACTAGTGGGCTTGCTTTTCAAGACAGGAGTCTGGAGCCACAGTGACATTGTGACTAGTGGGCTTGCTTTTCAAGACAGGAGTCTGGAGCCACAGTGACATTGTGACTAGTGGGCTTGCTTTTCAAGACAAGAGTCTGGAGCCACAGTGACACTGTGACTAGTGGGCTTGCTTTTCAAGACAGGAGTCTGGAGCCACAGTGACATTGTGACTAGTGGGCTTGCTTTTCAAGACAGGAGTCTGGAGCCACAGTGACATTGTGACTAGTTTTCCCCAAGGTCTTAGGTGTGAAAGGGTCGTTCGATATTTTAAAAAAAGGGTCATGACCGCCAGGTTGAGAACCGCTGTGCTATGGAGAGGAGGTACTTCATCCAGTACCACAGTCTGTCATTCACAGGCTTCCCAACAGCATAATCCTCTGGAAGGCAGAAAGGGAGCCAATAATCACAGAAGAAATACCAACTAGAGTAGAGCTGGTACATGTAACAGCTGGAGCAAGTACAGAGGTTGAAGACAAAGCCTTTCATTGTTGAGCTCCTTGTTCTTCTGTCTTTGCAGACGGTGGTTTACAGCTAGGCTGTGATATCAGCCTTTTGGTTTAACATCCAATTTCAGCAATCCCTTAATTAGTCACTTATTATAACATTTTTTTAAGGGGCTGTGGGTCTAATTAACTCTCCTTCCCTCCCAAGTAGGGATGACTCCAAAAACACAGCCAATGTATTATGGAGCAACCAAGGAATGCATTGTAAGCTGCACTTTTCTAAATGAGTTAAAATAGATCTCCAAAATGATGTCTCTTACCCTAGTTGTACATTATGATGTCAACTTCATGAATCAATATAAAAAAAAAGAAAGCATCATCAACTTCAGGAGTCAATATAAAAAACAAAACATCACAAAGAAACCAATCTGTCACCATCTGTCATCAAACCTACCTGCAGTACACTAAGTGTCTCCGCCTGTTGGATTTTACTGAGCACAGCTCGCAGCATCAGGTCCAGATTGTCTCCCAGCTGAGTGCCACACTTGCCGATGACAGTAGACACCAGCCTGCCCACAAAGGTGGCAGTGTGCTCTGATGTTTTTGGATCCAACAACTTGAAGATCACTTGGACTGTGTAGTGCATGCCATTGTTATCTGCGGTCAAAATGTCTGGATAAATTGTGTATCATCAGCAGGTTTTGCTTCTTGTTATAGAAAACGCTGTGTGGTGTTGGTAGTCACGTCTGCCCACAGAGTTCTATCTAATGTACTTACAAACATATTTACTGTAAAACTTCACTAACACGACCCCGATTAAGAAATAATTTGGTTAACATAAAAAAATAATTGGTTAACATAAAAATATTTGGTTACAGAAATAAATTTAGCAAGCTTAAAAATATTTGATCAACAACATTAACATATTTGGTTTACAAACAATATTTGGTTAACAATCTAAAAAAAATAATCTTTGGTTTCAGTAGGGATGTTGTTATTTGTATTGTTAGTCTCTGGTTAATACAAATTATTTATCATACAAACTCAACTTTGGATGCATTGGAATTTGTGTTAGCAAGGTTTTGGTGTAGTATGTTTCTTCATGATGCCACATTATCCAGCAGCTTCTACCTTGGTCTCCCTCTGCCTTTCTTTCCCTTCCAACTTTCCTACTGTTACAACATAATCCAGTTTTATTGGAGAAACTGCAGAGATGTTGTTTTATAGAATAATGATGCGAAAACTGCAGAGAGGTAGAAAAATTACTGAAGATGTTTGGGGGTGGGGGATGGATTTACAAACAGAACTAGTGAGGCATCAAGTTTAACGGCTAGACAACTGATCAGACAGTCAAGAGCAACTGGTGACCCAACGACCCACAGTGTTATGGGTCTATGATGGTGACAGTCTCTGGGCATGTCAAGGGAAAAAAAAGAAAACTGGAGTCGACTGTGACAATACTTAATTAAATATACATTTTTTTCAGCCTGTGCACAGCCTTGGCTTATGGTGGAAAAATTGAGGAAAATTTTAGTTTCACTAAGTTTCCTTGGAGGGCAAAAGGCAGAGTGGATGTTGGTTTGGCAGCACGGCATAAGGGAATAATAAAAAAAAAAAAATAGCTGATGTCACGCAAGACAAAGATGACCAACACCACACGGCTATGAGAAAACAAGTTCTATATCAATAACATGAAGAACATTTTGTGCTATAAATCCACGTAAATAAAGGCTGGAAAAATAATTCTTCCATGCTACACAGAGCCAGTTTTAACATATGGCTTGGTATTCTAGATAATTAATAAACAAGCCTAACAATTTTTTAGGTCTCTGAATGTGGTTTTGAAGAATTCTTAGAATTCCTTGGACAGCTAAAAAGAGCAACCAAAATGCTTTGAAACAGTCGTGGACCTGAAGACAAAATATATCGCAAAACATCAGTAACAGTCAGTCATCATTTTGTGGTCATATTATGAAAAAAAAGGAAACAGAAAAATCTTGCGAACCAATGGAAAGATCTGTGGGAAAAAAAGTGACAGAAGAAGACAATAAGAGAAGATTCTTGAAAGCTTTATGTTATAAAGGTGTCATCACAAGAACTGATACTTGCTGCTGAAGATCGCAGATTATGAAGAGGCGTGATAGCCAATGGCAGTTGGCACGGCATTTGATGCTGATGTGGATGATATCAAGTGTAGTTATCGCCTCCTGCTCCCTACAAACTCCCAGTGGAACAACAATCATGAACCAGTCTGCTCCCTACAAACTCCCAGTGGAACAACAATCATGAACCAGTCTGCTCCCTACAAACTCCCAGTGGAACAACAATCATGAACCAGTCTGCTCCCTACAAACTCCCAGTGGAACAACAGTCATGAACCAGTCTGCTCCCTACAAACTCCCAGTGGAACAACAGTCATGAACCAGTCTGCTCCCTACAAACTCCCAGTGGAACAACAGTCATGAACCAGTCTGCTCCCTACAAACTCCCAGTGGAACAACAGTCATGAACCAGTCTGCTCCCTACAAACTCCCAGTGGAACAACAGTCATGAACCAGTCTGCTCCCTACAAACTCCCAGTGGAACAACAGTCATGAACCAGTCTGCTCCCTACAAACTCCCAGTGGAACAACAGTCATGAACCAGTCTGCTGCCTACAAACTCCCAGTGGAACAACAGTCATGAACCAGTCTGCTCCCTACAAACTCCCAGTGGAACAACAGTCATGAACCAGTCTGCTCCCTACAAACTCCCAGTGGAACAACAGTCATGAACCAGTCTGCTCCCTACAAACTCCCAGTGGAACAACAGTCATGAACCAGTCTGCTCCCTACAAACTCCCAGAGGAACAACAGTCATGAACCAGTCTGCTCCCTACAAACTCCCAGTGGAACAACAGTCATGAACCAGTCTGCTCCCTACAAACTCCCAGTGGAACAACAATCATGAACCAACTCAATAGTAAACATTTAAAAACATTTTATGTCTTGCATCCTCCAGTCAGTCTGTGGTAACTGACTAGGAATGAAAGAATCCTAAGTATTATAACAAGTAACTAAATTTGGAAGTTGTCACTGACAGCTTAGTTAATGCATGATTTGATTTGATTTGATTCAAGAACCGACATCACAGCACTCAGGGCATTCCCATAAGCGCTCCGTCCCCATCTTTAGCAGCCAGCTAAGAGTTCCGATACTAATGGTGCCAGTAGCTTTCTGATTAAACGTCCGTCTTGCCTTTCCTCTGAGCCTTGAGCTTCTGCCAGAACCTCTCGTCACCCCCAACTGCATCAATCTCACCAAACTGTGGTGATCCATCTGCTCCTCCACATTGTACACACTCTCCCACAAGGCACTAACCATGTCTGCCCTATCATGTAGCAGTATTCCACCAAGTTGTGCAGAGCCAGCCAGTCTGTCCGCCTGTTCATTTCCCAACACACCGGCGTGGGAAGGTGAAAAAATCCAGACAATACTCCTCACTCGTGTCCTCCGCAGCAAAGCATGCCACTCTGCACGAAGCATACCTGTTCTGATCTTCCTCAGCATGCTTTCTGAATCAGTTACAATTACAATGTGTGTGTGTGACGTGTTCTCTAGCCAACAGAAAGCTGCTGTGACCGCCTCCACCTCCATTCTTAAGCTGGATGTTGTGGTATCATACAATAGGCTCTCCTGCACCAAACATCGACCATTAACTTTTGCTAAGAAGCTCCAAGAACTTCTTTTGCCTCTTGACACTGAACCGTCTGTGTAAATGATCAAATCTTCTGAGCGAGCATTATCTTGAATTAATTGCTGAATTTCCACCTCTGTGGCACCTGCTGGCCAGTCTCTGCATTCCCGGCTCAGCGAGATTATGACTCTACACAAGTCTGACTGCTCAGGTGGCACTTTGACCCACTTCTCTCCTCGCCTAATGTTCTCAAGGATGCAAACCTGTCTGATTGTGTTTTCTGCCTGAGCCATACATGACCTCCCTCTTTTCAGCCGCTGACCCTTAACTGCACCCATAGCTTCATGCAGAGGATGGTCTGTGTCTGCAGCTACCATGAGATATGACTTCGCCTGCATCACCTTGTGCCTACCTGCAACCGTCGGCAAACCAAGGATGTATCGCATACACACCTCTGGGGTGTCTCTGGTGCAACCCAGAATGACCCGCATAGCCGCGTTCTGTATGCGCTCTAGTTTGTCCATCTGACTCTTTGAGATAGTAAGCAGTCCCAGGCCATAATCCAACACTGACAGGATCAGGTGCTGATATAGTGTGAAAAGCATTCTCTGCTCTATGTCAATTGTAGCCATAGTCTTAAGTGCACTAAGTCCTTTTTGGCATCACGTCACAACACTCTCCACATGGTCCTTAAATGACAGGCTCCTGTCAAATGTAATTCCCAGATACTTCAGTTTGCTCTCTCTGTTGACATCTCTACCATCTATCGTGAGACTTGGGACATTAGTTTTAACGATTCTGTTGTTCAGAGAACACCACAAAACAGACGCCTTTTCCAGGTGGACGACAGCCTTCATTTCTGTACACCACTCAGTCACTTTGTTTACTGTCGCTTGTAGCTCCCGGGCTGTTTGTTCCCTCCCTTCCCCCTGCCTATATGCAAGTATATCATCCGTAAAAGTCAGTATCCTTCCAACTCCTGGCGCTTCTAGGCTTGCAATCTTGCTTGTATACACGTTGAAGAGCACAGGCGATATGGCGGATCGCTGTGGCAGTCCTGGGGCCAAAGTGCATGGTTCAGATATCCATGAGCCCAGTCGGAGAGCAACCCGACGTGAATACAGGACAGCTGCAACACAATTCACCAGCCATGGATTGACCTCCTTCTCCCTCAGTGCAGTCATTAAGATGTCGTATCTCACTCTGTTATAAGCATCCTCGAGATCCAGTCCTACCGCCATAGTTTCCTGTCTGTTCTGGAACCCTTCATAGACGTCAAAAGCAAAAGTGGCCGTATTTGCCCAAGTGTCCTTTCCTGGCCTGTAACTTCCCAGACCTCTTGGGAGACGCTTCCCCCTTTCCAAAAAATCTTGTAACTTTACAGCAACTATCTTCTCCAAGACCTTCCCAAATGTGTTTTGTAAGCTGATGATTCTAAAGCCACTAAGCTTAGAATGATCTTTAAAAGGTTTTGGTAGTGGGATTAGATAGCTGTGCACCCAGTCTTGCGGTACTGATGCTGTCTTAATACTCTGGTTAAAACAGTCGGCCATCTCTGCCAGGTCTACATCGCTCAAAGCCTTCATGTGACCATACCTGACACCATCAGGCCCTGGTGCAGTGTGTTTTGCTTTTTTCAAAATGTGTTTGATATCTTCCCCTTGTATCATGTCTTCATAATGCATATTTTTCAAGGTGCCAGCTAACTCCTTTCTAACTGCATCTCTGATGTCTACATCATTATGATCTGTCTGAGCTATAAACCTATGGAGAAAAGCCTCCCCTTTCTCCTTGTCTGTTGTCACACGCACACCATCGTCTCTACAAATTGTTCCGACTGTCATAGGCTGATCTTTTCTTTGCATCTGCCTTTGCAGTTTCCAGAATTTCCCCAATGTTTTATCACCTCCCATGTCATTCACAAAAGTTTCCCACAAGTTAATGCATGAAAGCTGCATTAGCTTTCAACAAAACCAATCGTTCCATGTTGTCAGTAATAAGACCGTGAATGCAGAAGCGGGTGTAAGGTAACTACTATTCATATTCGGCCCGACCGCAACTATCTGGCAGAATATCGAATAGTCAATAGGTCCACTATTTGGCCCCGAAGCGAATATTCGGTACAGCCGTAGTAAATAACAGTATCTATGTAGCACATACCGAGGCTTGCACCAGATACCAGTTACCTCTTCAAAACCTGGTGCTAAAAGGCAGAACAGGGCTAAAGAGGAAGACTCGAGCCAACCCTTTTTCGTCATCTCTTACAACATGCTAGGTTTATACTGTGGTAATTCTTTGCTTCCCTTATGGGCCCCAGTAACACAGGGGTAGTGCCATTATTGGAGCAGCAGCCAGTCCAGTGGCTAGGAATGCTGGGGTCTCAATAAAAAGACTCAGGTTCAAATCTTTGGTAAGGGGGATTATTTTCTATCGGGGGCACACATAAAAAAAAAAAAATCTCAAACATGCAGTCTATGAAGATTGAACTAGCCATGCATCCCAGGCTCAATACACCCCACACCCCCCCCCCCTCCCCCAACAGAAAAAATTGATAAAACCAGGCAGCAAGACTTTTTAAAGTGTCATTATTTAAAATGTGACGCGAATGAGGAAGAGAAAGGATCTGAAGTTCCTGTTTACCTAAGGAAGAAGTGAGGAAAATCATAAACTGTGTGAAGGCACCCTGTAGTCTAACAAGCCATAAATCACAAAGAATTCAGGCCATAAGAAAGAGGACGCATAATGCCAGCGGCAGTGAAGTTAAGATGAGGCACCGCATGGAGGCACAGTTGGGATTTCCCCTCTCTTCAGTCAAGATACCACGGTGACATTTCTTACTCAAAAGACTGAGTCTTTCTGGTCAGCAGTGATAACCGTCCAATTCTACAAAGGACAGACCATATGATGATATAATTATGTGATCTTACCGTAGTCATCTCTCAGCTCTATGACTTGATCTAAGGCTACAGAGGTGAAGGCTCGCAAGCACTCTCCACCACTCTACACAAGCAGAAGAAAAAGATTACAGTCAGACATGTTTTCCATACACAGTATCCAAAATATCGTCAAAATATTTCAGTTTCCGAGACAAGATGCTGTTTACAAGCAAACTTTTCTTGATGTTTTGGTATTTTAGGATGCCAGTACTTCTCCCAACCATAAAATTATTTTCGTTGCTTCTTCATAACTTCAGCGAATATGCATTTTTCTATGGTCTTTCGTGAAAGGCTTGTTTGACCCCCAAAAAGGTACAGGTTGAAAACCGCTGTACTAGAGGAAAGATACATGCTCTGAAAACAATAGATGTACGTGTATCAAAGAGCTCCAGTATTGTAGTGGGTAGATACTTACCTGCTAGCTACAAAGACTAGGGATCAAATAACACTTGAGACATTTCCCCTTTAAAATTGTTAATGGCTCCCAGGTTGACGAATCCTAACATGGGCAAGGAGTGATCTCCTAAGTTGACCAAGCCCCTAACATATGTGAGGAGTGATCGGCCTAGGTTGACCAAGTCTAACCTGGGTAAGGAGTGATCACCTGGGTTGACCAAGTCTAACCTGGGTAAGGAGTGATCACCTGGGTTGACCAAGCCTAACATGGGCAAGGAGTGATCTCCTAAGTTAACCAAGCCCCTAACATATGTGAGGAGTGATCGCCTGGGTTGACCAAGTCTAACCTGGGTAAGGAGTGATCACTTGGGTTGACCAAGCCCCTAACATATGTGAGGAGTGATCGTCTGGGTTGACCAAGCCTAACCTGGGCAAGGAGTGATCGTCTGGGTTGACCAAGTCTAGCCTGGGTAAGGAGCGATCACCTGGGTTGACCAAGCCTAACATGGGCAAGGAGTGATCGTCTGGGTTGACCAAGTCTAACCTGGGTAAGGAGCGATCGCCTGGGTTGACCAAGCTTAACATGGGCAAAGGAGTGATCGCCTGGGTTGACCAAGACAAACCTAGGTAAGGAGTGATCGCCTGGGTTGATCAAGCCTAACATGGGTAAGGAGTGATTTCCTGGGCTGACCAAGACAAACCTAGATAAGGAGTGATCGCCTGGGTTGATCAAGCCTAACATGGGCAAGGAGTGATCACCTGGGTTGACCAAGCCTAACATGGGTAAGGAGTGATCACCTGGGTTGACCAAGTCTAACCTGGGTAAGGAGCGATCACCTGGGTTGACCAAGCCTAACATGGGTAAGGAGTGATCACCTGGGTTGACCAAGACAAACCTAGGTAAGGAGTGATCGCCTGGGTTGACCAAGCCTAACATGGGTAAGGAGTGATCGCCTGGGTTGACCAAGCCTAACCTGGGTAAGGAGTGATCACCTGAGTTGACAAAGCCTAACATGGGCAAGGAGTGATCTCCTAAGTTGACCAAGCCCCTAACATATGTGAGGAGTGATCGCCTGGGTTGACCAAGTCTAACCTGGGTAAGGAGTGATCACTTGGGTTGACCAAGCCCCTAACATATGTGAGGAGTGATCGTCTGGGTTGACCAAGCCTAACCTGGGCAAGGAGTGATCGTCTGGGTTGACCAAGTCTAGCCTGGGTAAGGAGCGATCACCTGGGTTGACCAAGCCTAACATGGGCAAGGAGTGATCGTCTGGGTTGACCAAGTCTAACCTGGGTAAGGAGCGATCGCCTGGGTTGACCAAGCTTAACATTGGCAAAGGAGTGATCGCCTGGGTTGACCAAGACAAACCTAGGTAAGGAGTGATCGCCTGGGTTGATCAAGCCTAACATGGGTAAGGAGTGATTTCCTGGGTTGACCAAGACAAACCTAGATAAGGAGTAATCGCCTGGGTTGATCAAGCCTAACATGGGCAAGGAGTGATCACCTGGGTTGACCAAGCCTAACATGGGTAAGGAGTGATCACCTGGGTTGACCAAGACAAACCTAGGTAAGGAGTGATTTCCTGGGTTGACCAAGCCTAACATGGGTAAGGAGTGATCACCTGGGTTGACCAAGACAAACCTAGGTAAGGAGTGATCGCCTGGGTTGACCAAGCCTAACATGGGTAAGGAGTGATCGCCTGGGTTGACCAAGCCTAACATGGGTAAGGAGTTATCTATGCTGTTATCTTTTCATCTTGCTCTTAGTCTACCTTGTGCTTTATGTCCTTCTCCTCCGTTGGTATATGACTTGTATGGTACAGCATCATAAGGCACTCTCTCTAAGTGGGCAAACCATCTGATTTGCTGTCTCTGTGTAATTTAGAGCTGGTTCTGTGCTGACTTTTTCTCTTATCACCTTATCCAAGATTTTATCTCTTCTAATCACTCCTGCAGCCTTTCTCAGACATCTCATTTCCACTGTTACCAACAGAAGGGTGTTAAAACGAAGAAAATGACAACGGATAGGATATGGAGTTCTTACTTGAAGAGCCGCACTGTCATCTGTTGTCAGAAGTGCATGAATAACTGGCATAAAACTGGACATCACTAGGTCAGACAGAGGTAATGGCACTGCTCGAATCAGGCTAGTGATCATCTCAATTGATACCTGCAATAAATAACACCTTCTCTTATCATACATAGATCACCTAGTAAACAACTGATTTCCCTATGCTCTTAGAATACTGCATTCACTGATATTTTAGAGCCCACTAAAAGCAATAGCTGCATCACTGTTCTAAAATAGCAGGGGGTGGGGGGTGTGAGGCAGGAGGATAGATCCACTGGCCCCTATTAGAATCGTGTCATAAAAGCTGACTAATCAGCAGTCTGCTGAAATCTGATGTGCTGGGCAGAAAGGTGCACATATTGCAGCCTAGTTGCAAACCACAAACTCTCTAGTTACACTTAAATTCTTCTACGTTTGCATGGCCTTGGACTACTAGTCATTCCCCCTGGTCTCTGGGTGGCGAGATCGGACGCCCGTGTGCATAGCTGTGCACGTAAAAAAATCCCTTAGCAGTTAGAAATAAAAAAAAGAGTAGCCTAATGGTGCTGCCCGGGCAAAACTTTGTGTTAAAAATCTACCCAATATTTTCAGGATCCTCGCCCATGCTACAGAGCCTGTGCACTGTGCTGAGCTTTTTCAGACTCTTCCGGGCAGAGGGAATAATAGATAAGATAAGATCTGCTTTTAAACAGAGTATATCTATTTCTATATTAGAATCACATAAAAAAAAAAAACAGGTTGAGCACTACTGTCTTTTTCTTCTTTTGTAAATGATATCATGTGAAATGAACCAAGACGTAGACTTGAAATGTACCTTGGTTTGCACCAGCTTTAACATCTAGGGTTGACAACACAAACGCCGCTCAGCTTCTTGGTACATTCTGTCAGTTTATTCTGGTCCATTTATTTCACATGTTCAAACATTATTCACACTGTATCACTCGCGACATATTCGAACATTAAACATTTGCGCAACATAAAGACGACATCTTCAAATACTACAACCGTCTTCTCTGACCTCTGATGATCGACTGACCACGAGGCTAGCTCGGGCTTCGCCTCGCTTACTCCCCCGGCCACAAGTATCTCGTGCCGTCACTTGTTGCACGGACTTCCTGCTTGCCACCATGTAATCGTGAGGACCATGCACAGCACCTCATCACACATGTACCCCCTTGAATTTCTTCAGGACACCCAGCCCCAACTGAGAACCACTATATCAAAAGATCTTTTAGAACGACAGTAGAACTTACAGATATAATTGATACTGTCCACATGTGTTCAAGAACACACACAAAACAGTTGAGTTGAAAAATTAATCCACTAACAAAGTTGATGACTGATACTAGTACTCACAGATACAAGTCCTGGAGACAGTTTCTCAGAGTCTGAGTTGAGAATGCTATTGAGTGGAGGGATAAATCTAGTCTGCACCGCAGAGGTACAAGACGGGTTAGCTGCCAACACTTTCACAATGTCTTGCACTAAAGATACAACAAATGGATCTGGGGAGGAAGCAATAATTTTTCATTTTAATTCATTATGTAACTAGCCCCTCAACACAAGCTGAAAAGTTCAAAGTTGCTTTTAAAATTTCTAGACCAGAAGGCACTGCCTGTGTAGGAAGCTCAATATACGGATGTGAGGTTAAGCAGTTATGTGAAGGACGTGACAATTCCTTAGGTGAGCCCATAACCAGATGCGGCAAGTATCAACTCTGCATATATGAAAGTCTCCTCGGTTGGTGGGGAATGCCCATATTCTGCCCCTGTGCTCTTGGAGAATGCTGAATTAAGACTCGACATCACAGTACTAGGGACACTCTTATAAGCCCCCAGTCTCCATCCTCAGTAGCAAGCAAAGAGTTCTAATTGCACTGGCACGAGTAACTGATTGTGCGTCTGTCTCGCCTCTTCCTTGAGTATCAACCAGATCCTCTGGTAACTCCTCGCAGCGCCATTCTTCTCAGACCGCATTGATAATTTTGTGCCTCCTCACTGTCTGCTTGCTCCCAGAGAGCCCTCAAAACATCCAGCTTGTCATACTTCAATTCACCACCAAGTGGTGCAGAACCAGCCAGTCTGTTTGCCTGCTCGTTTCCCAACACACCTGCAAGCCCTGGAGAAAATATCCAAAGGATGCTAACTACCCTGGAGAAAATATCCCAAGGATGCTAACTACCCTGGAGAAAATATCCCAAGGATGCTAACTACCCTGGAGAAAATATCCAAAGGATGCTAACTACCCTGGAGAAAATATCCAAAGGATGCTAACTACCCAGGACCTCTGAAGCGACGCTTGCCACTCTGCACAGAGCATGCCTGTCTCCACTGTTCATAACATACTCTGTGAGTCAGTTACAATTACAAAATGCGTATACAGCTGATTCTCAAGCCAGCTGCTCTTGGAGAAACTAACGTTAAGTAGGCCATGAAGAGGTCACAACACAGATGGGGCTGTGAAAAATCCAACAAAAGTAAAAGTGAATGTTAACTTGGAAAACCAATACCCGACATAAGCTACATGGTAAACAGGTCCCAACGCAATAACATCACTTGACAAATAATGAAGAAGGAGACATTTTTTAGCTAATTTTTATTTCCTAACAAATTATATGCCAGGCAGACCAAGAAGACCATGGAGACAATATACAAGCAGACCTATAAACACATGGAGTCACAACTTGTAAAGAGAAGGCCAATCACAGAGATGAAAGGATGCGGTTCATATCTGCAACAATGAACCTTAATAGCTTGGAATGCTAAGAACAGAAAGAAGGTAGAAAGGAAGAAGGTAGAAAGGAAGAAGAATAAAAGGAAAAAGCAGCAGCAAAAAGTCAACATAAAACTCTGCCATGTGCCTTCCAGGGCCTCATTTTGGGGGAAAAGAACAGATCCACTGCCCCCCCCCCCCCCCAAACAAGCATGTTGTAACAGGCAATTAATTAGATGTGTTTCCTTTGAAATTGGAGTGCATTAGCCTCAGAGGCAGGGAAACAAACAGTCTGCATACAAATAAGCCAGATCTCTATTAAGTGATGTGTATACAAAACTGAAGTTCTGGAATAAGACCAAAGTTCAGAAGCAGATGGACAATCAGAACTTTCTGCCTGAGTTTTCAGATGGTGAACGACAAGAAGAAGAAGAAGAAGAAAAGACTAAAGCTTCATTCACTAGAAAATTAGTGCCAAATACAACTGGTATTGAACAAGTCTATAACGAGTTTGAGATAGGCTGAGTGCCTTTGTCCTTCTGGAGATAAAAAGAGCACTGGAGCATACACGCAAACAGACACACACAAGATGATTATTAGGAAACCAAGTCAACACAAGTCTCAAATTCTTTAAGAATAAACAATTCAAATCATGGGTTTTCTAAAACAGCATATTGACAAAACACTGAACTGATAAAAAATTATTATGTAAATATTTTGACCCAATGATATAAAAATATCTTTAATACAATGGAGACTGTTCGACAGAAATTAAAAAGAGGATGGCCATAGCAATGCAAAGATTGAACAGCCTTAAAAGTCTATGGTTAAGCACCAGCAAGGAGATCAAAATTAGAATTTTGAGAGCATGCATCTTCCCTGTGGCTACATACGGATGTGAGTCGTGGACTATCTCTCAGTCCTTAAGAAAGAGAATAGGGGCTTTTGAGCTGAAATGCTATAGAAAGATTCTCACAATATCTTGGACAAAGAAGATGATAATTATTGACATCTTAAAAGATCTGAACCTCAAGGAAGATTGGCTAATAAACGGCATCCTTTCTCGAAAGCAGAAATATTTTGTTCATATCAAGCGCCGTGACGGATTGGAAAAAAATTATAGCAGAAGACGTGGTACCAGGAAGGAGGGGCAGGGGCCAAACGACATGAAGATGGGCACAGGATATAAGTGGCTCCTTGAGTGTGAAAGTTATGAGGCAGGAGAACTGGCAAGGGACCGAGTTTCTTACAGACAGACTGTGATGAGAGCGACGTTCTGCAAAGGACCTGCTACATGATGAGGATGATCTAAAAATATCCCCCTTATTTTACTTTCTACAGTAATCATTAACATTTTCAGTGCCAGGAAGGTTTAGCATCAGAGACCCAAAGGGTACTACAAAGAGAAGTCAAATCGGCACATATTGTGTTCACTGGGTTTCTAGGTAGAAACGAATGAACATATGATGCATTCCTTGAGTTGAATGAGTTAATTACAAACACAATAAATAAATATATGTGTCTGTTACTGTCCTCCATATAAAAACATGGGGGGGGGGGTGTGTGTGTGTGTGTGTGTGTGTTCAGCCAGGGAAATAATTTTTAGCCTGCGGATTTAGGGTCGAGTGGCGAGGAATCATCATAAACCGTGCAGTTCAGGAATTTATTTTTTGCTCCAGATAGAGAAAATCTCATCACCATACAGGAGATTATAACTGTGGAAGGCAGGTAGCAACCTTAGGGGCAACGTTAAGCTTCTGACCCAGACTGAACTGAATGTTCAGCACAACTAATGTTAAATGTAGATGGAGAAGAAATAAAGAGCTGAAGATTCACATTCTAATCTCCTCTATGATAGTCAGATGTTCCACATGTTAAATTTAAAAAAAACTAAATTAAAATACCTGAAAACATGCAAACTGCAGCAGTCACAAAAGAATTACCAGTAAGATTATATTGTTAAAAAAATACACACCTCCCGTGTGTTTAAGGAACACAGCCAAAGTCAAGGGACCAAGCCTGCTCTCAGCGTTCGCAGTAAACTCCTCATTTATCTGAAACAAATTTAAACATTGTTTCAATATTATAATCACCAGTATCTAATTGTATCCTCCACTAAGGGAAGCATGTCACACTTTGTTATGACCTCTAGAAAGCAGAGGTCAGTGTTTCCATCGTGGCATCATTTGTGCAAATTGACGCTGTTAACAAAAAAAAAAAAAAAAAAAAACCACAGGGCTTGGATTTGAAATGAAAGAAAGAAAAAAAAAACAGTGGGGCTGAACCCGGAATGAGCAGGCTAGTAGGCGAATACACTATTGAACACTATGCCACAAGTTTCTTGCATAATGAATTAGGTGCCTTAAATGCATAATAATAATAATAATTTTAAATGACAATCACTGTCTTTACTACCACTTTTGCAGTGTAGGCAGGGGGGTCTTTCAGCCTGAGGATTTACCACCGCATAGCTAGTGCTGTCGCCACAACTGTGCAGGTAAGAAAAAATAATAGTAGTAATCAGTATTTTTAAAATCCTTATGTTGTTCTTAGGTCCCATTGTAGAGAAAACAAGAATATACCCACTGTCTCCACAACAAGCATGTCATCTTCTTTTTCTTCTTTCGTTGGCCTGAAATAAGTTGTCTATATCAGCAATTTTGTCTCTCGTATAAATTTCACTGTCGTTGTTAGTTCATTCATATGGTCCATAGAGTTTACATTCCACTGTTGTTCTTTCTGGCCAAAATGTTTGCCTTCATGTGTCTAATTCGGTGCGGTCCTGGAGTACATGCTCTGCTGTCTGGGGCACTTTTCCCACAGGTGCACATGGCTGATACATTCATCTTAAATATTGTGTACAAGTGGTTACGTAACGGTTTATGCCCTGTTCTGAGGCGGAGGATAATGACTTGTTCTCATCTGTCCATAATAAAATAGTCGTCTTGTGCTGGGGCTGGTGGTTTCCTGATCGATTTAATGATTCTTTTCTTTTGATGGTATGTGACTGGTACATCCGGCTGCCCTTTTGTCGCACCTTTCCCTGCCAGTTGATCAGCTTTTTCATTTCCATCATAAGAGTTGACTAATTGGGGGCATCCTTCGAAGTCGGAGTACATCTGCCCAAGAGACAAGGAACCAAAAGTCTGCAAACAAATTAGCCAGATCCTTGAAACAGATGAGCATGCCAAACTCAGATTCTGGAACAAGACTAAAGTTGAGAGGTGGATGAATACCCCAGAACTTTCAGCCAGAGTTCACAGCCGGTGAATGTAAAGAAGAAAAAGAAAGATTTAGTAAAAGACCCATAAAAATTAACTTGTTCAGCACCACAGTGCAGTTAACTATTTATAAATCAAAATGTGATGGCACTTGAAGAGTTCAAGTTAAAAGTCATTTTGTGACTGACACTTTTATCTGAGTGAAAAGACAGCTTTCACATATACAAGAGCATAGTTTTATGGAGCTGAGTGATCAGCTTCGGTTCTTCTTCATAAGATCCCTAGTATCTATTTCACAAGGCTGGTTTGACACATCCTCTATACTTAGCCAAAAGTCAATATTTTTAACACCAGGGATTGACCTTGGACCATCACTGTTAGGCAAATTCACTAATCATACCTTTTATCTATCTATCTATCTATCTATCTATCTATCTATCTATCTATCTATCTATCTATCTATCTATCTATCTATCTATCTATCTATCTATCTATCTATCTATCTATCTATCTATCTATCTATCTATCTATCTATCTATCTATCTATCTATCTATCTATCTATCTATCTATCTATCTATCTATCTATCTATCTATCTATCTATCTATCTATCTATCTATCTATCTATCTATCTATCTATCTATCTATCTATCTATCTATCTATCTATCTATCTATCTATCTATCTATCTATCTATCTATCTATCTATCTATCTATCTATCTATCTATCTATCTATCTATCTATCTATCTATCTATCTATCTATCTATCTATCTCTCTCTCTCTATCTATCTGTCTGTCTATCCATCTATCTATCTATCCATCCATCCATCCATCTATCTATATATATAGAGAGAGGAGAGAGAGAGCAGAAAGGGACAGAGAGGGGGGGGGGGAGAGAAGGAGAGAGACTGAGATGCATGCGCATGTACACACACACACACAACAGTGATAAAGATTGTATAATGCAATGTCTTTATCTCATTGGCTTCCTCTTTTACTGCTCTGGGTGTCAAAAGAGAGATATAGTTCTTGCTCATTGATGTTTTAACTATCGACACATTTAACTGTTGTCATTCTATATTCTTTTTGGTTTACAATATGCTCTACATCTCCCTCCTTCGTTATATCTTATAATATTCTTTGTAGCAAAAATAAAAAGAAATCTCTTGTAGCAGAAATATTACTGAACAGAACTGCTACTCACAGTAACTACAACAGCCAAGGTCTCAAGACACAGACCCATCACTTCAGTAGAGAACTGCGTGGCAACACCAATCAAACCTTCCATAATGTTCTGCAGATACGGGACCAAGATCTGAGTGTTGCCCACCATTTTCAGGTGATCACAGAAGCCATACACAGCTCTGACTGCAGAAATTCTGATGGTGGCTGGCTGTGTCATGTGCAGGCCACCCACTGTCGCCTGCAGCATCCTAATGAAGAAACAGTCATAATATATACTTCTACATGAAAGATGTTTGAGGATAAAAATATATACAGTTCTAAATGAAAGGTGTTTGAGGATGAAATATCTTACCTTACTGCACTGGGTTTTGTCTCATATGGTTCAGTCTGGCTGTCACCCAAAAATATCAATAAATGATAAAGAAATCGAAAATGTCACAAACTTTGAATATCTAGGCTCTATAATAAACAACAATGGAGACTGTTCAATAGAAATTAAAAGGACGATGGCCATAGCAATGCAGAGATTGAACAGCCTTAAAAGTCTATGGTTAAGCACCAGAAAGGAGATAAAAATTAGAATTTTGAGAGCATGCATCTTCCCTGTGGCTACATACGGATGTGAGTCAGTCCTTAAGAAAGAGAATAGTGGCTTTTGAGCTGAAATGCTATAGAAACATTATCAGAATATCTTGAACAAAGAAGATGAGAAATATTGACATCTTAAAAGATCTGAACATCAAGGAAGATTGGCTAATAAACAGCATCCTTTCTCGAAAGCTGAAATATTTTGGTCATATCAAGCGCAAGGACGGATTGGAAAAAATTATAGCAGAAGGCATGGTACCAAGAAGGAGGGTCAGGGGCCAACCGACACGAAGATGGGCACATGATATAAGTAACTCCTTGAGTGTGAAAGTGCATGAGGCAGGAGAACTGGCGAGAGACCACATTTCTTTCAGGCAGACTGTGATGAGAGCGACGTTCTGCAAAGGACCTGCTACATGATGATGGTTCAGTCTCTCTCTGCAAAGACATTGGCAGCCTGTCAAGGCATCGCACAAAGCTTGGAACTCCACTGATGATCTTCAGGAATCTCAGAAACATTGCACTAGTGAGCTCAATGATGTTTAAAAATCTTCTTCTTCGCACTCACTGTCTGTAAACTCCAAGTTCTAGTTGTTCGTCCACTTCTGGACCTCAGTCTTGTTCCAGAACCTGAGTGTGGTATGCACATCTATTTTACAGATCTGGTTTATCCGTATCCAGACTGCTGGTTCCTTGCCTCTCAGTTAGATGCACTTCAACTTTGCTGAAAATCTCTAATCAGTCGACTCTTACAACATGCTTGTTAGGAAGGCAGTGGGTCTATCCTGGTTAACCCCCACAATGGGGCCCTGGAACCCACACAGGGAACTTAGAAATGAAACTGTGACTATCGAAACATAAAGGAAATAGCTAGACCATTTTGCCACAGAGACATCTTTTCAAAAAAAACAATATAGTCATGTTGTAATGAAGAACTTTCTTCAATGCGCTCAGAAAAAAAAAAACTAAGCTTACTGTATCAAAAAGATACAATTACTGGATGGGCCTCTTCATCAACATCAATTTCCACTTCTGCCTTTAAGTTTTGCGAGGAGAAACAATTAGCAATCTACTGCTGGATGGGCAGCAATAGCTACTGTTATTCCATGTCAATGTAGAAGCTCTGTAATGTCATCAATCCATCTGTTCCTACAGTATCTTCTTAGTTTTACCTCAGATCTGTTCATGTGTATGCGCCTGCAGCGGTCGTTCTTCTGGTCGCATTCTTACTAATTGACCAAACCATTTGATCATGTTTTTTTTTCAGTGAATCTGCTGCATAGTGTTGTTCCTTCAGTCTCGTCGGATAATATCATTTCTAACTTTGTCTCAGATAGTTATATTGGCGGCTTTTCTCAGGCACCTCATTTCTTCTTCTTCTTCTTAGCGTTCAGTTTCCTAAGCTCAGATCTGACCATCAGGTGGTTTGCCTCTATGAACTTGCATGTCAGTAGCAGGTCCTTCATGGTTCCCTATAGCTTGCTCTGCACACTTTGCTCTTGAGGCCAGGTTGTAGGCACCTTTTTTAACATGTGTTAATTTTACGTATGTTAGCCTTTGATAATGTCCAAGTCTGGCACTGGTAACACATTGCAGGTATGCATATGCTGTTTACAATCAGTTTCTTGCCGCTCATTCTTATTATTTAAATTCTTTAAATTGTTTCAGACAAGTACCATTCAATCCGATATACAGTGGACGGGGAATTCTGCTGACATTTGATAGTACTGATTAGAAAAATATCAAAATAAGATAAAAGTGGACTTTTTACTTCAACTTTCTGCTGCTTATTAGTGCGTGATAAATGCTGCATGTGAGAAAGTTTGCTAACGGAGGCCCTTTAGTAACAGTATTCATTTCGTCACTCATCAATGTGCTTTGTTCAGAAGCTGGGTAGTTCAACTTCTCATTCTGATTTTTGTCATGTTTGGTTTTATCATCTGTACTGTGTAACGCTGTATTGACTGATATATTTTTGAAATGTTTTGTAAGCAGCTGCATCACTGTCTTTGTTGTATACTGACTGATGAGGTCTCATAGCCACAACATCCATTTTGTCGCTGGTGGTTGTGTTTGATTGGAAATATGACTATTTCTACTCCCAGTTCTGGTTTAAAAAAACTCATATAACACAGCTGCAAAGAAGGCCCCCATGTTTCAGGTGACAGAGAGACTTACTTTTCCAACAAATCTGGTGGCATGGCTTCTGTGAATCTACTAGCTGTCCACAGGCATCTTCCCAGCAAGAATGGGGACACTAGAGACAGATAAAGGTATAGTTCAAACACAAGCCACCATGGTCAATTTATATTCATTACATAAAAGGGATACAGCAGGGATTGAAAGAGTCACAGCAAGGCAGACTAACAGATATAGCAAGGAAAGAATACAGAGATTTAACAAGGAGAGACTAAGATATAAAAAATAGTGAAAATATGGGGGTGACTGCAGTCAAGCTAATAGAAAATAATCTGTCCCAGCCTAGCTGTTCTTAGACCAGGTGGCATAAATATCCAACATACCTTCATCTAAAAAGTTTTACTATTATCACATTTTAAATTTTAATTCTTTTCTTTTCTTTTATTGCTTTATTCTATCTCTTATCAGTATCATTTATGTATCATTAACATCTGTATTTCTTTTATTGCTACTATTTTTTTAAATATATTAACTATTTTACTTTCTATTTTTAGCGTCTGTTTTTTTTAATAGCCATCGCTGATTTTATTTCATTCATTTTTCATCAAATTTTAAAAAATATTTCTCACGTCACCCCTTAGAGATCTGAATACTCTCCTCTTTGTTACCTTTGTGAAGTTCACTTCATGTTTAATAAAGGCTATGTAGCAAGGAGATGTAGCAAGGGGAGAATACTGTGACAAAGAAAGGAGAGACGAACTGATATGGAAAAGAGACAACACTGAGACAAAGAAGAAGATAATACAGAGACAGAGAAAAAAAAAGACTTAACAGATATAGCTGAGAAATTACAGAGATATAAGACAGAGAGAATACAGGAATGTAGCAAGGAGAGACTAACAGATTAAAAAATGCAAGGGGAGAATACAGAGATGCAGCAAGGAGAAATTAACAGATAAAGCAAGGGAAGAAAACAGAGAAATTGCAAGAAGACACTAATAGATATAGAAAGGAGAGAATACAGAAATGTAGCAAGAAGAGACTAACAGATATATCAAGGAGAGAATATATTCAGAGACGAGGCAAGGAGAGACTACACATTTAGCAAGGAGAGAATACAGAGATGTGGCAAGAAGAGACTAATAGATATATCAAGGAGAGAATACGGAAATGTAGTAAGGAGAGACTAACAGAAAAAGCAATGGAAGAGTACAGAGACGTAGCAAGCACCGACTAACATATATAGCAAAGGGAGAATACAGAAATGTGGCAAGGAGAGACAGATATAGCAACGAAAGAATACAGAGATGTAACAAGCCCAGATTAACAGATATAAGGGAGAATACAGAGATGTAGTAAGGAGAGACAAATAGATATAGAAAGAAGACAACATAAAGACAAGGAAGGAAAGAATACAGACAAAGCAAGAAGAGCTAACAGATACAGCAAGGGAAGAAAACAGAGACGTAACAAGGACAGACCAACAGATATAACAAGGAGAGAAAACAAAAGCAGCAAAAAAGAAACTTCTAAATATACATAGGAAACAACATAGAGACAAGAAAGGAGAGAGACAAGAAAGGAGATAATACAGAAACAAAGAAAGAACAGACTAAAAGACACAGCAGAGCGATACAGCAAGGAGAGAATACAGATTTGTAGCAAGGAGCTTGGTAGGGGCATGTGTGGCTATGGAATGACTGTAAGTGGTGATAGTGACTGACAAACTAGCACTTTGATGACCGCTTAGCAACTATGCGTTTAACATCCAATGGAGACTCTGACAAGGATTACATGTCGGATGAATAACGACTCCAGGACAGACGAGAGTTTCACTGGTGTACCCAGGCTGCCTCAAGACATGGAAATAGGACCTTTACTTAAATGTCTTTACTACTTTAACACCCTGTCACCCCATGAAGCTGTACAACCGACACTTCCCGTTGGGTCCAACTCCCTGTAAATGTTCCTTTTCCTTTTTGTCTATTGTGATTTTTAGGAGATGCACTGTTAATGCCCTTCAACATAGACTAAAGTCAATGTGTCTGTCTCGCAACACCAAGAAATATATAAAACGTTGATAAGACCAGTCGTTTTATGTGACTCTGCAACTTTGAGCACAACTAAAAGAGATGAAGCCTTATTACAGGTTTTGGAAAACAGAGTCTTACAATGAATCTTTGCACCAATCAAAGATGCAAACAGCAGTGAATTCAGAGTGAGAAGCAACAGCGAAATTCATAATCTGTTTAATTAAATCACATTTTATCACAGGCATCATGAGAGCTAATAGACTGAAATGGTTGGGGCATATTGAAAGAATGTCAGATGGCAGAGAAATAAAAACTGTATACACAAGGGAGATGAATGGTCGAAGACCATGAGGCAGACCAAGAAGATGATGGAGAGATATCCAGACAGACCTGCAAACAATTGGTGTTACCAACTGAAAGGAGAAGGCTCAACAAGAGAGATGAATGGAGGAGGGTGATATCTGCAGCAATGAACCTCAAGGGCTCAGAATGCTGAAAAAGAAGAAGAAGAAGAAGATAGTTAATGCTACTGGCCGAGTTCACGCCTGCACAAATGTTCAGGTCAAGATATGAATATATTGGCTAAAAATAGCTTTTAGTGTATTTTCCTGTGAACCAGAAAGCATTTATAAGCCGAACTGGTGTCCCATTTTCCCACAAGGCTCAGTGATAGAGGTCATAAGTCCCCCGATACATACAGTTTTCAGCCCAGAGAAATATTTTCCATTTAATGCTTCACTCTGTTCCAGTGTTTACTGATTATTCCTTTTATATATCTTTATACATTTAAAAACAACAGTTTAATCTTCTTCTCCTTCGCGTTCACCGGCTGTAAACTCCGGCGGAAGGTTCTGGTTTTTCGTCCACTTCTGGACTGCAGTCCCATTTCAGAACCTGAGTTGCATGTGCATCTGTTTGACAAATCTGACTCATTCATGTGCAGACTGTTGGTTCCTTTCTTTAGGCAGATGCACTCCGACTTCAAAGGAAGCACCCAATTAGTCAACTCTTACGACATGCTTGTGGGTAAGCAGTGGGTCTATTCTAGTTTTCCCTACAATGTGGTCCCGGAACCCACACGGGGAAAAAGTTTTTAAAATGTGTTACAATTTATTAGTGAATGTAAAATTGCTTTTTAGAACAAGGTGTTTGCGTGTTCATGCGCACGTGACTGTGTAGGATTGAAGGGGGGGGGGGGGGGTGTCATGATCCTGAGGATTTAAGGTAGCATAGCCTGTGCAGTCAAGTCGCCACAAACTGTGCAGGTTAGCATTTTTACTTCTGCCCCCTTACTGAGAACCGAACCCAGGACTTCTGCACGACACTCTTCACGATTAGCTCTCTACTCTACTTACCTGAATAATTCATGTCCCCTAGGACAACAGTCTGTAAAAATCCTGTCAGATTGAACTGAACAGTCCCGGTTTTGACAGCCTGTACCACCATCTCCTTCATACTACCCAGAGCCAGCATGCAGGATTCATGGATCTTCCACCTATACAGATGCAATAAATGTAAAACTGCTCTCTAACGCATTCCTTGAGTGTGTCTCAGAAGGCTTCACTTTTACTTAGTGAGTAATGTAGATAAACATGGGGAAATGACAGAGATACAAAAAATAACGCAAAAGCCAAGTGGAGTTTTTGTAGCATTAAAAAACCTGTGGAAGTCACACACAAAAATGTAACCATTCACAACTAGAAGCCATATCATTAGGCTTACCCATCCGTTATAAATCTGCTATATCTGGGTTGTCCTACACTAGCCAGTCCCTGACATGCCTAGATAACAGTAGTCTTCTGTCTGTGCATAAGTGTTTAGGAAGGCCAGATATGTTTATATGTACTAACAGTTTTCACGGAGTCTTAATGGAATTTTTAAAAGTCATTAAGATGTCATAATTTGCCCTTAGTGGTTGCATACCAACCCAGTCACAGTATGAGTCAGAACATTTATTTTTTTAGGCCCAAGGGAATGTACTCCATTTCATGTTCTGCTTCGTTCCTGTTCACTGATTACTTCTTTCATACATTTCTTTTTGAGCCGGACTTTTCTTCAAACATGAGCTTGCCTCCCAGGTCCGCCCAGCCTTGAGTGGGTACCAGGTGCAGTCCCGGGAAGCAGAGGCGGCCGGCGTGATGCTGACCACATCACCCATCTTGTGCCGTTGGTCTATAAAATATAGGTCTAGCCCTATATGCCCAAAGGCGTGGAAAGGGGTCCTTTACTTTACTTCCTTTATACATTTCTTTTTAAAAAAACACAAATGTATATAAATAATGCTTTTACAAATGTTTTTTTAAAGGAAAGCCATAGTTTATGGCATTTTCCCCCAAGAGTTTCCAAGGCAAAATGGTTAATACTAGAACCAAATTTAGCTCTAACATTTACTGCTGTATAGAGCCAAAACATTCAGAAACAACTTTATGTTTATGTCTGTTCCCATGTGGGACGCATTTTTTGCTATTTTGAAACCCCACCCTGGCTGCTGTCAGGGGCCCTAATATAACAAACCTATGGGTTGAACATGGTTTATGGAACCTGTCCCTGGTTGATCCTCATCCTAATGGAGGCACTTTGTGTCACCAGGTGTTTATCGCTTGGTGTGATGTCCTGGTGGGGTATAATGTCAGTCAGTCAGAAACAACTTTTAAAAATTACTAATAAACTAGAAACATTCATGAACTGACGCAATCACAGAATAGAGAGAATGATACAGTACAACAGAATCACTAATGTAGAGATTGTGGAGAGAACTATATACATTCCGGTGAATTAAGAGGTAAGGAAAAGATGCTGGCAATGGACAGGACAAACGCTGAGAAAACCTGATAACAATATAACTAGAACTCACAGGACATGGTCAAAGAAATAAAACCATACAAAGAGGTATTATGATTGCTTGCTTATACAGATATTAACAATGCAACCGCTGATCAAAAAGAACAATTTACACCCCAATAAAGTGATTATATACTGGATGTATAAATGAAGGAAGCTATGTGCTATTAGGGCTTAAAATAAAGGAGGTGAAAGAAAGTGATTCCGTACCCTAGTAGGTATGTCATAAGAGGCAACTAAGGACAGTTGGCATGAATCTGGCTACCTCCTCCCATAGTTGCTAGTCAAGGTTCCAACATCAGTGCATACGGGGCACCCCACAACTGCTTCCTTACCATGCCAGAGGACATCATACAAAATGTCCATCAGTTTCCCATTTGAAACCTAATGAAAAACTTGTTAGTCCTGGCAAATTGTTGAAGCCTGCATTTGCAAAGTACAAATGCATACGGCAGCTGTTAGATGTGCCACCACTAAGTCCCACACCAGAATGGCAGCTCGCTGATAGCATAATGGTCAATCATGAAAGCCGACATCCCCAAATGTACATGCCATTCTCAACATAATCAGCTATCCATCACTTTAGTGCAGTCAACAACATGCTGTGGCACAAAAGAAAAACATTCCATGTGAAATCTGTAGCTCCCAGTATACTGGGCATATGACACAAGACCCATATTTTTACAGACCAGTCGGCACTTGGCGGGTAAGGTAATCAACATCACACCCCTCCCCCTTTACTTTCCACGATATTTCCCAGTACAGGCAGCACCAATGTCAACTTTAAAAGTCTGCCTCAATGGTAATTTTAACCCAGGACCAACAGGCCGGCAAGTAAGCAGCTAGGCACTGTGTTGCCACAAAACCAACACCAACAGGCCGGCAAGTAAGCAGCTAGGCACTGTGCTGCCACAAACCCAACACCAACAGGCCGGCAAGTTAGCATCTAGGCACTGTGTTGCCACAAAACCAACACCAACAGGCCAGCAAGTTAGCATCTAGGCACTGTGCTGCCACAAAACCAACACCAACAGGCCGGTAAGTTAGCATCTAGGCACTGTGCTGCCACAGTTCCCCGAGTATCTTCACGACCTCTCAAACACACAAAAATATGATTAATTTGCTGCTACTAACCAGTAATGACTGCCTGAATTTTTCGCTGCCTCTGACTCTTGCAGATGTTTCGTTATTGCCTGACACAAGGCCTCTGGGCACGCATTCTGAAACTCTGTGCCAAACGACTGTAAGAAACGACAAAACAGTGCTGTTGAATCAGAACAGATAAATTATTTCTGGGTTTGGCCTGTCCATCTGTGATTGGGATTATGCTGTTGAATGCCATCAGAGACTTATCAAATTTCTGTTTCACTGATCCCAAGATCTGCCTGTTTTGTTCATGCTTGTGATGGCCATTTACATGAGGTATTCTTCTTATGGCTGTGAGTCCTGGACAATCGGTAGGCAGGCAAACAATTTTGAGGCCTCAGAGATGTGGTTTTTCAGAAGAATGCCTTGGACAGCCAAAAAGAGCAACCAAGAGGTCTTGAAAGAGTCGGAAGCCCGAAGACAACTTATCAAAGACATCAGAAGGAGACAGTCATCATTTTACGGCCATGTTATAAGAAGAGGGAAAATAGAACATGTGACAACTGGAAAGATCTGTGGAAGGAGGGATAGAGGAAGACAATGAAAGAAGGTTCTTGACAGTCTTGATGCATGGCATGGAGGTGTGTCAGCACATGAACTGATACATGCTGCAGGAGATCGCAGATTGTGGAGAGGCATGATCGCCCACGCCAGTCTGCAAGGCACCAGATGATGATGATTCTTCTTAGTGTTTCACTGGCTGAACACCAGTGGAAAGTTCTGGTCGTTTGTCCACTTCTGCACTTAAATTGTCCTGAACTTAAATTTTGCGTGCAAATCCGTTTTACAGATATCCTTTTTAGTTTGCAGGCTATTGGTTCCTAGCCTCTTAGGCAAATGCACTGCAACTTCTGAGGAATTATTTGAGGTAAATGACAAGGTTATATGGCTAAAATTATGCATGGAAATTTGCAGAACAGTCTGGGGAAAAAAAGGAAGAGAGGCAGAGAAATAGCAGGGAGACAATCTAAGAACTTATATTCAGGGTTTTTACGACCTACGTCCAAGCTCCGTAAGTCGAATTGATATTTTTCAATATTATTTTTATTTAAAAGGGTTATAAAAATTGTACAATAAACACAAAAATTAAATGTATACACATAAAATTATTGTACAAAGGAATCTATGTTAACTCTAGTATCTGTTCCAAGAACTTTTTAACCTGATCTATGTCATTTTCTGTCACCATTTACTTCCCCCCTCTCTCTCTCTCTCTCTCTGCATGTGTGTCTGTATGGCAGGGTGGGTCATCAAATGCAGGTGGCTATAAGTTGCGCAGTTTACTGTTTCCAAAACTTTTCTTTGTCCCTGCGTCTTTTTTCAATGAAAAATTTTCAACGGCGCCCTAACCTAAGTAAAAGTATGACTATTCGCATGTAAGGAAAAAAAAAAAACTCGCGTATCTTCGAATATTTGTGAAGAGGTTGCTGCGCCCGGGGTGCCCAATTTTGGAATCACTGGCACAGGTAGTCACGGAGGGGGTGTACTTACAAGAAGTAAATCCTGAGCTGAAATCCTCACAGAGTATGAAAAGCTGTCATCATCTTCATCTTCTACAAACTGATCTGGGTTATTGCTCCATAAACGAACCTGGAAATAGAATAATTTTACAAAAAATGCAAAAGGTTGAATATTGTAAATCAACCGCTGTGCATGCCCTTAGTGAGCTTCTCAAATGGTCTGTTGCAAGTTAGGGAAGCATGTGCAAAAGATGCAACATGGCATTTTATTGGTAAAACAGATTTAACAGTTAGCAGATTGTTTCCATGGACATCTTTAACCTTGTCGCCCAAGATGAGGCCGTCTATGCTTCTTACCTAAAAAAAAAAAAAAAAAAGTCTCAGTACCCACAGGGAAAGCAGGATGTAGCGTGTAAAACTCTCTCATTAATTCTTTCTCTATCATTCTCACTTGTCATTTATGCATATAAGAAAATCCCCCCCCCCCCCAATTTAATGTGCATTTTCTACCTGTGTCAGTCCTGACCTAAGGGTGTGAGTCATGGGCAATAACAACAGCTCACAGAAGCCAGCTGCAGGCCTCAGAAATGAGATATCTGAGAAAGGTGGTCCACGTGACAAGAAGGGACAAAGTCCGCAATCAGACAATATGTCAAGATCTTGATAACCAGGCCTTACAAACCAGTGTGGATCAGTCAGTTACGATGGTTTGGACATGTATGCAGCATGGGAGAAAATCCACCACAATGGCAGGCATGGGAGGCTAAGAACCAGGGAACCAGACCTCCAGGACAAACCAGGTCCTCTGGGAAGACAACATCTGACAGCCCCTAACTAGCGGAGGACTGAAATGGAACAAGGCCAGAAATAAAACTGCCGACACAGAAGTCTGGCAATCTCACTGGCTAGCCTCTACACCCCAAACTAGAAGAGGTGCAATTAAGTAAGTGAGAAAGAAAGAATTTTTATTTTTAATGTGCATTTTCTTTCTCCCCCTACATTTTTTAAAAACTAAGTGTTGTGTTTTCAATTCTTGGCATGTGACAAAGACTTTAATCAAATGTCTGGTTATGTGATTGTTACTGTGTTATCGTTCACACAGTCTCCTAGGTCACCTCCCTTTCACCCTTTTCTAACATCAACTCAGTCGCAATTACCTTTTTTTTCACACAAACCATTGGCATAACTACATCAAAGATTTCATATAAGCTAGATCAGTTTTTCAAATAGGTTTTTTTTTTTAAGTTCTCTAGCTTACCAATCTTTCACATCTCAAAAACAGACACAAAAACTATCATCATACTTTAAGAGTAATAACAATCTTCTAGACAGGTCTGCCTTACCTGATCTTCAGTTATCTGCATGTAGATTATAATGAAGTAGATGATTTGGTCTACTGTTTTCTTCACTGTGTTTCTGTACTTGGTGGATTCAATCAGGGCATGAACAAACTCAAACACTGTCAGAACCAGGTTTTCAAATCCAAGGACATCACCTAGGCATCATAAATAATACAAGATTACTTCTTCCGGTTCACCAGCTGTAAACTCTGGTCGAATTTCTTAGTTGTTTGTCCTACTTTCTTCTTCTTCTTCGCGTTCACCAGCTGTAAACTCTGGCGGAAGTTCTGGTTGTTCATCCACTTATGAACTGCAGTCCTATTCCAGAACTTCAGTGTTGCGTGTGCATCCGTTTTACAGATGTGACTCATATGTATGCAGACTGCTGGTTCCTTTTTAGGAGGACCGCAGAGAAGTGTAGGCAGGTGTTGACCAGTATAAGCCCTGCTCTTGGTGCACCACCATGTGTGATTCAGCATCTTTGCATCCTATACAAGATTGCAGCATTATTTATAGACAATGAAGGATTTAAATGTATTTCAAGACACTATCGTCTGAAAGACAGAAAGGTGCCAATTAATCAATCAATCAAATGTATTTTAAGGCTGGCCAGTTCCTTCCCTCATCGCCTTTCCTTCCAAGAGAATATTGAACTGAACACTGTGTGGTACCTATTATAATGAGGGCAGATCAACCCAAGTCACAGTTGTTATTACTGGCACTTTTGCGTCTTTCTAGATGATAGTGTTACACTGTGCCATAGGAAGGCAAGAGAATCACAGCCTGTGGAGACGGTGAGATAAATTAGGCCAGGGATGAAGTTTCTTCCCTCCACAGCACAAAGCCTGGGCTGCATGAAGACCAAGTGTTGCTCATGCAGCCTGATCCCTTGTTTACTCTAAACAAACAAGTTAACTCTAATACATTTATAACAAAACTTGTTGCAGAAGCTTTCCGATCAGAAGAACAGTGCTCTGTCCGTCTGTCAGAGTTTCCCTCCTAAATTAACCAGCTGCCAACCAAGGCTAAGGGCCTGATCTGCCTTGCCAGTGTTAAGTTTTCAGGCTGTATTTCCTTCTCCTAGGACAAGTCATTCTGGTTGGGGACAAATTGTTTTATCTTTGATGGAGATCAAACCCACACCACTTGGCAGGTCTAATCCTTCCTCTATTCCCAAAGGTCATGACATCGAATACCCTCTTTGGTATTTCTTCTTCCTGGATGTGATTGAAGTCTGCCCATCTCATAACAGACAAGAATATGGTACTTAACAGCAGTGCTGACTGCATATTTACAAAATAGGAAATAAAAAGACATATTACTTTTTTGTCCAGTTTATGGCACACAGGTAGTAACCCATAATTGCTCCGTTCTTCTTCTAACTTAAGCCTGAGCCCGAAGAAGCTCAGCACAGTGCACAGGCTCTGTAACACCGACAAGGATCCTGAAATACTTTGGGTATATTTTTTACTCTAAATTTTGTTCGGGCAGCGCCGTAAGGCTACTCTTTTTGATTTCAAGGGGTGCCAGCACATGAGCTAATAATAACGCTGCTGGATATCACAATTTATGGAGAGACTTGATCACCCACGCCAGTCAGAAAGGCACTTGATGATAATGATTTTAAATATACATTCTGATCCTTGGCTGTGAAATGGAGATCATGCACTGTGCTAATCTACTGGATAAAACTAGCATTTATGGAGATCATGCACTGTGCTAATCTATTGGATAAAACTAGAATTTATGGAGATCATGCACTGTGCTAATCTATTGGATAAAACTAGAATTTATGGAGATCATGCACTGTGCTAATCAATTGGATAAAACTAGCATTTATGGAGATCATGCACTGTGCTAATCTATCTGATAAAACTAGAATTAATTGAGATCCTGTGCTTTTGGTTTAGAATGCTTTGTGTCACATATCACTCCTGTCGCGTGCCTAATGTAAGGATTTCTCCTTCAGAACCAGCAGCACTCAGAGATAATTTTGTTGAGTCGTTTGGCTCGTATTGGTCTAAGGGATTCCCCGTGGCCAATATACGATCAACTTATCTCTGGAGTAGGGCAACTCAAGTATTGGCACTACAAAATATATCAGTATATAAATACAATATTTCTAGGCACACTTGGCTGGACACCCCCACTACTTACTAAAGAAAGCCCCCAGGTTATGATAATTCATTATCATAACCATGTTAACACATATAATGAAGATACATACACATACAACTGCTAAACACTTAAGAAGGTGACATAGAGAAACCTAAGTCAGCCATGAAAATGAATGCATGTATTTAGTATAATATCTGTACAAAAACAATTGAAGTGAATTCCAGCTATCAGTGAAAGAATTTCAGCACTAATGTCTAGATCCTAAGGAAACTAGGCAGACAGCCGGTCCTGGAGGTGACTATATGTCATCATGGGAACCAGGAAGCTGTGAGGAACACAACATCATGCGAAGCATTAGACTTATCTTCTCTTATCTCTGTCTATGATGCCTCCCTCAGCTCCGGATGATTTGACTGTCTTTGACTCTGGGAATTCTGCTCCACTGGATCAAGTAGCAAGAGTACTTCACTGTACAGCAACTGTACTGGTATCTAGCATGTCTATATCACCAGTAAGGACACACAATGTCTTAGAGCCACATTACTCTGGCACTGGTAGCTGTTTGAGGCACAATCTCCCCCATTTTTGGAGATGTCAGGAACCTTCACAGGTGTTAGCTGGTGGGTAACAAGTTGGTTCTGGTGGTTGGATTGGTGAGTGGATGTTGGTGAGACTGTGAATCTTCTGCCAGCTCTTCAGAAAATATACATCCCAAGCATATGTAAAACTGAGATCTTTTCCAGATTGCCTTGAAAATTTAAAGTATACAGGCACAGATTAACACATCTGGAGGCTTGAGAAGCTGGCAAGGAGAATGGCGTCAGATAGACATTTCAGGGGTTGGTACAAAAGAAGTTCCTTGTATACTGGGGCAAGGAGTAAATCGGTTTCCAAGAAACCTCAATTAACTCCTTAAATATATCCCCAAGAGATATACATTTAAAAGTGGAGTTTAGTTAAAGTACCCAGAAAAGGCAGACATAATAATGTTGTCCAATACAGGCCTATATATATAGATATAAGGGACTATATATTTCTGGGCGAGTCCAAGTTTGAATTTTGTGCAGATTACAGGTAAGACAGGTTATCAGCCTTACAGACCGATGTGTAATGACTATCATTTCACGACACTTTGCACAAACACACACACAAATACGCCACGTTCAACCAGCATCTCTGAAGGGGAAGCTTTTGGTTCTAACTGTGACTAGGTTATTTGCACCATATAAAAATGGCTTAACACTGCTCGCCACCAAGTAGCTCTGAGAAGAACACTTGCAGTTTTGATGCAATCAAAGAAGACAAGACCCAAATACTGTCCCAACCGACAACAAAGTCGTCTACCTGCCAGCCAATGAGCGACCTGGCCACCGATGAGCCACCTGGCTCCCGATACTGCCCATGTGCAATAAAGGTGATCATTTTAACAACTACAAATAATAATAATATGGGCTAAATAACAACAGAAATTCTAGAGATAAATAAAGTAATAATAAGGTTCGTTTGTTTCCAGGTTTTCTAATAGTTCCCGATAAAAATGAATGTTTCAAACTTACCGTCAGAGTCAACTGGATCATTTGCATCCTCTAAGTTATTTACAACTGTCCTCACATAACTTGTAGGCAGTCAAGAAAATGCATGTTACCCAGTATACTAAAATGTCTAATAATATATATATATATATAAAAACTGGCACAGAATGCAGTTACTCTCAGCAAGTCCAACAGCATATACACATATTAAATGCATAAGGCAGCCATCAAAACTGCCAACACAAAAAAGTCTGACACTAGAAATGCGGTTAAACAGATCAGTGGTTGCACATGCGATTTATCACACCACCAGTTCTGTGGCAATAGACCACTACCATTTTGTGAATCTACAGTACACAACAAAAACCATGCTGGGAACAGTCAAAAGCATTCTTGATAAAATCTGCAGCTCACAGTGTCAAGCTATACACTCAACTCAGTCACTGGGCGACAAAACTATATCCGTGCAGTCTACATATGGAGGAAAAAAGCAACTAGCAACTACTGTCAGAAGCAAAAACTTGCCGCAACTAAAAAAGGTAAACCTGCCTATCCTCCATACTGATCAAAAGAAAAACAAAAACAACAAAACATACAAAAAAATATTTTCCCATTGTCAGGAAATTTCCCCTACTCATGATGTGCTCCCGAAAGGGGGAAAAAACTTACTCTCAGACGAGTAACCAACTCTTTGTGAGTTTAATTTCTTTCAAGGTATCATAATGCTTTGTATCTGTCCATGACATTCTCATCATAGTGAAGTTAACCCTGTGCCCAAAAGAAGACTAAATCTAGTCACTGGCAGCTGTGATACACAGTCTCATAAGTACCGATATATTGGCCTGTCATCAGTGATCTTAGTGTCCATGTTTGGCATTAAGCTACCAGTGCCAAACATGGACACTATCTAAAGCCCATATACGCAAAATTACTACCTGAGAGATGAGGTGCCTGAGAAAAGCAGCCAACCTAACCGTACGAGATCGAGTGAATAATGAAACTATCAGGCAAATTGTAGGAACGACACCTTGTACTAGATTCATCGAGAAACAGCAGATCAAGCGGTTTGGCCATCTCGTTAGAATGAAACAAGATCAAATACCGTCACAAGCACTACATCTAAGAGCATGAGTCACCCAATACATATTGTTTTTCAGGCCTCAGGAAACATACACCATTACTGATTCACCCTGTTTGTGTCTACTGATTATCTTTTTGTTTAAATATATATATATTGATTTTATTTTTCGGGGAGGGAGTTAAGTGATTTTTTTTTTTTTTAATTTTTAATTTATTAGTGACCTATGTACAACGTCAGTTTTTTTTTTTTTTTAACAAAGAATCTTTCCAGAAATTCCAACAAGATCATGGTTTTTTTTTTTCAGTATTCACGGGGTGAAATGATTAAACATTCAACTATTCTTTAAATTCTTGTCCAAGCAAACAAAAGGATACAAGTCTGAACTCTGTGTAAAAATGCTCCAAATAGATGGTAAAATATCAGGCAACCACTGGGCCATGGTCTTGGGGAAACCTTTAATCAGAGTGGTCAGAGCCTGATGGATTAGAGAATAAAAAACATGCAATATCAAGTGTAAACTTCAATGTAATCAATCACACACACACAACGCACTCTTTTCCACCCCATTAGGCTTGCAATATCAAGTGTAAACTTCAATATAACCACACACATACAACGCACTCTTTTCCTCCCCATTAGGCTTGCAATATCAAGTGTAAACTTCAATATAACCACACACATAAAACGCACTCTTTTCCACCCCATTAGGCTTGCAATATCAAGTGTAAACTTCAATATAATCACACACATACAACGCACTCTTTTCCACCCCATTAGGCTTGCAATATCAAGTGTAAACTTCAATATAAACACACATACATGGCACTCTTTTCCACCCCATTAGGCTTGCAATATCAAGTGTAAACTTCAATATAACCACACACATACATGGCACTCTTTTCCACCCCATTAGGCTTGCAATATCAAGTGTAAACTTCAATATAATCACACACATACAACGCACTCTTTTCCACCACATTAGGCTTGCAATATCAAGTGTAAACTTCAATATAATCACAAAAATACAACGCACTCTTCTCCAACCCATTAGGCTTGCAATATCAAGTGTCAACTTCAACATAACCACACACATACAACGCACTCTTTTCCACCCCATTAGGCTTGCAATATCAAGTGTAAACTTCAACATAACCACACACATGCATGGCACTCTTTTCCACCCCATTAGGCTTGCAATATCAAGTGTCAACTTCAACATAACCACACACATACAACGCACTCTTTTCCACCCCATTAGGCTTGCAATATAAAGTATCAACTTCAACATAACCACACACATACATGGCACTCTTTTCCACCCCATTAGGCTTGCAATATCAAGTGTCAACTTCAACATAACCACACACATATATGGCACTCTTTTCCACCCCATTAGGCTTGCAATATCAAGTGTCAACTTCAACATAACCACACACATACATGGCACTCTTTTCCACCTCATTAGGCTTGCAATATCAAGTGTCAACTTCAATATAACCACACACATACAACGCACTCTTTTCCACCCCATTAGGCTTGCAATATCAAGTGTCAACTTCAACATAACCACACACATGCATGGCACTCTTTTCCACCCCATTAGGCTTGCAATATCAAGTGTCAACTTCAACATAACCACACACATACAACGCACTCTTTTCCACCCCATTAGGCTTGCAATATAAAGTGTCAACTTCAACATAACCACACACATACAACGCACTCTTTTCCACCCCATTAGGCTTGCAATATCAAGTGTCAACTTCAATATAACCACACACACATACAACGCACTCTTTTCCACCCCATTAGGCTTGAAATATCAAGTGTCAACTTCAATATAATCACACACATACAACGCACTCTTTTCCACCCCATTAGGCTATCAATATCAAGTGTAAACTTCAATATAACCACACACACATACAACGCACTCTTTTCCACCCCATTAGGCCTACTGGGCACATCATGCTAGACCTTCAATTTACAGAGCAACTGGCTCTCGGTGGGTGATATAGTCAACATCACACCACCTACATTTATTTCCCAGGACTTTACATGGTAACTATTTTAGGCTGGGTCGTCCTGGAGAGGGGGGGGGGGGGGGGGGGGGGTATTTTTGAAGAAAATTTGACTCAAAATGAATTTGAACCTACACATAATATAATAAAATGATGATACATTATTATCTTCTATTTCAAAACCATATTTATGAGTTACGATGTGTCCTAGAAGATGATCCCTTGAATAGATCTTCCAGTCATCTCACATGTCAAGACAAGAAATCTTTTTAGTCATGGTTTCTCCCATGTGACAGCTATTCAACTGACCAGACGTGGATTTCTCTCTGAGACACTTCAGTTAAGTGATTTTGTGTATTCTTTTTTTTTTTTTTTAAAGGACTTCTCATTTATATTTTCTGTAATTTGCATTCTCCTTAGAAACGACATTTCGACTGTCAGATATTGTGTCTGCTTATTGGCTGTTCATGTTTCACATGCATACCAAAATACAGGTTGTATATAAAAACAAACATACTTTTTTTTTGTTGCACTTGACAGCTCTTTACTTACTTACTTAGTCACTCCTCTTCTACCTTGGGGTGTAGAGCTTTGTCAGAGAGATAACAGACGTCTCTATCAGCAGTTTTCTTTCTGGCTTTGTTCCATTCCAGTCCTCTGTCAATTAGGGACTGTTGGATGTTGTCTTCCCACGGACCCTGGGTCGCCCTAGAGGTCTGGTTTCCATGGTTCTTAGCCTCCCATGCCTGCCAAGGTGGCAGATTTTCTCCCATTCTGCATACATGTCCAAACCATCGTAACTGTGACTGATCCACTCCACTTTGTAAGGACTGGATATCAAGATCTTGACTTTGATTGGGGGCTTTGTCCCTTTTTGTTACTTGGACCACATTTCTCAGACATCGACAGCTCTTTGATTGGTATATTTTCAATCTCACAGACATTACTTTTGTCATGCCAATTCTTATTCTAATCTCTACAAATCATTTTCCGTCAGAAGTTATGACCGTTTCAAGAGCAACCTAATAGGCAGCTCAAAATGTCCAGCAAAAGAGACAAATCTTTTATACCATTTCCTTTCTATTATTTAATATTATCAGCCCAAGACTGACAAGAAAAAAAAAAAAATTCAAGACTGGCATTTTCCTGTCAGCAGGTAATCATTTCATTAAAAGCCAAGTGCCAAATATTGCAAACAATTCTTTCCTTAAATGGCATACGAATTCTGAAAAAGATTCCAACCTTAATGATTTCTAACTTCAAACCACTGTCACAGGTTGGTGAGTCTGGCAGCTGCAGGCAGTGAATGAATGCCTTGGTAAACTGAGGCAGGACTGGGAACAACAGCTGTTTAGCCACACCCTGTAAGCAGAATATAAGTTCCTTGGTAAAATGAGGTAATACTGAGAACAACAGCTATTGAGCAACACTCTATAAGGATACTGTAAACGCCTTGGTAAACTGAGGCAGTACTAGGACAACTGCTGTTTAGAAAGACCCTGTAACGAGAATATAAAGTATATAAGATTTAAATGCCTTGGTAAACTGAGACTGTTTAGCAACATCTTGTAAGTGAAAAAATAAAACAGCAACAAATAAAATAGCAGCCACTAGATCAGAGATTTCCAAAATGTTCATGATGGTGATACATTTTTAAACAAACATAATTTCATGACACAGTAATTAGTGGCTTCGTGAAACAGTAAATGGTTTAATAGCAAACGAGAGGTTAAACTAACCACTAATAATAAAGACATGGACACATATTATTCTGTTTAATGCTACAAATTTGAGTGATGTGGTTTGAAAAGCTCTGGGCAAGATATTGCTAGGCCACATGGTCTGGAAAGCTCTGAGAAGATATTGCTTGGCAACGTAGCCTGGAAAGCTATGGGCAAGATATTGCTTGGCAACATAGTCTGGAAAGTTCTGGACAAGATATTGCTTGGCAACATAGTCTGGAAAGCTCTGGACAAGATATTGCTTGGCAACATAGTCTGGAAAGTTATGGACAAGATATTGCTTGGCAACATAGTCTGGAAAGCTCTGGACAAGATATTGCTTGTCAACGTAGCCTGAAAAGCTCTGAGCAAGATATTGCTTGGCAACGTAGCCTGGAAAGCTCTGGGCAAGATATTGCTTGGCAACATAGTCTGGAAAGCTCTGGAAAAGATATTGCTTGGCAACGTAGCCTGGAGAGCTCTGGGAAAGATATTGCTTGGCAACGTAGCCTGGAAAGCTCTGGGCTACATGCTGCTTCTTGCCCTTCAGTTCGATTCCACATAAGGCAAATTTTTACAAATTTACTTGGGCTCCCAGACTGTCCCAGCCTACAAAAGGTAATATAAACTTCCTGGCACCTAAAGGCATCTGTGCGCTAATTGGCATATGACAATCTGGGTCTAGCACCACAGGTTATTCTTCTTAGCACTCGCCGTTAGAAGACTCGGGTTGTTCCTCCTCTTTCTGGACTTCCGTCTAATTCCAGAACTTGAATTTTGCAAGCAAATCCATTTGACATGATCTGACTTTCTTGTATGTCGACTACTGGTTCCTTGCCATTCAGGCAGATGCATATATTTAATAAAAATATAGGTTAAGCCCTATATACCAAATACGCATGAAGGGGTGGAAAATAGTCCTTTACTGACTTTTATTTGTCAAGGAGACCCTTACAGTGCCATTGGCACATTGAACTTATGATTCTCACTCTGTGGCCCCCTTATGGGGGGGGGGGTTTAGACTTACTGCCTCCTTAACAAGTATGTCTTAACAGGCGACTAATTAGGCATTTTCATGAAAGGTATGTATCGGGGCCTGATAACTGTAGGTCTTTGTTGTTATCTGCATTACATTAAAGCCTGTGAGACCAGTTTCAGACACCATTCTTCAGTCCACAAGTGCAGGCATTTTGGAGAGACTATAGGTTACTGCTGGGGCTACAAAGTTTCGAACTACAAAGTTTCGAACTATGTTTTTTTTTTTTTTTACTTTTCTTAGTGGTCACTGGCTGTAAACTATGGCTGAAAATTCCGGTTCTTTGTCCACTCCTAGACTTTGCTCTTGATCCAACACTTGAGTTTTGTGCGCAATTCCATTTTACCAATCAGTAGACTGTTTGTTGGTTGCTGGCCTCTCAGGCAGATACACTCCCCCCCTCTCAAGCAGTCGCCTCCTACAACATGCTTGTTAGGAAGGCAGCGGATCTATCCTTTATTCTCCAAAAATGGAGCCACAGAACCAACATAGGGACTTGTGGCATGTGAGAGACTCTTAGAGAGGCTGGCCCATATGGGATCAAACCTGGTGCAATTAAGCCGATGCTCTCGACTTTTAACATATTTCTCCATATGTGAAACTCAAGAATAGGAATAAAGGAAGGCCAAAAAAAAAAAACACACATGGAGAAGAGAGCTGGAGAATGAAGTTAGAAAGATGGGGAGGACATGGGGAGAGCTCCATGCAATGGCGAAGGATAGAACAACTTGGCGTGACTTGGTTGAGGGCCTATGCTCCATTGGGGGATAGAAAGGCAGAAGAAGAAAAAGTAGAAACTCAAGAAAACAAGTCACCGCTGAAGCAACAAATACTTCTATGCTGAAAGCTTTTTAGTAATTGCCTTTTTTCAGTGAACACTCACCCACCCACCCACACCCAACTACAGGTTACTTTATTTCTTTCTCTTGTCTAACTGATACCAGGTTGTAGCCCAGTGTTGGGGTTTCCTGTATTTGTCTTGCGTTTCTTCGGTGGCTTGGCCCCAGTATAAAGACTGCTAGATGTCTATGTGACGCCAGAGGGAAAGAGAAAAAAGGGGCGCACAAAAAACAACATGGAGATAAACGATGGAAAGTGAACTGAGTGCTGCATCTCTGACATGGAAAACTGCACTGAAGATACTGATGATATGGCTATATGGATGAATAGGGCTTCTATGATATGTACCTGATCTTATTCTTGAGATGTTAATTCTACAGACTGCAATCCTATGGGGGAAAACTATCAATAACAAACATTTTCTTTTTCTTTATTACATAAAGGTAAAGGCGGGAGATATGAACCAGCAATACTGCACACGGTTATAAACCGTAAGTGCTCTGCAACCAGTACGGACAGATGATAAGAAAATGTCCGCCTGTGTCGCCGTCCGCACGTAACTCAGTAGCTACAGCAACGTTCCTCCATTTACCCCAGAGCATCAACTCTGGTACCCATTTCCTAGACGCTGGGTGAACCCCAGGAACCGCCGGTTTCGAACACCGACCATGGGCTGCAGCGAGTCGCAGCTGGATTTGAAAGCAAGTCTTCTGTCAACTGCGCTAACGCAGCCCTTATTACATATTGCTAGGAAACACTAAGTCAGGATTCCATACCTTCTGAAATTCTTGCATTGTTGACACCATTCCAGCCACAATGTTGAATATATGTATAGTCCTGGATCGAGTTCGTACACCAAAAGTCTAGAGAGAAAAAAAAAAAGAATGCTACATTTTATTAAGAAGAAGGGCCGTTTTAATGCCAGCGGTGAATCAATAATCTGATGCCTGATGTGCTTAAAATCATGCTGGCCATCATTGACTTCCCAGGCTTTACCTCGTACTCATTTTTGGCTGTGTCAATTTTAAAAAAAAAATTAGACCTGACTTGATGTGGATTTGAACCCAAGACCTTCAGGCTGACAGGTGAGAAAATGTGTTTAGTGAAGCTCAACTGTTGTAACATTTGGTTGGTACTACAGCTGTCGTCTGCCCAGACACGTCTGTTAACATCTGGAGTTTAAATATCACTTGATCAGAGTTTTTATGCAAGACACAGGCTATTACTAGCTCATCTCTAATATTTAATGTGGGTTCCTGGACACCCATCTTAAAAGATCTGAACATCAAGGAAGATTGGCTAATAAATAGCATTCTGTCTTGGAAGCTGAAATATTTTGGTCATATCAAGCACCACAACGGATTGGAAAAAAATTATAGCAGAGGGCATGGTACCAGGAAGGAGGGGCAGGGGCCGACCAACACGAAGATGGGCACAGGATATAAGTGACTCCTTGAGTATGAAAGTACATGAGGCGGGAGAGCTGGCGAGAGACTGAGTTTCTTTCAGGCAGACTGTGATGACAGCGATGTTCTGCAAAGGACCTGCTACATGATGATGATGAGCCAGGACATCATGGTGGGAAAAACAAAAGCAGACTCGCCACCTTCCCAACAAGCATGTCGTAAGAGCTAATTGGGGACTTCTTTCGAAGTTGCACTGCATCTGCCTGAGAGGCAAGAAACCAACAATCTGCATACAAAAAATTCAGATCTATAAAACGGATGTGCATGCAGGTTCTGGAACAAGACTAAAGTAAAAAGGTAGGCAGACGAACACCCAGAACTTTCCGGCAGAATCTCCAGCTGATGAAGGTGAAGAAATAGAAGATATTTTTTTTTAAAACGTGCACACAAACATTTCGCTGCATATCACCAGGTACATTACTGCAGAGTTTAATCAACGGTGCTTTCTTAATATCCTACCACAAACAGGGGTAATCCACAGGTCACAGGACAGTGTAATATTTTAGGGGGTGGTAGATAGGCTGCATGCAGTCATGGGAACTATGCTGCACTCTCTCGTGGGACGTACATGGGTTGGGTTAGGGCCAGTTCTACATATTTTGGGGTCGTTAAAAGTATCAGAAAGCCAGGAAACCCAGTCTTACCACTCTCGAAAATGTTGGCCCGTCCTGTGACGTCATCTGGGATAGGATTATACGAACCCAATCAACATATAATGAAGAACAAAAAATGAATCTTTTTAGCTGAAACTCAAAATCACATTATACAATTTTGCACTTCAGTTTAATTAATCCATTTAGTGGCTTCACTGTTGATTGCAGGAGGTGACGCTTCAGAAATTTAAAATAATGTTTCAAACTGAGATGCAAAAATCGCAGTAGAATGGGATTTTGTATTTCTGTGAAAAGGATTTATTTTTTGTGTTTCATTATACGTTAATTTAACTCTGTAGTAATGCATCTCATGATAACGGTGAAATATTTTTGTCTGCATTATTTAAATTTAAGTATAATAATTAATTTGTTGCGTATCCTTTACAAGACGCTGCAGAACCAACCCCAGCATTTTTTTGGCTTTGTGATTTTTCTAGGCAAGTTTATGTCCAGTAGTTTACCAATGCTTTCTGGACGGTCGGCTTCTCGATACCACTGTCGAAACCAACACAAGGCGCAAGGACCGCAGCTGGGATTGAACCCAGCACCCCGGCATTACAAAGCTCGTTCGCAACGCCTAAGCCACAGACGCCGACACCTATAATAATAATAAACATTATTTTGCCTTACTTGAGAATTAAAACATCACTTCCTGAATGTGACAGAAACTGGTCACAGAAAGATGCCATAGTTTACCAAAGCAATTCTAGTGAGAAATATTGTTAGTAACTTTATGCTATCAGTGCAAAACAGAGACCCTTACTACAACTAATGAGCACAAAATCCTCACAACAGAGATGACATGTCTTAGAAGAGCTGTGTAACAAGAAGAGGTAAAATTAAAAATGAAGAAATTAGAAGAAGTCCAGGACTAGACCAGTCACACAGCTCAGCAACAGATGAGATGGTTTGGCCATCTGACAAGAATGCCCTGGCACCAACTGCCACCGACAGCCATGCTGACAAAATACAATGAACACGGAGCAAAGAGAAGACCACGGCAAAGATGGAACGACATAATCTAGAACAGAAGAAATTAAGATCAACTTATGCAATGCATCAGATATAGCACATATCTGCATGGATTCTAGGGCCATATTGTGGAGAAAAGAAGAATAGACTCACCACCTCCCCCTCCAACAAGCATGTCGTAGGAGTGGACTAATTAGGGACATCCTTCGTAGACGGAGTACACCTGCCTACGAGGCAAGGAACTACAGGTCCGCATACAAATAAGCCAGATCTAAGAAGGACAAGATATAGCATATTGACTGTGTTGACCCCCAACCCCCCAAACCTTGATTTCAATAATATAACTGGAGAAAGAGAAGAAAAAATAAATGGACTGATATCCAAAATGCCCTATTACTCACTAGTCAAATATAAACTCTTTTAGTCCCAAACAACACACCATATGCACTGGATATCAATCATGTATACGAGCCAATACGTTTTGTATAGTTGTACATATTAAGTTTAGTCAGGTAAACTAAATCAACCCAGCAACCCAAGTCAACCACAAGGTGCTGTGTATATGGTGCTTTTGTTGTCATCATTACTGCTGCAATCAGCTATGCTCTTCCAGGACTGAATGAGTTAACAGTTTATAGCTAAACTTAGTGTCAGATCAAAAACACTATTATCTTTCAACATTATACCATTTACCTCATGCTCTCAGCACATCGTACATCCAATTTTAAGAAACTGCCCATTTTAACACACCAGCCATACAGGGATTTTTGGATCTCACCGTTTTTCTGGCAAAGCCAATTCACAAAATGGGTAGAAACTGTGATTTAAACAAGGGATAATACATAAATAAAACCTCAATCTCCTCTGTTCTTGAAGGCCAACTCACAGAATGGGTAGAAAGTCTATGTCATTCAAAAATGGGCAATGGGCAACAATGTGCAAACTGACCTCTGCTCCAATGAAGACTTTGTACAACTCAGGTAGAATAACTGGAGCAACGTGAGCCATCTGAGTGTCTGTCACATCTTGGCAAAACTCTAGCAAAGGAACAGATTTAAACTGTATGTATATGGTAACATGAAAATGTCAAAACAGGACACATCTGTGCATGCATCAATGCAAAGTTCAAACTTAGTTAAGAATCAACAGTAAATGAAGTATCCTTTGCATCATCATCAAGTGCCTTGCCGATTAGCGTGGGCGATCATGCCTCTCCACAATCTGTGATCTGCAACAGCATGTATCAATTCGTGTGTTCTTCTTCTTCTTCGCGTTCACCAGCTGTACACTCTGGCGGAAAGTTCTGGTTGCTGGTCCACTACTGAACTGCAGTCCTGCTCCAGAACCTGAGTGTTGCATGTGCATCAGTTTTACAGATCTCATTCTCTTGAATACAGACTGTTGGTTCCTTGCCTCTCCGGCAGATGCACTCCGACTTCAAAGGAAGCTCCCCAATTAGTCGACTCTTACGACATGCTTTAGGGGAGGCAGTGGGTCTATTCTTGTTTTCCCCACAATGGGGCCCCGGAACCCACACGGGGGGAATTTGTGTGTTGACACCTCTCCATGGGATGACAAAAGACTGTCAAGAATCTTCCCACGCTGTCTTTTTCTGTCTCTCTTTCCACTGGTCACAACATGTTCCATTTTCCCTCTCCTCACAACATGACCCAAAAAAAAAATTATGACTGTCTCTTTCTAATGTTTGTAATAAGTTGTTTTCCAGCATTTGCCTCTATCAAAACATCTTTCTTCGTTGCTATTCTTAGCTGTCCAAGGAATTCTAAGGATTCTTCTGTAAAACGACGTCTCCATGGCCTCAAGATATTGTTCGGCTTGTCTTTTAATTGTCCAGGCTTCACACCCGTATGTTAAAATTGGCTCTATATAGCATGTGATAATTCTTTTCCCAACCTCCAATGACATGGATGTATTGCATAAAATGTTCTTCGTTTTGTAAAATGCAGTTTTGGCCTGTCCTATTCTATTCTATTTATCTCTGCAACACACCTTCCATTGGATGTTTTCCGTGTGCCAAGATACTTAAATTTCTGTTTTTGTCCTAAAATAACGCCTTAGACTTTTATTTTACATTTAGGCACTATTCTTTTCTTGGAAATCACCATTACTTCTGTCTTTCCATTATTCAAACTGAGGCCCATTTTATCACTTTCTACCACCTGTACACAGTGTTGCAGAACCAAGCCCAGCATTTTTGGCTGCTCCTGATTTCACCAGGCAATTTTACATTCAGTAGTTTACAATTGCCACCTGAATGGCCAGTTCTTGAAACTACTGCTGACACCAACACAAGGCGGTCTAATACCAAATTGCTTGAAGCTGGGATTGAACTAGGCACTCTAAAGTTATGAAGCGTGTTCCCAAAGCCTAAGCCAGACGCCAACATCACTGAACAGGTATCAAGATAAACAAAGGCCTTTACAAGTGAAATGACACCATTCTTTGCCTTATGGCTTGGATCTGAACCAGGTAACTCACGAGCTGGAAACATATACTTTATTCTCTCAGCCATGTCTCCCCTAAGAGCTGAAGCAGTGTAGGTGCCAGATGCTCACCTGTCAGCCCGAAGATCTTAGGTTTGAATCCATGTTGAACAGGATTTTTTTTTTGGAAACTGGATGGCTCACAGTCAACGCAGACTGAAATGGATACCAGGTAACACCCTTGGGATTCAAGGCATGTGGCGTGATGAACACATCACCCATTGAGTGCCAACTGGTCTATGAAAATACAAGTCTAGAATACGTCCAGTGCACCACCCGGATAAAAAGGGTCTTTAACATTACACACCTCCCATTATTTTATATCTTCCCTTTTCTTTATCATTCTGTGTAAAATCAAAAACTTTTGATTAAAATAGTCCTGTACAGAAGGTTAGAAACCTGACATTTAAGTTAGAACACAATCAGAATTTGATCCTATCTACTATGCTTGCCTGCAGATCGGAAGGGAGCGGGTTCGGGTCATGACTTTCTTCAAAAACGACCTTGGCTCCCAGGTCAACCTAACCTCAAATGGGTACTGAGTTCAGTCCTGTAAAGACTCGTCTATAAAATACAGGTCTTGCCTTATAAGCCCAATATATCTGAAGGCATGGACAGCGGTCCTTCACTTACTATGAATGTCAAGCCATCATCACTATAAAACAAGACAGCGACTATATCATGTGAGCAGGGGTCCTTCACTTACTATGAATGTCAAGCCATCATCACTATAAAACAAAACAGCAATTATATCATATGAGCTTAGTTTACCTGACAGAACTCGCATAGATCCATGGACTGCGTTTGGTTGGCCACTGGTCAAAGCTTGCATAAGTAGGGGAAATAATTCAGGCCATACTTCCGGCCAATCCCAGTGAGCAATTGCTGAGATTGCATAAGCAATGCTTGTCCGTACTTTGCTAATAGACTCCGACAAGCCTTGTGGCAGAAGCTGCCGTATGTGTGCTTTCGCCTGAAGATATCAAAAACAAAATAATAATAATATACAAAACTCTGAACTCTTAGAAACCAGCGGCAACTTGACATAAGAACAGAATACAACAATACAAAGATATCTGTAGGGTAGGTTAGTATCTTCATCTGTGCTCAAATCTTCTTTTCCTTCTTCGCGTTCACAGCTGTAAACTCTGGCGGAAAGTTCTGGCTGTTCAGCAACCTCTGGACTTTAGTCTTCTTCCTGAAGCCGAGTGTTGCGTGTACATCTGTTTTACAGATTATACACATCTATATGCAGACTGTTAGTTCCTTGCTTTCAGGCAGATGCTCTCTGACTTGGAAAGATGCCCCCAGTTAGTCAACTCTTACGACATGCTTGTTGGGAAGGCAGTAGGCCTATTTTCCCCCCACAACAGGGCCGCAGAACCCACGCAGGAAGGGGCCATAATGAAAGCAAAGAATACTAACAGTGTAAACTGTCATGTCTGTCATAGGGGACATAGAAGGAGGACTGGCTACTATATCCCAACAAAATTTAAGGTGCACAATCAAACCAATCAAAAATAAGACTAAAGAAATTGAAAAATAACTCCGACACAGAAGAATAACTCCGACACAGAAGAATAACTCCGACACAGAAGAATAACTCCGACACAGAAGAATAACTCCAACAAGCAAGATTAAAGCATGCTCCTGGCAAGACATGATGAGAAGCAAAGACAGCCGTAAAGTTTTTGGGTCACTGACTTCTCTCAATTAACTCTTTAAGGCCCAAACAACGGTGTAAGCGTAGTTTGAGAAGTTCCGTTCTGCCCAAACAACAGTGTCATCGTCAATCGTGCGTCCCTTACATTTTGCTTCGCACGCGCGTTCGTACTAGTTTCTAATGTTTGGAGGTACGATTAAACTATTCAGGGAAAGTCACTCTGCCGAAATCCTTTTAGTTTCATTTCCTGGACTAAACCACACGTGGATAATTTGAGAGAGAAAAACAGCGACATTTTTTTAACAGTTCATTTTCTAAATTCGTTTTTGAGTGCCATGAATACCAATGTTCTAACCACAAGAACAGGTCGCAGAATGCGTCTTTCTGCGGCCGAAGCTCTGAAACTGTTTCAGTCAGATGTTTTTAATTGTGATAATGATAATACAAATTTAGATTTTTCAGAAAGTGATTCGGACCGTGAATTTTCACCAGTGAAGTTGAGCGATCAGCTGTTCGGAATCTAGCGATTCTGATGAGTTTATTACACAATGTCCCATACTACAGTATTTATGGTGTAAGAGAAGGAAAGTGCTCTAAACAAAGAGACAGTACTATACTAGGGCTAAGCTACATAGAAATCATCGCAGCTACAGTCTGTAAATAACTGTACAAAGTGAATAGTAAATAGTGTGTGTGTAATGGCTCATTTTTTCTCTGAAATTTTGCTTAGCACTCTGTGAGAACTAAGAGCCCCTGAGTGATAAACTAACCCAGAAAGTTATCATAACTTTAGAATATGTTAGAAAATTGAACAAACTTTGAAGTTTTGTTCTCAAATTTGGATATTTACTACTCTTGTGGCTGCAAAACCATGGTAAGTGAAGACTTTTTTTGTGAAATGTTGTCCTTGTGAAATTAACACCTGCTGAATTCTTCTTTTCCACTAACTATAACAAAATCAAACAAACACTTATCATCAGATTTAAAATGTACATTCATTTCTCTTTTAAAAAATATATACTTTTATAGGGATTAGAAGTATATTACAATCTCTACAGCCTTTCTTGTACACCCACCCCTCTGCCATTTTTGTAAAGAGAAATTAATGTGGGCCAAGTCTGTCAAAATTCATGGGCCTGAAAGAGTTAACTTTCTCAGGACCACATTTTTTCTGGGGTTTGGACAGCATTAATTTTGAGCGAAATTTGTTTACTGCAACACAACAAAGCTAAAACCTTCCTGAAGAAAAAGTATTGGCTGTATCGGGACATATAATATATCAAATTAAAGATAAATTAGTGCAGAATAAATCTAAAATATTTAAATGTCAGTACAACAAAATATTATTAAAATCACACAACATTCAAGGATGTCAGACACACATGAAAATTAGTGACACAAACAATTTTGTGCTCACCTTATTTTTTTACTTGTTCAACAACACTGCTATCAAATTATAAGAATGCACATGCCTTCTATGTTCAATTATTTATTAGCTAATCTTTTTTGAAATAATTAATTCAAACACTTTGGATGTTATGACATGTCATTTTTACAACAACTGAAAATCAGAAAAAACAGCTGATCGAAACAGTGATATGACTGAAATATTTTGTGAAATTTTCATATCCTAAGCTAAATTATCGCTAGTAGATTTGTCACTTAGATATCAGTCATAATATCAAGACTGCTGTCACCATCTGACAGAAACTGAGAATTCGCTAAAAACATGAAGATAAGAAAAGGTACCTGGACCAGACATCATCCATCAAGCTAAAGTTGTCAATAATAAAAGTTCATTCCTAATGATCTATTAAAATCCATACTTAACAGCTCCTGCCAGAGAAACCATACGCCTCAGAATACAAAAATCATAGAACAATAAAGCATAACATGAGAACAACATCCAGAGGAACCATACGCCTCAGAATACAAAAATCATAGAACAATAAAGCATAACATGAGAACAACATCCAGAGGTCACAACTTGGTGTCAAGAAGGTAATAATAAGACCAACAAAATATATGGAAGGAGTTCTCTTGTGATGACTGAAAGCTTTCCCTTTTGCCCACTCCCTGTGAAACATTTCTAACCAATAATCAAATACCACATAAGCATGAAAATAAAATTAAACTGAACACATCCAACAGAATATGAACAGACTCGATACAGGAATAGAAGCCAGAATATTGGAGGCAAATGCTATCACCTATCAGTTAGCCCCGCTGCTTAGACACCCAAATGTAGCATATTTATCCCTTCTTTATGTTATCAGTGCCAAACACGGACAATAAATAGTGCACTAGTACAGAAAGTAACTAAATGTGAAATGTGCTGTCTCCACAAGAAGAGACAAGGTTATGAATGCCAGCATTAGACAAAGTTGGAATAAGACCATGTCTGGATTATACTGACAGACAATGAATGAAATGGTTCGGCCATCTAGCGAGACTGCAGCCAGGCCAAACCTGTATAAAGAATTTTTACAGCAGAATATCTGGGAGAAAGGCAAGAGAAAGACCAAGAAAGAGGTGGATAAATGGTGTAGCAGAAGCCTGCAAAAAGAGGAACAAATCCATCACCCAAGCCACCCAAGAAAAGCCAGACAAATACAGAAAACCACAACACTGGGCTACAACCTGGTATCAGTGAGACGACAAAAGAAGAGGTCGAACAAAATAAGCCTGAAATTTAAGTAATAAAATTGGGACATACTGCATTAGAAGCCTCTGGAGAGATGAATCTGTCAGACTGTGGCGACCAGTGACATTGTACATACTGCTTGAGTAATACGGATGCTAACTGTCTGATGGCCAAAGGTCCTTGCACATCTACAGTGATTTCCGCAAGGTATACACCAAATTCTGTAAATAAAAACAAACACTAATTACAAAATTCTGTTTGTATTCGATTGCAATTATTGAATCCTGAGTTTAAAAAAAAAAACACTAAAAATAAAACACAGCCAGGTGCCACTTCCTTAATGCAGGTTGGTCTCAAGTCAAGTTTGAACAACTGATCAACATCATGGCACGCGGGTAGTAACCCGGTCTCAAGTCAATGCATCTCATATTCTCTGTCTCTCATCCTTTCTGAGACTGCTGTTCATCCATCTCTTGATGTTATCTTCCTACTGGTACTGACTATCACTATCTATCTCTAGCTAGAAGTTCGCCTGAGAATCTGAAGTTTGTGAGTGGGTTCAAATCCGAATGGAGAGGGACTTTTTTTATTTTAATGACCTTGGCCTCCAAGCTGACCCAGCCTTACAGGGGTACCAGGTAAAGTCATGGGGAGCAAAGAGGGCCGGCCTGTGTTGACCCGATCACTCATCGAGTGCCTAATAGTCTCATACAGTATAGGTCTAGCATTATATGCCTAATTAATCAGCCTGAAATGGAGTACTTTACTTACTTTTATTACTGCTTTTTTAGGTTATTGTTTTCTATCATTAATATAACCACTTTAATGTTCACATGTTCACAATGGCTGTCCATCAATATAATTAGAGGCAGACAATGTAGAACAGTGAAAAAAATGTGTATTCATTGTTCACTAAAGATCATCTTCGCTGTACATCGAACATGACCATAAGCGCGACCATAAGCGCTCCGATCTCCTCCTGAGTATATCTCCAAGTGTTTCCAGGCTAACAACTCCCATTCCCTTCTGTTGGATGTGACGACAGGTGGCTCCCACGTGATTTTCCTGTCTCATTGCTCCAACTGGTACATCAGGGTATGCAATCTATTCAGTGAAAATCTATGAAACTGAAAGCCTCACAGTGTTTAGTCTCTTCTATGGTACTGATGTCTCTCCTGTCCATAGACTGCCCATTGCTGATAGGTGCGCTGCCAGCCAGAGCATCTGCTCTCTCACTGCCATTCACATCAGCATGCTTAGGTTAGTTGCGTATCGTTTACAGGATGTTGCAGAACCAACCCCAACAACCCTCGATATTGTTTGGTTTTTCTAGGCAAATTTACGTCCAGTAGTTTGTCATTGCTTTCTGGACGGTCGACTTTCTTGATACCACTGTCGAAACCAACGCAAGGTGCATGGCCTGCAGCTGGGATCGAACCCGGCATTACGAAGCGTTCGCATCACTTAACCACAGAGCCGACTTCATCAGCATGCCCTAGGACAAAAATGAAGGTGACTTTGCGCAACACTGCATGCTGTATCAGATGGAGCCACTGTTTCCGTACATAGGCCGTCTTGATCTTTTGTAGCATTCTTAGCAGTGAATCGCTGAGCAAACATGCATTGGTGAATTCCTGAGTTTTCAGTAATTCCAGGGTCTTTGGTTACAGTGATGACCTCCACTGTCATGCCGCTAGTGGTAGAAGCAGAGTCTCTACTGTCTTCTTTGATGACTTTTCCTTTGGTTCTTGTTGGTGAAAGCTTACTGCAATGTCCTTTGTTTATTAATTTACGTTCTGTGCCCCCCCCCCCCCCCATAAAACGGCAGTGGATGTTTACTTCAAGTATGTATTTATAGCAACTGAACCAAAAAATTTGCGTCAGTTTTTCATAACCATAATCGGCCACCTTGCATAGCAGAACTTCTTTGTGACATTACTTTGCCACGTAAAGTTGTTAATTTTAGAATTGCTTTTCAGGAGTTTTATGTGACAAATTACAAGAGGAAACTTTTCCCGTTGAAGTTAAAACGAATGCTTTAAGTATCTGACTAAGCATACAAAAAAAACAAATCAGTTGTCAATTTTGCTTATTTTGCAATCTTTATTTTTCATGTGCAAAAGTCAAATTAATTTAAGGACATACTTTTCTAATATTTTATTTGACTAATTTCCGGCCTGAAAAGGGGTGTGTCCCACCAACTAACCGGCCGTCTACTGTTGTCTACCGGCCGTAGTTGAAAGGAGAGCCAAAATGGTAAATAAGCAGAAACCGACTAGAGGGTTTCTGAGACCTTCAATTATCACTACTAATTTTTTTTAATGCTGTGTTGTGGTTTGTTAATTGTGCTACCAATAAATGCACTATTATAATCTTGTGGAATTCAAAATTAGTGAACACATTACGCCACCAGAGAGTCAAATATGGTATATTCAGTATTTCAAACCGGAGAGGGTTATTGAAGCGGAATTTAAAGATTGGCTAGCACAGGAAAGCAACAATAAGGACTCCAGTTACTGTAAATTTTGTAAAGTGACTCTCAGAAATGTAAATATAATAAATCCATGCTATCAAAACATACACATTCTGTTGAACATGTAAGAAATTTCAAAGAAAGGGAACAGAAAGCAAAGAACAAGAAAATGTTTGCATGGAATAGCAAAAAGAGACTCAACTGTGGTGTCAATTGAAACCGGTGAAGAAAGAAGCCCTGAGAGTAACATTCTAATTAAGATGAGTATATCACTTAGTCCTGTGAGACCTGGACACTTACTAAACAAGCGGAACAGCGCATAAATGCATTTGAATATAAATGTTACAGACAGGTTCTAAGAATATCTTGGGTAAAGTAAAAAGAACAAATGCATCCTTTCCATACTTCAAGAGCTGAATATTGAAGATCGGGTTTGCTAGGAGAAAGACAATAAGCAAAACAAAGAAAATTGAAATATGCTTTTGGTCACTTGAAACGTCATGGAAGAATTCAAATTATGACCACATTCTAGAGAGAACAATAATGGAGGGGTATATATGCCTGGGAAGAGAGGAAAGAGGAAGGCCAAGGAGAAGATGGGTGCAGGATGTGGCAGATGATCTCCAGATGGGTGTATAGACGCAGGACATCTTGCTCATGATAGGAATAAGGTTTTCCGGAGGGTTGTTATGGCAGCGAGGTTCCGCGAGGGACATGCTACTGAATGAATGAATGAATGAATATCACTTAGTGACTATAGTAATAGTATATTAATTATTAATAATTAAATTATACGGTAAAATACTATTTTACAGTTCTGGGTTTGTTATTTTATTTTTTTGTTTGTATCTTGGGGTTTTCTCAGCCACATCTTGGGTTTTAACAAAAATCCCATTGGCAGCCCTGGTTCAGTGGGTCATTTGATTTTGAAGGTGTTCACGCTCAGCAGACACACAGTTGAGATGTTGACAACGTGTGGAAAATGTGCTTTTGGTTACCCATACTAAAGTTCTAAAACACACACTCATTTCACAAACTTACCTTCTGTTACTTCTAACGCCTTGATTTGATCTTCGCCACCTGATCTGGTCAACAGATCAGGAGATAAAATAGCATTTAAACTTTCATATAAAATTTCCTTCAACGAACGGTTCCTATCACCCTCAGCTCCCGCCATTTTAGTTGGAAAAAAAACCACCCACCTTTACGTCCTACGACACAAAACAATTCATTAATTTAATAAACAAGAAACAGATGTTTTTGAGAAAGAAAAAAAATGTAAAGACTCGCTGAAGGTAATAAAATAAACTCTTATATGAAGTAAATAAATATGCCAGGTTTTAATGGGAAATATTTATTAATTGTCTTTTTAACTCCGAATCAGCAGATTTATATTCTTGCCTTCTGGAACATTGAGTTTGAATTAGTTCTCACAAGAAGAGTATAGAGTTAGTCATGGATGATCAGTTTAAAGGTAAAAAAAACATGGAAAGAACTAAAGCTATATATTATTTATCTAAGGGTAGGAAGACCTGAAATCAAGTTATTTAAAAATATATTCCACTGTCTATGAAAAAAAAAAGGGGGGGGGGGGGCTGAAGAAGTAAGAGTTGAGTTGAGTCAAGAATTGACATCACAGCACTCGGAGCATTCCCATGCGTGCTCCGTCCTCATCTTCAGCGGCCAGCGCAGAGTTCCAGTACTGATGGTACCGGTCACAATCTGGTTATATGTTAGTCCACGTCCGGCTATATATTATATTTATATCTAGTGTTGGCCGTGGTTAGTCTTGTCTTTCCTCTGAGATTAGTGAGCCGACCAGACGTGCCTCATTCTTTCCAGGCCATATTATTTTGTTTCTCTACTAATTCCGTTGCTTGTTCCCAAAGTGCATTGACCACATCTGCCTTGTCATGTCTCAATTCACCGCCCAGTTGTGCAGATCCAGCCAATCTGTCTGCCTGCTCAAGAAGAGAAGTAAGACAGAAGAGTTGAAATCAAGGCAAGAACAGACATCAAAGAGCTCGAGTCATTCCCATTCGCGTCCCGTCCTTATCTTCAATAGCCAGCGAAGGGTTTCAATTCCAATGGTGCCATAAGCAGTTTGATTAAATGTTCATCTTGGCTTTCCTTTGAGTGTCGGCCAAATCTCCTCCTAGTCACTCCAAGCCACACCATTCTCTCAACACTGTTTTTTCACTTGCTTTCAAAGGGCCTTCACCACAATTAACCTGTCATGCATCAAGTCACTACCAAATGATGCAGCACCAGCAAGTCTCTCCGACTCTTTATTTTTCAAAACACCTCCATATTCCTGGAGAAAATAACCAGAAAAGACGCTAACTATCGTAAACCACTGAAGCGTAGCTTGCCACTGCACGGAATGCCTTTGTGCACTTTTATCACTATGCTCTGTGAGTCATACAATTAATCATTTGTGTGAAACTGATTCTCAGGCCAACGAAAAACTCACGCGACTGCCTCCACTCTCAGACTAGATGTTCTGGTGTTGCAGCATAGCTGTGTTGTACTAAGTGATGTATATTCGCGTTTGCAATAAATCCCTATGCACGCTTTCTGTCTTATAACAGAGATCCATCTGTGTATTTGATCACATAATCTGGGCCGGAAATTTCACGAATTAGTTGTTTGAATTCTGATTCTACAATACCAATTTACAACAGAGAATAAGAATAAGAAATCGTATGTTGATATTTACTCCAAAGGTCGGTGCTAATTATCAGTAGTTATTTATTGCAGCTGAAAAGTTTTGAGATGTAGGCTAATAACTACCTTAACCTTGATAGGCAGATAATATAACTATAATCACTTAGTCGGGCAACCCTCCCAAAAGGGCACTGCCCTCACAGAAAAAAATTACGACCTACTGTGTGGGTTTTTTTTGGGGGGGGGGGGGGGGCAGAGGGAGATAAGTAAAGACATCCTTCTGACATACATGATTTATGTGCCAGAAATACGTTAAAGAAGATGAGGTACAATGCTGTCGGGTTAAGTTAATTTAAGAAACGACATCACAGACCTCGGGGCATTCCCATAAGCACTCTGTCCTCATCTTCAGCAGCCATCGCAGATTTCCATCACCAGTGATACCTGTAGCAGTCTGATTATGTGTCCCTCTTGCTTTCCCTCTGAGCGTCGAGTATAGGCCAAATCCCCCTCGTCACTCCTCGCTGCATCATTATCACTAAACTGTGATACCCATTTACTCCTCCGAATCGTACGGGTGCTCCCATAAGGTTTTAACCACTTCTGCCTTATCATGCATCTATATTCCACCTAGGTGTGCAAAACCGGTCCATCTGTCCGACTATTCATATCACAACACACCGGCATTGCCCGGAGAGAAAACCCAGACAATGCTTTCGACCCGAAGGCTCTCAAGAGCTTGACTGCCAACATCATAAGATACGACTTTAAAAAGATGATTTATTTATTACTGAAATGACCCTACATTTTTGTCTGCAATTTAATTCTAACCCTAGTTGCTCTCTGTACATAAAGTAGTGTGAGCAATAAATAGCCATTGTCGTTTCCTGGTCCTGAGTCCTGACACTTTTGAAATTACCATTATCAGCTGTGTTTGGAACAATCTACGCCGCTATGCAAAAACAACAATTTATGCATTCGCCGACCTGCAGATTTTTACATCCTTCTCTCATCTCTAGAATGAAAACATTAGTGCTGTTCGTATATTTATTGCAGGCATTCATATCTGCACACTGTAAAGTAAATCAAGATGTGATCGATGCGAATATAGTGAATTCAAAAGTGGAGCGAAGGTTGGACATCGCCACCCATTTGGTGAAGACATGGACGGCAATTACAGTGGAAAACAGGGGGCCGTCAGCTGTCAGATCTTATCTGTTTGTTGTAGACCCGTCGTTGCAGGAGCACCTGTCTTTTATAAGTGCCGTTGTAAGTTGATAAGAGTGTCATGGAGTTCATCATAGTATATTTTATGGCTCTACTGGCAAATTTGGCCGGTAAGGTGGACTGCTTCGGCCGGCTTAGCGGGGCTTAGTGGGAGTTATGTCCCTTGGCCAAACTCAAAACAACTCAAAACAAGTCGCGGAAAAGTCACGAAACAAATGACATACTTACCCATCATCATCTGGGTGCGTGTAGGGTTGCGTAGGGTGTCTATCATCGTCCTACGGTTGCGTGTAGGGCTGCTTATTGCGTGTAGGGTTGGTTCTTTGCGTAAGATAGATGAGGGTATAGGGTTAGGGTTTAGGGTTAGGGTTTAGGGGTTAGGGCTTAGGGTTTTAGGGGTTAGGGTTAGGGTTTAGGTTTAGGGGTATGGTTCGATTTGAAAATTTTCACGTAGGAGGTCGAAATAGTGGCCGACAATCTGACGTTTGTGGGAGTGGCGCCACTGAAACTCTGTCAAATATGACGACGCCAATAGCGGGCGGCTGGTGCCCAGTCGCTAGCGAATTGATCGTTTCACCAACATCCACAGGCCCTCGATTGTTTGTGTGTGTATGTGACTGTGCGCGACGTCGACGACGTTGGTCTGGTGGACTACTACCTCGTGCAGATAGATGGCATGCCTTACGTTTGCGACGTTGCTGTAGCCTCGCCCTAAGCCTAACCCCTAACCCTATACCCTAACCCCTAACCCTAAACCCTAACCCTAACCCTAAACCCTAACCCTACACCCTATCCCAAACCCTAAACCCTAAACCCTAACCCATAACCCTAAACCCTAACCCTAACGCTAAACCCTAACCCTAAACCCTAAACCCTAACCCTACCCCTCATCTTACGCAAACAACCAACCTACACGCGATAAGCAGCCCTACACGCAACCGTAGGACGATGAAAGACACCCTACGCAGCCCTACACGCACCCGGATGATGATATGTAAGTATGTCATTTGATTCGTGACTTTGTCCGCTCGTTGTTTTGAGTGCGGCCACGGGGACATAACTCCCACTAAGTCCGGCCGAAGCAGTCGACGCATTCCAGCTTACCGGCCAAATTTGCCAGTAGAGCCTATTTTATATATATATAGTCGGCGTCTGTGGCTTAGCCGTAGGTACTTTAGTCAAATTTTTAAAATGCCCTCTACACCAATAAAACCAGCACAGTTAGATAGCTGTAAACAATCTCTTTCCAACGGTACCTCATTTAGGATTGTATGTCATTTCTGAGCTGAGATATGTAGGTTTTTGTGGAGATGAGATGTAAAAAACAGCTGCTAAAACTTGTCTCCCAGAAACAAGAAGTTTTCTCTGCGCAACCAAACTGCGCAACTTTTGTTTTGGCTTTGTTTGCATTGGACAAGATGGCAGACAATGAGACTGGATGAGCCAGTGATTGCCTGAAAAATGTCACTGTACATCTACCTAGCCACGTACCAGAAAGAAATTTTATACACAAATGTAAAATTGGACGGAGAATTCAATTATAACTAGCATTACCAGGTACAGTAACAGTTAAAGCCTAAAGCCAACCCTGAATACTTATCGCTATTTTCAATCAAACTGATGTAACAGAAAAACAGAGGACGTCTGGCTGTCGTAGACATGCGCTGTTAATCGGGTTCATTTCCGCCGTTTTCAGCTTTTTATAGTGGGTGAAAATCACACCAACCGCAAAATTTCATGAGAGATTAGGACCCATCCCGAAACCCCAGCCGACATTTGCGTAGCAAGTTTCGAACGGTTTCCATGGTTACGAAAATTGCCAAAAGACCGCCAATTGCCGAACACCGTAGTCGCTAGCTTAGGCATTACAAACGCGCTTTGTAAAGCTGGGGTACTGGCTCCCAGCTGCGGGCCTTGCGTTGGTTTCGACAGTGGTATCGAGAAGCCGACCGGCCAGAAAGCAGTGGCAAACTACTGGACGTAAACGTGCCTAGTGAAACCACAACAGCCAAAAATTGCTGGAGTTGGTTCTGCGATGTCCTGTAAAGTATACGCAGCTAACTTTATATATGTATATATATATATATAGGCTATCCTCTGAATAATGGTCCTAAATTATTGAGGCCGAAAATATACCCTAACAGGGTCTCAGTCACATGTAAATTGCAGACTTCCGGCGACTACCGACACCGCCTAGAGTATCTCCCGCGCCACACGTAGCGGGGCTAAACTAGATGGCTAGGACTCACGAGCAGCAGCTACCACATCTCCTGCAACTTCCTTCATTTTATTTGCTCATGAGTCCCAGCCATCTAATTTAGCCCCGCGCAGCGCGTAGCGGCACAGAAGGTACTCTTGGTGGTGGAGGTAGTTGCTGGAAGTCTGCTATTTACATGTGACTGAGGCCCTGTTAGGGTACATTTTCGGCCTCAATGATTTGGGACCATTATGCGGAGGATAGCCATTGATTGGCTTGCTGACAGGGCCATGGTTAGTTAGTTAGTCTTTCCTCTTGTGTCAAGTGCGGCACATAGGGCAGAGGTCATGACTCTCCATGCATGGCGGTTCGTTGCAATCTGTTGTAGGTCTTGGATGTTTGAGTGGCCCATGAGCGAGCCTTCCCTGATGATAGTTCTACGTAGGGTTTCCTTTGGTCTTCCACGAGATCTTTTCCCCTGTGGTGTCCAAATGAGGGCTTGGTAAGGAAGTCTTGATTTATCCATTCTAAGGGCGTGGCCGACATAGTTCCAGCCATGGTAGGTACAGGAAAAACAGCGGTCAAGACAGATACACTCTGTGCTCTGAAGGAGGCAGGGTGAGATGATTCAGGAGAAAACGGTGAGTTGGTAACTCTCAAAAGACTGCCAGAACTGCAGGTCAACAGAGGTATCTCCAAAAGTGGACTTTATACAGTTAGCCAAGTATAATAGTAAACCAACACAGAACTTGTGTTAACAGCTGCCATACGCTGGGTTATATACTGAAGAGGGGATCCGAGCACTTATGGGCTTGTCCAATGTTGAATGAGGACTAATAACCCCCCCCCCCCCCACACACACACACACACATGCGCACGAGTGCGCACGCACATGCACATGCGCACACACACACAGACCATAAAGGAGTGTTAACTCATCCCAAATCTGGATCAGTACACTGGTAAAATTTTCATTTGCTAAAATAACTACCCTCTTTAATTTAACAGGCACATTGGCGGCCCAGATTATTGTGCATTTCTTTATTTATTGCGACAGTCAGTAAAAGTAAACTTTTATCAGAGTTTTATCACTTTGAATATTTTGTCCTATTACTTTCCTCAAAAAGGTGATTTAGAAAATTATATTTTGCTATTATCTTTCTTGAAACCACATATCCATATGTGTCTGAGACAGTGTGTTTAAAATACTTCGTCCGAATTTTAATTTTTTTTAAAATCCTCAGTCACAAATTTAATTCTAATTAAATTTGCTCTTAAATTTTCGATGGCCAGATTTATTTAAACATCGACCTATAGCCCATTGAAGGCGAAAGTGGTTACTACATTTCCCAGCCGTGTTTGTGGTCAGGGTTTAATTACAGTGGCAAACAGAATCACATCCGCTGTTAGCTTTTATCTGTATGTTGTAGACCCTTTGCTGATCGATTGATTTGTTTGTTCCCTCCAGGCTGCTACTTAAGGGTTTGCCATACCACCCTGAGATTAAAGATCTCGATCCTAATGGCCGGCCAGCTAGGCAGATCTCAGATACCCCGTTCAACATCTAACAAAGTTATAATTGTAACAGCCACACCAGCCAGGTGTGTGACCTGCAGTCCTGCCTGGATACAGGTGAACTTTGCTGAGGGAGAACCTTTCTCTTTAAGTGCGGTGGTAAGTTGATAAGGCTGTAAGGCATGGCAGCCTACAATGGTTGTTTATTATTATGAATTATAACATTTTTAATGAACTTGTTCCACATGACTAATTTTTTTCTCAATTCAAGAACTCTTTCAATCCCAGACACTTGTTACTTCAACACTTTTTGTCTCTAAGTCTGTGCACTTTAGAACGATAATAAATTAGTTAAAGTAATGCAGGAACAGGAGAAGTTCACATAACCATTGGAATAGAAGCATTATTATTAAAGAAGGTGTAAATTTAATCAATAATAACTTATCTCCTCTTTTTTTTCAGGCAAAAGACCATAAAGACGAGAAACTTTTGGTGTCAGAGACCAAAGTTTCAGGACATAAGTAATGTTCTTATTGTTGTTGTTGATACTTAAAGTTGTAGAGATGTGTTCTCTGTGTAATCCAATTCCTTTCTTATGGTGTGCTACCAGAACTGTGTGTCATAGTGGTTACTACACATGCTTGCCAAAACAGTGGTCCATATTCAGTCCATAGAAGAGAAAATATAGAATATTCTATACAGTCTTTCTTTGTCAGTTGAGACAAGAAAGAGGATTCTCAAGAGCTTTCCTATCCTGATATATGGAAGTGAATCATGGACAGTAGGACAGTTTTAGTGAGAAAAAAAATGAGGGAAAGCAGCGGATACGTGGTTTTATAGACGTATAATGAGAGTACCGGGTACAGATAAAAAGAATGATGAAGTTGTCTTGAAAGAAATTGACTCACAAAGAGAATTGATTGCTTACATCACGAGGAGACAACCTACCTTCTTTGGTTATGTCATGTGACAGCGAAAACTGGAGTACATCATGATGATGAAAACATTGGAGGGGAAAATAGGCAGAAGGAAGTTGAGAGAGAAGAGGATGGTCAACAGTTTGACATTATGACATAGAAGATCATCTGTGTCAGAACTGATTTAAACAAGACAGAAGGTTGTGGATAGACATGACAACTAATGCTATGTGGTGATGACTGTAAAAAGAAAAAGAGCAAGATTTTTTCCTTACTGTTATGACTCTTGGTTTGACCCAGCCTCATAAAAATGATTACTGGACAGTTTTTGTAATTTCCTCTTGTCTGGGAAAGAAAGGCATTGAGGTAAGAAACCGACCATCCCTACTGTGTATGATGGGGCCTAGGATAGGTGATGGCCTCATGCTGTACATCCAGACAGCAGTAACTGGTATGGCTCTACATTTGATAAAGATACGAGTCGTGTGCAGCTGTTTCAAAGTTATTAGACGTAAATTTTTAGACATAAGAGTCGTTTTTTTCCCTTGATGCTTGCGAGAAGGTAATAGTTGTTTCCTAAGAATGAGAACAATGTGTGCACAGGAGTACATGTCAAGAGATCTTCGAATCAGTTTAGATGCCAAGCCAGTCCATCCCATGTTGGCTGGTGAGTTACAGTCAAAGGTAGTATTCTTTTGTTTTGCTTTGACCAGAAGATACTAAATCAGGAATGAAGCCATCAGAGCAAATGTTGGTACTTTTTAATGTATCTACATAGACTTACTTACTTACTTAGTCGCTCCTCTTCTACCTTGGGGTGTAGAGGTTTGCCAGAGAGATCACCAAACGTCTCTATCAGCAGTTTTCTTTCTGGCTTTGTTCCATTCCAGTCCTCTGTCAGTCAGGGACTGTCGAATGTTGTCTTCCCAGCGCACCCTGGGTCGTCCCGGAGGTCTGGTTTCCTGGTTCTTAGCCTCCCATGCTTGCCATGGTGGCCGATTTTCTCCCATTCTGCACACATGTCCAAACCATCGTAACTGTGACTGATCCACTCGGGTTAGTAAGGGCTGGGTATCAAGATCTTGACGTATTGTCTGATTGCGGACTTTGTCCCTTCTTGTCACTTGGACCACCTTTCTCAGGTATCTCATTTCCGAGGCCTGCAGCTGGCTTCTGTGAGCTGTTGTCATTGCCCATGACTCACACCCATAGGTCAGGACTGGTACATAGGTAGAGCGGTAAACAGCCATTTTCGTCCTCTTGCCAATTTCTCTTTTGCTAAGAAACCCTCGGTTTATGGCCTGGAAGAGTCTCCCAGCAGCTGCTTTTCGTGTAGCCAGCTCAGTCTTAATGCCTCCATTTTGGTCTAATACAACTCCAAGGTATTTGAACTGGTTAACCTGCTCCAACGCATACTGTCCCATCATGATCTGGTGTTTCTTCTCCTCTCTTGAGATCACCATGGTTTTAGTTTTGGAGACACTGATGGTCATCCCTTTCTTTTCAAGCTCTTCCTTCCAGACAAGTAAGTTGGACTGAAGGTGTGCCTCTGATTTAGCTATCAGGGCCACATCGTCTGCAAAAGCCAGCTCTGATATACAGATTGGTCTCATCTTCCAGTACCCTACAGAGTACTTCTTTGTCTTCTCCTTACAGGTCTTGATGATATCATCCATCATAAGAATGAAGAGGTAAGGTGAGAGAATATCACCTTGTCTAACACCGCTGGTGGTCTTAAATTCTTCTGACTTTTGGTCTGCTGTTCTTACATAATTTCTGCACTTTTTGTAGAAACTCTGTATTGCACTGATCAGGGGTGCTGGGATGTTTTTCCCTGCCAAGCAGTCTCAGAGCTTGTTCCAGGGTACCTTGTCAAATGCCTTTTCCAGATCCAAAAAACATAAGTGCATCTCACTCTTATATTCCAGGGCTTTTTCACTCATCTGTCTCAGTGTGAAGATAAGGTCTTGAGTACTTCGGTTTGCTCTGAAGCCGCATTGGGCCTCGTCCAGCTGTGGCTCTACCAGACTTCTAAGTCTCTGCTCAAGAATTCTAGAGTAACTTTTACCGGGAACGCTGAGGAGGGATATGCCTCTGTGGTTTTCACATTGTCTGTTATCACCTTTTTTAAATATAGGTATAATGATGGCAATCTCCCAATCTTTTGGTATAGTTTTGCTACACCAGGCTGCCTGGAGAACCTTCAGTAGAAGGCGCTCACCTTCGACTCCCATATATTTGACCATCTCTGGTGTTATACCATCATGACCTGCTGCTTTTCCCAGCTTAATCTTCTCAATAGCTGCCTTCAATTCTTCCATCCTGATGTTATCTTCCCCATGATTAAATTCCTTCTCAGCAGTGAGGTCCATTATTTCTGGGTCATGACTTCCCTCAACGCCGAGGAGCTCTGAGAAGTATTCTTTCCATCTGCCCATGATATCATTTGTAGAAGTAAGCAGAGCCCCTTCCTTGTCTTTTATGAATTTAAGTGGGCACTCTTTCTCCTTCCTCATGTTCTTAAGGGTCTTGTAGAACAGTTTTTGGTTTTCTCTTGCATTCTTTTCCAACTTTTCTCCAAACTCTTCCCATGATTTCTGTTTTGCTTTAAGCACAATATTTTTGGCGTCTGTTCTGAGTGCCACATATTGTTTATATTTTTCTATTTCTTCAGCTGTGTTCCTGGCTGCCAAATATTGCTTCCATGCCCTTTTCTTTTCTCCTATTTTCAATTTGACTTCTTCTGTCCACCAAGGTGTCCTGTGTCCCCGCCTTCCACTTGGGACTTCACCACATGCTTCTACTGCAGCTGCTGTGAGGATATTCTTGAATCTGCACCAGAGGGTTTCAGTGTCCTCTGATGATTCTTCTTCAGTTCCTATTGCTTTCACTATAAGCTCCTGGTATCTAGCCTTAATATCTGGCTCTCTTAGCTTGTATGCTTTAATCCTCATCCCTTCTTGGTTGCTTGGTTTCTTGCATGGTTGTCGGTGTTGCCTTGTTGGAGCAGTTCTTTCAGTTGTTCTCTTTATTGTGACCAGATAGTGGTCACTTCCAATCTCTGGTCCTCTCATGACTCTGGCATCTCTCACAAACTTGAATGAACTTTTCCTAACTATGGCGTAGTCAATGATGAATTTTTCATTCTTTGAAGGTTCACATCTTGTGTATGCATGTATACGCTTGTGGGGGAATTTTGTGTTTGTAATGACAAGGTTCTGTTCCCTGCAGAATCTGAGAAGTCGCTTGCCATTATCATTCAAAACATCTTCACCATATCTCCCGATCACTCCGCCCCATCTAGAGTGATCATTTCCTACTCTGGCATTTAGATCTCCTAGGAGGATAATTTCATCGTGACAGTCATCTATGGTCCTTTGGAGCAGTTCAAAGAATTCTTCTTTAACATCTACTCGCTCATCTTCATTTGGCCCGTACACAATGACAAAATTGACAATTTTATCTTCTTCTTTCAGATCTAACACCATTATTCGCTCTGAGATGAATTTCCATCCCTTGATATTACTAACTTGATTCCTGGCCACAATACAGCCAACACCTCCCTTGGCTCTCTCCGTCATAGGGACACCACTGTAGAGCAGCATACTTCCATCGTGATCTGTGATTCCTTGCCCCTTTTTCTTGGTTTCAGTCAGAGCCAAGACTCCTAATTTTGCTTTCCTCATCTCCCCTACTAACTCGTTTTCCTTTCCGTTAATGCCTCTTATATTCCATGTTCCATAAATCGTAGTCCGTAAGCCATGCCAGTTCGTCGCCGTTAAGATCCGTCCGGTTTTCTCTCTGTAGTTACTTGTAATCGTGGTTTAAGGCAAACAGGTGATTGGCCTGTTGTGCCTTTGCATGGTGGAGGGGCTGCCTCCTTGCGGCCTCCATGCAGGCCGTCTGGCTAATTCACGGTTACCCACTACTTCCGGAGACGCATGAAGCACTCAGGTTCAGCCAGACCCTCCTGCTTTTACAGCCGGGCTTGGGACCGGTCTTAGCGGAGTTTGGGACCGGTCTTAGCGGAGTTTATCTACATAGACAACAAATAAAATGATTTGCTTTCTTAGAAGGTAGCCCTTGTGATGCCCTATTATACAAGGCATACACAAAAAGAAGAGGATAGAGCAAGAGGTATACCAAGAACAATATGGAAAGATGACATCAGGGAAACTACAACAGCAAAATGTATCACTGGGCAAGACAGCTAAAATAACAAAAAGTAAAACCATATATCTCCCTCAACACCCAAAATGATTCAAGAAGAAATGAAAAAGAAGAAAATCTTTTTATCTGTTTTGAAGAGGACTGCCTCGTTTATTTTTCCAACATTCTACAATATTCTTTGCATTCTTCTCCAAAAGCCACATTTCTCCTGCCAGTAAGTATTTTTGTATGCTTGTCTGCCTTGCTTTGATTTTGAAAGTGATATTAAGAGCCAACCCTTCAGTGAACCATGGCAAACCTTAGGCTAGAAGAAAAGAAAAGAGATAGGACAAGAATTTAATGTATTACATTCCCCAGAGCCTAAGAAAGATATAGGATGACTCATACACTGATACCCTGACCTCACCAGAATTCTAACACTAAGGCTGCTTCAATTGTGACGTCATTATGGCTTTTAAAAAGCCATTATTTCCATAATAATCCATGTCTCCAGCACTATTTATAGTTAATATAATCATATCTGGACCTCCTAAACACTGCACAGGTGCAAACACAACCAGTGCTGTTAACTGGACTTTTCATGGACAGGCCACTGAAGAAATGCCAGGTAAATGGCACTTATGGAATTTTGTAATGTATGGTGTGCTGAGTTGGTGGCTTCATTACGTGAAAGGATTAACTGAGGAGCTGTATTGTGAAAAGAATAATCCTGCCTTTGCTGTGGATTGACAATGGGCCAGTATTGTGACAGACAAGGGCAGTAATCGCCGTGTCATGATAGTTGCATTAATTACGGTTTTTCCTTCAATTTTCAGTGACAAGTTGTTTTTCCGCATCACACTTCGATCTCCCTTAGAAAGTGGGAAAACAGTTACTCTGGAGGTGGAAGCTGTGTATTCGCATGTTCTGAAACCATACCCATCAGCAATTACACAGGTAACATGAGATTCTCATTGTTTGCCTGTGCCATTTTTATGTCGCATAAGGCTCCCATTCTTCTTCTCCCTTACGGCTCAGTGGTAAATTTAAAAAAAAAAAATGAGAGAGAGAGAGCAAATAATTAAAATTTCACATACCGATTGGGGGAGTCGCCCCGGCGTAGCGACTAGATGCTTGCGTGCGGATCGGAAGTCGTGGGTTTGCTTCCTGGCGGTGCCGGACTTTTAAATAAAATGACCTTGACTTCCAGGTCGACCCAGCCTTGAGTGGTACCGGGTGCAGTCCTGGGAAGTAGAGACAGCTGGCCTGATGCTGACCACATCACCCATCTTGTGCCAGTGGGTCTGTCAAAATATAGGTCTAGCCTTATATAGCCCTATACGCCTAAAGGAGTGGAAAAGAGACCTTTACATACCGATTGGGGCTCTAGTGTAGTTATATGAGAACATATCCTGAGTTTCTTGGGACCAAATAAGGTGAAGTGATATTTTTAGATTTTCTCAGTCTGTATAGTGTCCAGTACCAGCACCTAGTTTCAGGTATATTGGGCTAGACCTATATTTTATAGACCAATCGGTGCTTGGTGAGTCGATGTGGACAGCATCACATTTTCCGGCTGATTGGCGTTTTACCCCACCATGACATCACTCTGAGGGATAAACACCCGGTGACACAGAGTGCCACCATTAGTATGAGGATCACTCGGGGACAGAATTACAGTTCACCTTATTTTGTTTTGTCAAGTTACATCCCTTCATTTACTGCAATTTTTTTTTTCTACTCAAGTGGTCCTTAAATACTGCAGTGACCATCAGGCTTGCCTGTCTTCTTGGTGGTCAAAGTTTTAAACCCCCTGGATTTAAAAAAAAACTGACAGAGACCCACAAGTTAATTTGCTTCTTTTTTCCCTCTAGTTTCTTAAGGTAGAGTATTAGAGAATTATAATAAGGATGGGTTCCTTCACAACCTGCTTTGTGTAAAAGATTTGTGTGTGGAAAAAGAGTTAATGAAACTGAAATGACTGACAATTATTATTCAACAGGCAGAGAAGCAGTTTGTTGTGTTGGAGACAAACCTGTACTTCTACTCCCCTTACCCAACAACTAGCCAGATGACCACAGTTATCACTGCCAGTTCTAATGTGGAATCTTATACCAAGACAAAACCAGTCTCGCAGAGTGATACATCCATTAATTATGGACCTTTTGAGGACAAAGGCCCCTTCTCTGAGGTAATGATTAGTTATGAAGCGGTTCACTGAGAAGAGGAGATTTAAATGTATAATTAATGTATTAGGAGCATTCATTTGAAAACTGTTAATGCTGTACCATGTGTAATTGCATGCTTTGAAAATTATCATGTCATATTCATGTGATAAGTACTGACTAATGAATCAAAGAGCACAGGCTTCATTATCACATTTTACTTAGGTTCTGTTTCTGAACATTGAGAGAATGGCTGGGTTGATCTAAAATCTGCGCAGAGAAGCTCAAAGAGTGGTGTTTCAGTTTCTTTTGTTTGAAAGAAGTCGACCAGTTGACAGTCATCGAAGAATGCAGTCAGCGTGCAATAGCAAATGTGTATCGACGGCAACAGTGACAGACTGGGCACAAATGTTTGGGAAAGGACAAGAGTTCGCAACAGATCTTCCATGGCTAGGTCATGCGCGTTTTGCTGCAAGAGGGAAAGAAAAAAAAAACATCCTCAAAACTGATGCAGCAGTACAAATAAACCATTTTCCAAGCATATGCGTGCTAGTAATAGGATTTGATGTGTTAATTGGGATGTGTGAAATTTTCTGTAGGTTGTGCGTAAGAAAGTGCAGTGTCAGAGTGTATTTTCCCAGTGGGTTCCTTGAGTGATGACCAGCCACCAGAAGAAGAAATGCATGTGATGGTGTTTAAACTACATGCTATGATATAGAACAGAAGTTGAGGCGTTTCTCTTCCTCAAAATGGCAGTCCTGATTTGTCACTGTATCAAAATAAAGCTCACGTAGATGCAGATGTATTTAATGCGGTAACCACTTGGTTCAGTGAGCAGCCACAATCCCTTTTTTGTGGATGGTATTTGCTACCTACATAATGTGATGCTTTCCTGAATGCCTAGTGACCAGCCCACAGTGCATAATTTATTCAAAATGAATGCTTTGTTTTATTCTGCCACCCTTGTTTATGTTTCTTGTATACTTTTGTAATAAAGCCATTGGACGGGTTTCAGTGGTCATAAATGAAAAATAAGCCCTATGAAGGGTATCAGGATTTTGCTGTGAGGTTTGTGAAGTAAGTCATTCATACTGTGGAAGTTCCTACACGAAAAGAGGCTAGGGCAGCAGAAAATGTGGGTAAGCAGAGCCAATATGCCCTGGAAGGCCATCTGATTATGGGAGGAGGAATTCAGAAAATTAATTTGATCTTAATTTATTTAAGGCTCTTGATGATGTCATTCCATATTTGTGGGTCTCCTTCAATATTTCTTCAGCATGGCTTTCTGTGGCAGTTGGTCTTAGGGCATTCTTGTCATATAGTCAAACCATGTCATCCGGCTGGAGGACGTAGATAGAATTGATTTTTTTTTAAAGTTCTTGTGTATCTGCCTGAGAGGTGAGGAACCAACAGGCTGCCTACAAATAAGCCAGATCTGTAAAATGGATATGCACACAAAACTCAAGTCCTAGAGCATGATCAAAGTCCAGAAGTGGATGAACAACAAAGACTCTCTGTCAAGGTTCATGGTCAGTCAAAGTGAAGAAGATGAATCTGCTCTACCACAGTATAACACACACAAAAAGTAACCCATTATGAATGTGATTTCTGCAGAAGTTTATATTTTGTTCTGCTAATTCACAGGCTACTTTGAGGATACATGAAGAAAACAACAGTCCATTTATGACGGTGACCAACCTGGAGCGACTGATAGAAATCTCTCACTGGGGCAATATTGCAGTTGAGGAACACATCGATATCCGACACACTGGTGCTGTCCTCAAGGGACCATTTTCCAGATTTGACTATCAGAGGCAGCAGGATGGATATTCATCTGTCAAGCAGTTCAAAGTTAGTTCTGATTTCATAACATTGCAGGCTCACTGAAATCTTCTGTTTACTCCTTCTGTCCCCTCAGTAAATCAGTGACCATCTCCGCAGTGAAAGTTAGCAGCAAACAATTTTCACCAGCTTCTTTCCATTCTTGTTCACTGCAGTCTCTTCTTTTGAGTGTCCTTTTGACCTCCCTCTATTTCTTTGGCCGTGTGGGTTCCAGCCCAAAAGCATTTCAGCTATGTTGTTAGGATATTTACAACCTAGATTTATAGTGAAATAACAGACTAATCTTAAATCTTATAATGCATACTTGATATGACGCACTCTCACTTCAATTTTTGCATTAAAAAATTAGGGGGAAATACGTTAGTTAGTTAGTTAGTTAGTTGGGTTATCATCATTGCACTCCGGACATGTCCATAGGTGCTCAGATCCTCCCCTCAGTATGAACCCCAACGTCCTGATGGCTAATAGTACCAGTTCTATGTTGATTAACAAGTCTTCTAATGTGTCCGGTGTGCGTCTCGTTTTTCGCTGTGCCGATCTTAATTCCCAAGTCTGCCATTCTGGCGAGTGATGTGGATTCACTGCCACCAAAGTCCTCTATCCTTCCCATTTCTCTGAGGGCATTAATAATATCAGCATGATCCATAGGCCGACCGTCAGTAGTGATAGCGGATCCAGCCAACCTGTCAGCTCTTTCATTTCCATCGACGCCTGCGTGTCCCGGAACAAAAATAAAGGTGACTCCTCGCACAGTGGACTTCTGAATTGATTCAAGCCATTGTCTTCGCACTGAACCTGCCTGAACCCTCCGGATCATACTAGGGGGAAATACGTGTAGAGATGTAATTAAAATATCTGAAATCTTCTTCTGCCTTTAACTTACCAGTGGATAAAAAGGTTAACGGTGTATAGGCCTTTGATAAAGTCATCTGTGGAAAGAAAAATTAAAAACAGCAAAAATGTTTTCCTTTGTGACTGCCTGTCAGTTCTCCATGCGACTCAGAGGGATCAACGAGACAATATGGAAAGAGAACTGACCCGTCAGCTAAACTGACTTGTAGAAAACAATCAATTCGTTCTCCAGTGGATCCCGGCTCATTGCGGCATACCAGAAAATGAGTTAGCAGACAAACTTGCAAAAAAAAATGGAACAAAGGAGAAACAACACACCCATTCATTGTCATTACCAGAAATCAGAACACTTATCAAGGGAAAATACAAAGAATTGTGGAGAGAACAAACCAACAGTAAACTTCCACAAGACCCCATCAGCAGACTCAACAGAAAGAAACATACAATAATTTTCCGCCTACCAACAGGACACTGCAGGCTTAACTATCACATGCATAAAATAAAGATTGTGCAGTCCCCACAGTGTGCCTGTCAAACAGGACCACAAACACCTGAGCACATTCTGCAGACCTGCCCACTCTACCTACAGCTTCAAAAAGACACCTGGCCTCAAGAGCAAAGTTTGCAGAGCAAGCTATGGAGAACCATGAAGGACTTGCTGCTGACATGCAAGTTAACAGAGGCAACCCACCTAATGGTCTGATCTGAGCAAATAAAACCGAACGCAAAGAAGAAGAAGAAGATAAAGTCATCTCTCTTGTAGATTAGTTTATGAATGGTTTGGTTTTGCAGCAAAATTTTTAAAATTATTATTTTTCAACAGAATGATGTTCTTTGTCTGATAATTGTTCTTTGGACTAATTAATTTGTGCCTGTTTACAACAGAGCTGCAATATTTACACCTTTCATCCAATACATCCGACGTCATTGAGCATTTGTTAACCAGGGTACTCTGTCTCACAGTAGGCAATCTGACACCAACGCCACCTTATTGCCTCTTACCACCCATAGGGCAGGTTACATCATTGCTATTCCTTCCTTTTCCTATGGGTGATGGCGACACACAAACCATAGAGAATATATTTTAGGGCATTTTTTTAATGACCAGTTGTCATATTATTTATGGCAGTAAAAGATCTGCTGCCGTTACATTTCCAGAGAAGTTTATGGAACACAGGTTCTGAGGATGGGAGCTAGGTTAGTGCAGCACAGTCTTGGGTTCAAGGCTCAAAACTGTGTCAACTCTTTCAGTCCCAAGCATGGCTGGTGTGTGAATAGCTCTATCCTCTGATTTCCCTCCATAGCATAATGTCCTCTCTTGATTTAAAACTTCAGTCAGAACATACTAAAAAATCGGGCTACCTGAATGATAATTATCACAGTTTATAGTGCTGATTTGAAAGTAATACTTTCATGATTTTTCCCAATGGTTATTTCTCTACTTTGGCCTCTTGTGCAAAAACCACCTGGTACGGAAAGAGCAAAGGCAGATTCTTAAAATTGACAAAAGACTACCAGTTTGATTTTGCCTAAAATGGGTACCATGAAATGCCCTGATAAGTAAAGATGGACAGTGTGCTGTTGATCACATCATCTGTTGAATACTGATTGTCTATTTAAAAAAAAAATAATAGAGCTGGCAGGGTCTGGCCCTTTCAGCACTGATAGGAAAAGGAACATTTTTTTTGTTTTTCAAGATTTTGAGGATAGAGGCACTGGCTGGAATATTTGAACAACTATTGAATCCTAGATCCTTGGGCTTGGAAACCAATATACTAACCTTTATGCTTGTATGGCTTGAGTGAGAAAAGGTCACTGCAAAGGCAGGTGTGGTCAAGGCCCTTTGGGAACAAGCAACGGAAGCAGTTGAGAAACAAGATTATTATGGCCTGGAGAGAATGAATCACTACACTCAGAGGAAAGGCAAGACGGACATATAACCAAACTGTGATTGGTACCATCAGTATTGAAACTCTGTGCTGGCTGCTGAAGATGAGGATGGAGCACACATGGGAATTCCCAGAGTGCTATGATGTCAGTTCTTGACTCAAGGTCACTGCAAGCAGCTCATCATCATCTTCTACATTTGCCCTTAAAAAGACAGTTGGTACTTTGTTTTGTTGTTTACAGCTGATCTGTGATATCTAAACCTTTCAGCCTAACATATCCGTGTTCAGCAAATCCTTAATTCTTCATTTGCCCTACTGCTTCTGCCTTATAGCATCGCAAAGAGGAGTTAAAATAATTTTCTGTCTTTTGCTAATTGTGAAGTTTGTGGTAATCTCATTTTGCATTTATGTGGTCTCTTTTGGTTTTACTCCCTTCACTTTTTTTTTAGTCGGCCTCTTGACTTTCTCTTGGCCGGTTGTTTTCCTGTAGTACGCTCTAGCTGCTGGATGATTTCCAGGTGACCAGACCATTTGATTCTTTGAAATTCTTCATTTCTGACCAGGTGACCAGACCATTTGATTCTTTGAAATTCTTCATTTCTGACCAGGTGACCAAACCATTTGATTCTTTGACATTCTTCATTTCTGACCAGGTGACCACACCAGTTGATTCTTTGACATTCTTCATTTCTGACCAGGTGACCACACCATTTGATTCTTTGACATTCTTCATTTCTGACCAGGTGACCAGACTATTTGATTCTTTGATATTCTTCATTTCTGACCAGGTGACCAGACTATTTGATTCTTTGATATTCTTCATTTCTGACCAGGTGACCAGACTATTTGATTCTTTGACATTCTTCATTTCTGACCAGGTGACCACACCAGTTGATTCTTTGACATTCTTCATTTCTGACCAGGTGACCAGACTATTTGATTCTTTGATATTCTTCATTTCTGACCAGGTGACCAGACTATTTGATTCTTTGACATTCTTCATTTCTGACCAGGTGACCACACCAGTTGATTCTTTGACATTCTTCATTTCTGACCAGGTGACCAGACTATTTGATTCTTTGATATTCTTCATTTCTGACCAGGTGACCAGACTATTTGATTCTTTGACATTCTTCATTTCTGACCAGGTGACCAAACCATTTGATTCTTTGATATTCTTAATTAGTAATCTTTTATGACATGCTTGAAAATGGTAATTGGGTCTGATCTTTTTTCTCTTCATATTAGAGGCATCAAAACTCACGCAATGACAGGCATAACAGTATATCCTTCATATAGTAACGTCCATGTTATCATATGTGGCGAACTTGGCTTAGGCGTTGCGAGTCTGACTCATAATTCCAACGTAACGTTATCAAAACCCACTGCTGGCTGCGTAGATTTTTATCATGGTACGGGGCGTCGCAGGTCGACCCAGCCTAAAATGGGTACCAGGATGGCTATCCTGGGGAAGTAAAGACGGCTGGCATAATGCTGACCACCTAGTGCCGATGGTCAGTAAAAATATGGGCACTCTTCCCATATACCTGATACGCCTAAGGCGTGAAAATGGATCTTTACTTTAGTATGTTTTCATATACATATTGACTTAACCAGCAGTGTCAGTTTGTAAAATAAGATTGATGTTCACTCAGTTTGTAAAATAAGATTGATGTTCACTCAGTTTGTAAAATAAAATTGATGTTCACTCAGTTTGTAAAATAAGATTGTTGTTCACTTTGTAGACATCCCTGCCAGCATCAGCTCGTGATGTTTACTACCGGGATGAAATTGGCAACATCTCGACCTCGAACCTGAGAGAGATGGATGAATCGGTAGATGTCGAATTGAGACCAAGGTTTCCTCTTTTCGGAGGGTGGAAGACAGACTACATCTTGGGCTACAATGTTCCTAGTTACGAGTACCTGTACAATAAAGGTAACTGATGATGTGATGTTCATTTCTTCTCCTTCCTCATGTTTACCAGCTGTAATCTCGGGTGGATAGTTCAGGCTGTTCATCATCCACCTCTGGACTTTGGACTTGTTCAAGAACCGGAGTGTTGCGTGCACATCTGTTTTACAGATCTGACTTATCTGTATGTAGACTGTTGGTTCCTGGCCTCTTAGGCAGATGCACTCTGACTTCAAAGGAAACCCCCAGTTAGTCAACTCTTATGGTATGCTTGTTGGGGAGGCAGTTGTTCTGTTCTTGTTTTCCCCACAGTTGAGCCTGGAACCCACATAGGGTTGATGTTAATTTAAGAAATACTTAATACACCACAGACTGTGACCAGAAAGCTATTCATAATGTTTATTGACATCTTTCACACAAACTAGACTACTGACAAGGATCTGTAAGATTATATATAATCAGTGATGAAAGGACCCGTAAGATAAAGATAATCAGTGATGATATGTTTAGGTATTTGTGCGTAAATCAAACCAACTATAGGCTACTTATGAGTTCTTCTTCTTCGTGTTCACCAGCTGTAAACTGTGGTGGAAAGTTCTGGTTGTTCATCCACTTCTGGACTTTGGTCTTGTTCCAGAACTTGAGTTTTATGTGTAGATCTATTTTACAGATCTAGCTTATTCAGACTGTTGGTTTCTCACCTCTCAGGCAGGTGCACGCTGACTTCAAAGGAAACACATCTATTTAGTCGCTTTTTATGAATTGCATTTGGGGGAAGGGGGGATATTATGTTCTCCCCTCCTCTTCCCCCACATAGGGCCATGCATCCCACAAGGGGTGCTGTGAGTACGTATATAATAAAGGTAACTGATGATTTAATTTTAATTTAGAATTGTTTTTCTACATCTGTCAGCCTGTGGGCTAGTTACAAGTACTTGCTTAATAAAGATATCTGATGATGTAATGTTTAGGGATTGAGAATTGTTTTTATGTCTGTCAGACAAACTATAGGTAAGTTATAAATATTTGTTTAACTCTTCGAGTCCCAAGGAACGCATCATACGTTCCTACCTAGAAGCCCAATGAACGCATGATGCGCTGATTTTATTACTTTCTTTACTACCCCCTGGGCCTGTGATGCTAAACCCCCTGGGACTCATAGAGTTAGTAAAGGTTACTGAAGATGAAATGTTTAGAGATTTGAGAATTGTAATTAAAAAATTTTTTTTTTACATGAAACAGACTATAGGTAAGTTACGAGTGCTTGTTTAATAAAGGTTATTGAAGATGTAATGTTTAGAGATTTGAGAGGTAACGTTAAGGGAAAGAAAAGAGCTGACTATAGCAAAAAATTGGAAATCGTACAGAACAGCTGGATATAGGATGTACTTATGAGGAAAATCAAACTCACATCAAGGCAGCCATTAGAACTCATTGCAACACTTCCCATCCAGGATACAATCTTGAAGACCTCTTCTTCAAACTTCTCATTTGGAAGAAAGAGATCATTATATTTAAGATTGTGTACTGGACACAACAGACTCTGCACACTTTTGCATAATAAATTAACACTGGTGACTCAGAAGTTTGCCTCTGTGTACAGGCACCACATAATACTGAACATATGCTATAGACATACAGCAGAGACATCCCAGGTATGGCTGGCTGGCAATCCTCTTCTTCTTCTTCTTCTGTGTTTACCAACTGTAAGCTCCCGCAGAAAGTCCTTGTTCATCCATTTGGACTTTGGCTTTGCGCCAGGGCCTGAGTTTTGTGTGTACATCCATTTTACTAGCTTATTTGTGCGCAGTTGGTTGTTCCTTGCTGCTTAGGCCGAGGCACTCCCCAATTTGTCGGCTTGTACAACATACTTGTTGGGGATGCAGTCTGTCTGTTTTTGTTTTCCCAACAGTAGGACCTCGGAACCCACACGGGGAGGTTGGCATTCCAGTTAGGAACATTTGTTGATCCGCAGAATTAATTAAGTCCTGTGACCTTCATAACAAACAGAAGAAGAAAAAGCTAACAGATGAATGTTTTTGACAATTTGTTTTCTACAGGTGATCACTATGCACTGAAGATGCGTTTCATTGATCATATTTATGATGATATGGTTGTAGACAAGATGCGACTAAAGATTATTTTACCTGAAGGGTCCAAGTAAGTAGTGTTTTATTGGGGTACACTGTAGTTAATGTATATTTATAACTTTACCCAGAGTTAGATTTCATTTTTTGAAAAAATGAAAGCACTCTGTTTTTTGTCCAGAGAAAATGTGTCCAACGATTATTTTACCTGAAGGGTCCAAGTAAATAGCATTGGAATTACGAGTCAGACTCGCAATGCCTAAGTCACGAACGTAATGTAATATTCGTAACTATACCCTACACAGTCCTTAAGAAAGAGAGTAGGGGCTTTTGAGCTGAAATGCTATAGAAAGATTCTCAGAATATTTTCCACAAAGAAGATGAGAAATATTGACATCTTAAAAGATCTGAACATCAAGGAAGATTGGCTAAAAAACAGCATCCTTTCTAGAAAACTGAAATATTTTGGTCATATCAAGCGCCACGATGGACTGGAAAAAATTATAACAGAAGACATGGTACCAGGAAGGAGGGGCAGGGGCCGAAGATGGGCACAGGATATAAGTGACTCCTTGAGTGTGAAAGTTCATGAGGCGGGAGAACTGGCGAGAGACCGAGTTTCTTTCAGGTAGACCGTGATGAGAGCGACGTTCTGCAAAGGACCTGCTACATGATAATGACCCTGAGTTAGATTTTATTAAAATAAAAAAAAAAGAACAATCTGTTTTTGTCCAGAGAAAATGTGACCAACCAGGAATATTGTCACAGTTATCATCTTCATGTAGCAGCACAGTCAGTCCCAGCACAGTCTGCTGGAAAGCTTTTCGTCCCCCTGCTAGCACTCCTGCCTTCTGTATTGTCATGGCTAAAATGTTGTTTAGTATCCCATTTCAGCATAGGTTCAGATCAACCCCACCTATTTTTCCCCTTAATCATTACTCTTCTTTCTCACTGTGATGTTTCTTCTTCTTGTTCGGTTCGGTATGCTCAAGTCAGACTGTCAGGTGGGCTGCCTTTGTGCACTTGCATGTCTGTTGCAGTTCCTCTGTGATTCCCTACAGCTTGCTCTGTGCACTTTGCTCTTAAGGCCAGGTTTCTCCTCTTAAATGTTAAGTATAGAGGGCAGACCTGCAGAATGTACTCAGGTGTTTGTGATCACATTTGATATGCACACTGTGGGGACTGTACAGCCTTTATTTTATGGATGTGATAGTTAGGCCTGCTGTGTCCTTCTCTTAGATAGAAAATTGTTTTATGTGGTTATCTTTTGAGTCTGTTGTTGGGGTCTTCTGGGTGTTTACAATAGGTTTGTTCTCTTCAAAATTCCTTGTATTTCCCCTGGGTAAGTGATTTGATTTCTGGTAATGATGATGTTAGGGTGTGTTGTTTCCCCTTTGTTTGTTCCATTCTGTGCAAGTCTGTCCACCATTTTTTTTTTTTATGCCTCACTGGGCTTAGCTGGCAGTCACTTCTCTCTCCATATTGTCTCATGGATTCCTCGAGTTCCCTGGAGGACTGACGTGCACAAAGTTAGTTATATATCCTTTACAAGACCAAACCCAGTAATATTTGGCTGTTTGGTTGTAAGTGTCGGCTCTGTGGCTAAGTCGATGCAAATGCTTCGTAATGCCGGGATGCTGGGTTCGATCCCAACTGCGGGCCATGCGCCTTGCGTTGGTTTTGACAGTGGTATCAAGAAAGCCGACCGTCCAGATAGCAATGGCAAACTACTGGACGTAAATTTGTCTAGAAAAACTGCACAACAGCCAGGGGCTGATGGGGTTGGTTCTGCTACGTCCTGTAAAGGATACGCAACTAACCTTGGTTGTAAGTAAAGTAAAAAGTAAAGGATTCTTTTCCACGCCTTTAGGCGTATAGGGCATATAGGGCTAGACCTATATTTTTTTTATAGACCAATTGCACAAGATGGGTGTTGTGGTCAGCATCACACCGGCCGCCTCTACTTCCCGGGGCTGTACCCGGTACCCACTCAAGGCTGGGTGAACATGGGAGCCAAGGTCATTTTTTTTTAAAAAGTCCGGCTCCGCCAGAGAGCAAACCCACGACATCTAATCCGCGGCGAGCGCCATGGCGACTCCGTGTTTGGTTGTACTAGACAATTTAATGTTTAGGAGTTTGCCATTGCTTTCTTAAGCATCAACCCTCGATACCATTGTCAGAATCAACACAGAGCTGTCTGCTGCGTAATCGCCTACAGCTGTAATAGAGCTGGGTATCTCAGCATTTTGAAGTGCATTTAAAACACCTGAGCCACAAATGCCAACAACAAGCATGTCATAAAAACCTCTAATAAAGGCTTTGCTGAAATCACATGTATCAGAGGCAAAAGGTACAGATTATTTTAGCCTAGCTGCAAATCACAACATTGCATGTTAATTGCTGCTTTTAAAGGTGGACACAGAAGGCTTAAGATTACATTTAATCATGAGAAGAGGAAAACTGGGGTGTGTCATTACGACAGGAAAGTTCAAAAGAAATTGGAGGCAAGCGAAGAATAAGAGGGAGGGTGTTGTATATTGTGGCACAACAGCTGACTGGATTCAGCCATTTCTTTTGTTTGCTGTATATTATATACATCTTTTGTTTTTCGTCTGTTTTCGACGGTGGTGAGGCGTGATCAGCTTATCAAATAATCACTAAAAGTTAATGATTACATTGGGGTGGGTATTACATGATATTTCATCACCGCTACGGTGTTGAGAGTATGCATGCTTAGCCAGCATCGTACCATTAGTAACTGGTAGTTTCCATATGTTACAGTTTCTTTATGTGTGGCGTACGCATGCAGCGAGCATTCTTTTTACTATGTTAATACTCTTAACAGGCGTTACACGCTCAGCGAGACATGAATATAGTTTTGTATTTGTAATAAACAGTGAATTGTAATAATAAATAGTAAAATAATTGCATTTTTCTTTTCTATTGGAAAGTATGAGCAGTGATACAGCCATTTCATGCACGCCTCCCCACTGGTTTTCAGTTTTTCATATACTCATCAGTATCAGATTAATTTTAGGTCCTATAGTGACATTGTGTTTGCTTTGTGTTTGTTTTCTGTTATCTAATATGTTTCCTTTATTCTTCTTCTTCTTCGCGTTCACCAGCTGTAAACTCTGGCGGAAGGTTCTGGTTGCTCGTCCACTACTGAACTGCATTCCTGCTCCAGAAGCTGAGTATTGCGTGTGCATCAGTTTTACAGATCTCATTCTCTTGAATATATACTGTTGGTTCCTTGCCTCTCCGGCAGATGCACTCCGACTTCAAAGGAAGCTCACCAATTAGTCGACTCTTACGACATGCTTTTGGGGAGGCAGTGGGTCTATTCTTGTTTTCCCCACAATGGGGCCCCAGAACCCACACAGGGGCTTTATTATTTTTTGTATTGTTATCTATCTATCAGTACAAGTTGTATCTGCTTATTTGCCACATAAGAACACCAACGTATTAAATTCTCAGTAGTTGGCTTTCTTTAACATTGACAGAGATATTGAACTGAAAGTACCATTTGAGGTTCAGCGGAAGCCCGATGAAGTCCACTACACTTACCTGGACACCCTTGGCAGACCTGTTGTTGTTCTTCACAAAGAAAACCTGGTGGAGCAACATATCCAAGATTTTGAGGTGCTTTCTTGTCTTCAAATAGAAATTAAGCTACAGTTTGAAAGGGAAAGTGATCGAGTATTGTATTAATTCTGTCCTTTTTTTAATAGTACCGGAACATAGACAGTGAAATGAATTGTACTCTTTTTTTGTCTCATTTTGCTTGGTACCAGAACATAGACTGTGAAATAAACAGTTTTCTTTTTCTTTTCTTTCTTCTGGGAAGTAGGAATGTACAGAATGAACTTGGGAATGGCAGGGTTTAGATTAAAGTGTGGTGTTAGGAAGTAGGGATGTACAGAATGAACTTGGGAATGGCAGGGTTTAGATTAAAGTGTGGTGTTAGGAAGTAGGGATGTACAGAATGAACTTGAGAATGGCGGGGTTTAGATTAAAGTGTGGTGTTAGGAAGTAGGGATGTACAGAATGAACTTGCGAATGGCCCGGTTTAGATTAAAGTGTGGTGTTAGGAAGTAGGGATGTACAGAATGAACTTGGGAATGGCAGGATTTAGATTAAAGTGTGGTGTTAGGAAGTAGGGATGTACAGAATGAACTTGAGAATTGCCCGGTTTAGATTAAAGTGTGGTGTTAGGAAGTAGGGATGTACAGAATGAACTTGGGAATGGCAGGGTTTAGATTAAAGTGTGGTGTTAGGAAGTAGGGATGTACAGAATGAACTTGAGAATGGCGGGGTTTAGATTAAAGTATGGTGTTAGGAAGTAGGGATGTACAGAATGAACTTGCGAATGGCCCGGTTTAGATTAAAGTGTGGTGTTAGGAAGTAGGGATGTACAGAATGAACTTGAGAATGGCGGGGTTTAGATTAAAGTGTGGTGTTAGGAAGTAGGGATGTACAGAATGAACTTGAGAATGGCCCGGTTTAGATTAAAGTGTGGTGTTAGGAAGTAGGGATGTACAGAATGAACTTGCGAATGGCCCGGTTTAGATTAAAGTGTGGTGTTAGGAAGTAGGGATGTACAGAATGAACTTGGGAATGGCAGGATTTAGATTAAAGTGTGGTGTTAGGAAGTAGGGATGTACAGAATGAACTTGAGAATGGCGGGGTTTAGATTAAAGTGTGGTGTTAGGAAGTAGGGATGTACAGAATGAACTTGCGATTGGCCCGGTTTAGATTAAAGTGTGGTGTTAGGAAGTAGGGATGTACAGAATGAACTTGGGAATGGCAGGATTTAGATTAAAGTGTGGTGTTAGGAAGTAGGGATGTACAGAATGAACTTGGGAATGGCCAGGTTTAGATTAAAGTGTGGTGTTAGGAAGTAGGGATTTCTTTTGGGTGGATGAACTTGAGAGTGGCTGATTTTTGGATTTTAGTATTATTCTAGAACATGGGATGTATGAGTGGATGAACTGGGGAATTGTTGGGTTTAGATTTAAAAGTGGTTTTAGAAATAAAGAATGTATGAGAGTGTAAACTTAAGAATCACTGAGTTTGGATTCAGGTGTGGTAATTAAAAAAAAGTAAAGATCCCTTTTCACGCATTTCGGCGCATCGGGCATATGGGCAGAGCGTCCCATATTTTTACAGACCATCAGCACTCTGTGGGTAATGTGGTCAGCATTACGCCGGCTGTCTTTACTTTCCCAGGACAGCCCATCCTGGTACCCATTTTAGGCTGGGTCGGCCTGCGACGTCCCATACCACGATAAAAATCCACGCATCCTGCCGTGGGTTTCGGTCGCGGTATGCTGGCTTACGAGTTGGACTCGCAACGCCTTAGCCACGGGCGCCGCCGTGTGGTAATTAATATGAACTAAAAATTACTTTAATTTTGATTAAGTACTGCTTCTAAATTGTTTATAACTAGCAAATAATTAGAATTAGAAGCATTAACTGAAGATGATTGAGTATCTGTTTTGTCCCAGGGGTACTGGTATGTTGATTCTTCATTAACCATTAATCAACCTCTGTATTAACAGTTGCACTACACGTTCCAAAGATGGCGACTGCTGCAAGAGCCCCTGATGATTGTTGGTACATTCTATCTGCTCTTCCTGGTGGTTATCATTTATGTCAGGCTTGACTTCTCCATTACAAAGGTGACATTTTATTGATTTAAATATGTGTATTCTGTAATGTCTCTTTTACTCCTTCCACCCAGCTTTGTCTTAGCCTGCCTCTTGACTTGTAGCCTGCTGTTCTGCTGTAGCTATTTGTCTGTGAAGATGTGCTTGTAAAATGGTTTGTAAAGTTACCACAAGTGTAGTGCAAATATTCTCAAATTTATTTGAGAAAGTAGCTAAGACTGTGACTACTCCCACGATTCCTGCAAACTGGCATATGAGAACAGTGGACAACCAATACCGGAAAGGCTCTTAGCCAAAAAAAGACTAGATCACCACTAAAAATCACGCCTATCAATGAAGTCTCCTTTCATTTTTTTAAAATTTCCCACTTTAGGGCATGCAGATTTTGAGGATCTTGGTTGCTTTTTCAAATTTTTAGGATTTTAAACAGCTTCGAAGGCTTAAGTTGTCGTTCTGGGGTTTCTCAGTTTTTTAAAGTCTGCCATGAGCCCTGCATTTAAAGACATTCTGAGCATTATATGAAGGGATTTAATCTGATTTACACAATCATCATAATTGCAGGATCGTTAAAAAAACCCTCACCAAGACCTGTCTACAGACTGTGTTTCTGGTGTGGTTAACATTTCAAGTACTTTGGCCCACTCCACAGATAAGAGTAACGTAAAGGTCCCTTTTCCAAGCCTTTAGGGGTATAGGGCATATAGGGCTAGACCTATATTTATATAGATTAATCAGCACAAGATGGGTGATGTGATCAGCATCACGCCGACCGCCTTTACTTCCCAGGACGGCACCCAGTACCCACTTAAGGCTGGGTTGACCTGGGAGTCGAGGTCATTTTTGAAAAAAGTCTTGCTCCGCCAGGGAGCAAACCCACGACCTTCTGATCCGCACGCGAGCATCTAGACGTTACGCTAGGCTACTCCCCACTCTGCAGATCTTTCTTCTTTTGTCAAAATCTGCTTGTGCCGCTAGGCGTCGCAGTCTATCAGATGATCGGCAACCGAGCCAGGGCGCGCTCAGTCGCTTCATATGCCGTGATGTTATGAAGTCTCAAGTTGTCCGTGACTCCTTCAATCCATCTTCTTCTTGGTCTTCCCCTGCCTCTTGTTGTTTCGATTTTCATGTTGTATGCTCTTGATGCTGGCATCGTTGGTTCCATTCTCATTAGGTACTCTGCAGATACAGAGCTTAATTACTGGTTGTGGTTTATGATTCCTGTTCTTGGAGATAGGAGTTAGCTTTGCGACACAGTCATCGTTGATATGGTACCTAACGGGACGAAAAGTCCTAACATTGACCTCAGCAAGATAGATTCAAGCAGTTTTCAGAGTTAAAACTCCTTGATGAAATGATGAAGCCATTTGCTACAAGTTCTGAAGGCTGTGGATTTGGTTTTCAACTGTTCTTGTTTCTCCAGAGCAGATGGTAAAACATTCCAGGGGGTTGTTGCTGCAACTACATAGTTTTATGCCTTGTGCACATCTTTTGACAGGTGGCCAATGACTCTGCGATGAAAGACTGAGCCATATAGGATAAAACCTAGTGCAGTGAAACTGATTCTCTTGTCTTTAGGCACTTCAAACTAATTAATCACATATTCTTCTTTTTCTTCTTCTTCGATCCTTCTGTCAGAAAACTTATATCAGGAGGCCGGTAGCCTTTATGAAAGCTATCGTGCAGTCCATATCTTCGCGTGTACCATACAGTTTTGTCTTCATTGTGGTTGGCTGGAACAGGCCAGATTGCGTCTCTGTTGTCAGCATACAGTTGACAGTGTTGGAGCACATGCACAGCATTTTCAGGTGCCACGCTGCAGAGACACGTCTCCGTGTTTCCTAAACCGAAAAATGTGAACATATTTTGACCAAGTCTGTTGTACTGTTGCAGGACGAGGCAAAAGAAAGTCGTATGAGAGTCTCAACCTTGGTTGATGAAGTGCAGAGTGCCCACGACCGCCGCAGTGCCCTGTATCAGAGCTATGATGATGCAGTCAACAAGTACAAATCTAGCAAGGACATGACTGCCTTTATCACCAGCCGCAAAAAGATTGATGCTGACCACAAGCTGTTGACTCAGCAGATTCACAACCTGCAGGCCCAACTCAAAACTGAAAGCTCAGAGGCTGCTGAGAAGGTATCATCATTTGCTTCATGAAATTCTTCTTTCTCCTTTTTCTGCATTCATCCTTTTTATCTTAGATGCAAGAAACTGACTGGCTATAGAGACATGTTTGAGACATCTAGTTAAACAGAAATTTACTGTGTTGTTAGCTCAGAGGTTCAGCGTGACTGCATATGACTAAATGTACTAAAAAATATTATTTAGGGTTTAAAATTGTTTTTGTTATTAAATAGCTTGATTTATAGAAATTTGTACATCTTACTTATTTTGACCTTTGGCTATGGTACTTGCCGAGTGACTGAGTTACAAGGTCAGGTGTCACGCTATAATTTGTTAACAGGCCCCCAAGAGATGTAAGCCAATAGATTCTATGCAGCATTCATTTTTATTAATTTACTACCCTGACTGTGTATAGAATTTGTTAGTGTTTTGGATGATACCTTGTTTTATGCGATTTTTTTTCTGTGACAAATGTAAAATGATTGTTTTTCTGCTGCTATTTTCGGGAATATCCAGCCTTGGTTTTTTTCTAGGTCACTGGGGCAATAGGGTTAAATGTGCAGTTGGCAAGTTGTTTTGTGATTTTCAGGTTGGCTGCGGTAGCTGCATTTGACCAAGCACATCTAATTTCATCAAGCCCTTTATTTGTCACCTTTTTTTTTTCAACAAGCTTCTAAGGGCAGGTAGCTCTGTTTCTGGTCCTCAGCCGAAAGGGGACCCCAAAACTGACATGAGGTTTCATGTAATGAGGTTGCCATTTTCTGAATCCTAGGTAAAAGGTTAAAGCTTTTTTTATTATTATTATATTACTTGGGCATATGGTGCTAGACCAGTATTTTTCTAGACCACTTGACACTGGGTGATGTCAACATCATAGTTTTCCCCAATATGGCCAGTAGCCTAAAGACCACTGATGCTGTGACAAATTCTTTGTTTCCAGCTGGGTTGTGCTGATGCATTTCCCCGTTTCTGGACTAGGAGTCCAGAGGTTCTAGCGTTACTAATTTAAATGCTTGGCGCGACACTGTGAGCTGTTGATTTCATGTGGAGTGGGTTTTTTTTTCTGTTGTGCCTGCTGTGTGTCGTTGACTACACTAAAAGGATGGTTGACTGATTACGTTCAAAATGGTGAATACTTTTGCAGATGCAGTGCCAGCTTAGTGACTGACTGTATCGCAGTGAGCTGCAGTTCTGGAGTGAGGCCATTTGTGTTTGCATATATGACAGCTGCCTTACGCGTTTTGTATTCATGCTGTTGCTAGGACTGACAAGTTTTTCCACTAGTTTTCAGATATACGAAGGATATTTTGTGTGATCTCCATTGGCACAGGAACGGAGCTCTTATAAGACATACCCATCCGCATGGATGTTTTAACCTCGACTAATGCCTAACGTTATACTGGCTGCCTTTACATCCTATTACATTTTCCTGGTACTTATTTTTGGCTGAATTGATCTGGGAGCCAATTTTAATTATTTAAAAAAAAATTTTGTTATTAATTTGAACCCAAGACTTTTAGGTCAATGGATGAGCTTCCCATGTAGCTTCTGGGGCAGAAAGAATAGACCCACTGTGCCCTAACAATCATGTCATACAAGATGACTAATTGGGGATGTTTTTTTAAAGAGAGTGCATCTGCCTAAGAGGTGAGAAACCAACAGTCTGCATGCAGATAAGCCAGATCTTGAAAACGTATGATAGTAATTTTAAAACAAATGGTGTATCAGGTATATGATGCTTAATGCCTTTACATTTCAGGACTTTTCCTAGTACTCATTGCAGGCTGGGTCGACCTAGGATCTAAGAATACTTAGAGCCAGAAAAGGTCTGACAGCACTCAAGGTGCTAGCAGCAGCTGATTTGAACAACGCATACTTTTCCTTCTCTATCAAGGGCTTGTGCTTAGCGTCATTGACTATGGTCTTGGCCTCCTCACTGTCAGCAAAACCCAGCTAGAAAGACTGGACCGAGTACAAAATGAGGCCATGAGACTCATACTCGGCTGCACAAAAGACACCTCCTGCAACGCCATGCGTTATGTCCTGGGTTTGCCGACGATGACTAGTAGATACAAAGTGGCACAAGTCAAGGCTTACATGAGGGTATCGGCAGACGCTAACCACCCATTGCACAAAGCTATATACGATACAAAAGGAACGCGTCTCAAAAGAGGCCGCTCTTGGATGGCAAAGGCTGAGAATTTGATCCAGCAGGTATGTGACCTACGCGTTATCAGGCACGGAAAAGAATGGATGAATACACCAGTAGACATGCATGGCATCTCTAAGGTTGTCATCACACTAGGAAGGTACTGTCGGGATCAGATTCCTGCGGCCATAGACACAAAAGTAAGGGAACTGATAGATCAGCATTCAGACCCAGAAGATATCATCATCTACACAGATGGGTCCGTGAAGCGCGGATCAAGGTCAGCATGGGCATACACAGCGCAAAGAAGGGGGAAAACAATACATGAAGATAGCGGCGCTTACCAGACAACCACGTCAAGCATGACCATGGAAATAGCCGCTGCTTCTAGAGCTTTAGCATGGGTATCCGAGCAAACCGCCACACAAGCAGTAATTGTCTCAGACTCAATGAATATGCTTCAGAAAATAGCAACTGGCAGTATGCGCTCTGAATGGATAGAAAGCATTCGGAAATCGCACTTAACTTCCGTAACCTGGATCTACACACCGGGTCATGCGGGCGTAAAGGGAAATGAGCGAGCGGACCAACTGGCAAGCACAGCACTAATGATTGCGGGAAAAAGCATGGACAGAGCAGATATCGTTAACGCTGTACGTACTGGGCTAGTGGATAATATCGAATCCCTGACACTAACACAATTGCGTGACATGGGAGTTAAGCATGGTGAAGCACGTCTTTGCCGTCTGCGAGGCCGAGAAAGGAGACAATATAACCAGCTTCTCATGGGGACAATTAGTAGAAGTACTTTGGAGTGGCTGCTGCTTCGGAGGACTGCGCACGCATGGGTATGCCCAATGTGCAGTGACGTCGATTGTGATAACAAAACACAAAATAACATTTTGTAGGAAGTCGGCATTCCGAAACCCAAGTTCAAGGTGTCTCCTTCGTGCCAAAGAACTGCATGGCTGTTGGGTGAACAGTCGTTAACGAAGGCAGTCAGGTCGTTGTAGGGGCGACGCCTGCTGGTGGATGTAATGTCCTAAGTCCCTTTCCCAGCTAATAGTGAGGGTACTGCTGGGGTGACCATTTGTTAACCCCTCACATAATGCTTCAAGTCACAGTGGACGCTAGGCACGGCCACTTTTTTTTTTTTTTTTTTTTTTTTTTTTTTTTTTTTTTTTTTTTTTTTTTTTTTTTTTTAGCCGTGGCAGTTCTGCCAGGCGGTGGCCGTTGCATTTTTGCTCCATTTGTAGACTGGAAGGATATGGTTTTCACCCAGCTTCTGAGTTGAGTGCATGGTGTGACACTGTGAGCTACGAGTGTTTTTCGTTGGCACAGGAGCGGAGCAACAATGGGGTGACCCGTTTGCTATGATGCTGAAACTAGGATTACCAGATTACCAGATAGTGTGCATTTAAAACCCAAGACATTCATTGCAGCAGGCAATATTGCCTTGGCTGCCATATTTAACTAATAATAATAAAGAATTTAGGACACCTAGTTTAACTAATGTCAGTATTTTTTTTGTCAGATTACAGAACGACAGCATTTAGACTAGAAATAATGTCATTTGTCATATCCATCATGTGTCCATATCATTGTGTTGTGTGGAAAGGGCATATCAGGAGGGGAATGAGAGTGAAGGAAGAAATGATTGCTGAAAAGATGAGAGCTGAGCGTCTGAAAAAAAAAAAAAAACTGGATCAAACAGAAATGTTGACAACAATGGTCCTGAAATCTCATGCCATCCATGTGGAAGACTTTTCTTGACAGGGGTGCACCTTGCTAGTCACACTCACCATCGCCATGGGCTGTCTCATGCTTCCTCATAGCGCAATATAACACTATCGTCTGGAAAGACGGAAAGGTGCCAATCATCATATTATTGTGTAATGTGTTATCTAATGTTTTACATTTGGTCAGAGCCTAGGAAAGAAATCTGACTTTCTCACTGGCGAAATATTTTAAAGCAAAGAAATATTGCGATATGTAGATTGAATCTTCCTCTTTAATCCTGGCCATTGTGTAATGTGTTCTCTAACTTTCAACATATTACCAGAGCATACTGGAGAAATCTGGCTTCCCGATTTGCACTGTGGGTTTAACTTTCTTAGAAAGTCGTACAGTTGTATCGCAGAGGTGAATTCTCCTGTTGTCTGTTGTGAAAACCTTATGCTACTGAAAGAGTTTATCACCAGATAGCCAACTGTCTTAGAGTAAAAGACTTCTTTTTTTTTTTTCAATACATCATTGACACAATAAGTACACATTGCTAGCCCTGTACTTTTTAAACGAGTTAGCAGTGAAAAAGAGTAATGAAAATGCCTTAAAAGAAATTGGCTGACAAAGAGAACTAACTGCCCACATCAGAAGAAGTCTATATTCATTGGTCAGTTGGAGTTCATTGTGATAGTGGAAAAGTTGGAGGGGAAAAGAGAGAGACGTAAAGAAGATGCTGGACTGTCTGAAATCATGGCATGGAAGATCTTCTGTGTCAGAAGTGACTGAAAGTACACAAGACAACGTGTGGATAGACATGATCACCAATGTCACACTGCATGGACTATAAGAAGATTTGGCAACAGACCGTATTGCTGTGCTTTCCACGTCGAAGCATTCAAAGCAATGGCAAACATCTCAACATGAAACTGCCTAGCAAAACTGCAAATAGCCAACACATGCAGGAGTTGATTTGCGATGCTGTGAAGAAGATATGCAATCGGCTTGTTGAAAATCTTATGTTTGTGAAAATCCAGTCAACATCCTGAAACAAATTGGTCTACGTTTGGGTCAGAGACAGATTCAATCCATAACTATTCATTTGCTAGCACAGGGGTTCTCAACCTTCCTAATGCTGCGA